TTTTTTTAAAAAGCTTGCTTTTTTTCATTTATCGGAGAAGAGTGGATCAGTTTGGAGAGCTTCCAAACTTTTACCAAAATGAAAGGAAGGCCCTGCAGAATCTTACGAAAATGCTAGCAAATCAAAAAAATTTAAGAGCAGCCTTTTCCCATTTATCAGAGGAGCGCGGGCCAGTTTCTTTGGAGATGCTCGAAACTTGTACCAAAATGAAGGCAAGACCCTGCGGAACCTTACGAAAATGCTAGCAGATCAAAAAAATCCAAAAACGGTTAAAAATCAGGAAGCCACAGCCAGGCGCGGGAGTCTAGTCGCGCCAACAGCTTAAACGCCGGGCAAGGGTAGCTGCTCGGGCGGCTTCGGCGTCCGATTAATGACACTAGCGCGGCTTTTTTTAATGCAGTTGCCCGATCAATTTGATGCCATTGCATTTTGTTAAAAAAGGGAGGCTTCTGCGTCAGCCGTCCACCCGTTTGCAATAATTCGACGCGGTTGGCACCTTCTTCCCGGAGGGTGCATTTTTCAGCCACGCAGCCGGCTACTTTCTAACTAGGCGGCTGCCCGGCTGAAAGTTACACACTCCGGGGGGAAAGGTGTCAGCCGCGTCGAATTTTCGAGCGTGTAGCAGGTGGCTGGATAATTTAAAAAAGTCCACTTTTTCGCATTTTTTGACATGGGACCGCCCTGGTAAAGGTTCTTGGTGGTCTCATTTTCGAGGGGAAAACTCGCAAAAATGAGCAGAGAAGAGCTCCTTCCTTTCTAGTCCCTCCTGGAATAAGTTCGCAGCCCAAGCGCTCCCCTCTAGTAATTGAACAGAAAAACGAGAAAAGCGCTAGGCTTTTTCTTATCCCTAATGGAATAGATTCGCAGCCCAAGCGCCCCCCTCTAATAATTGAACAGAAAAACGCGAGAGAGGTCCTTTCTTTTCTGGTCCCCGATGGAATAAGTTCGCAGCTCGGGCACTCCCCTCTAGTAATTGAGCCGCAAACGGTGGAGAGCTTTCCTCTTTTTCTAAAACCTACAGGAATAGACTCACAGCCCAAGCACCCTCCTCCAGTAATTGAACCAAAAAAGTGGAAAGCGTTCAGCCTTTTCCGGTCCCCACTGAAAAGGGCCCACAGTCCAAGCCCTTCCCTCTAGATTCTGAGCGGAAAAAGTTGGGCGCAGCTTTGTGGTCCCCTATGAAGTAAATTTATAGCCCACGCTCTCCCGTCTAGATTCTGGGAAGAAAAGGCGGGGGGAGTATTATTTCTTTCGATCCTCTCTGAAATAGATCTGCAGCCAAATCCCTTCCCTCTACCTAGATCCTGAGCCAAAAAAGTTGAGCCTTGTTCTGCTTTTTTATCCCAACGCAAAAAAGTCCCCAGCTTTAGAGCCCGGCCCCCCTCTAGATTCTGAGCCGAAAAAGCTGAGCGGGGTGCTCTCCTTTTATAGTCTCCACTGAAGTGAATCCGCTGCCTTTTTTTGCTATTTTATGAATTGCCACCGAAAGGCCACGCGCGTAGCCTGGTAGCCTGTCACTACGCTACCCGCGACACGCGGCAAGGTATGCCAAGGAATGCACGGACACCGCAGGCGACGCTGCGCGGGGGAATGGCCTCCGCCGCGAAGAGTACCCACATCGCAGAGGACCCGCGCCGGAGACCTACCAAAGCGGGCCAAGGCCTTGAAGGGGTCCCGAAGGTTGTGGTAGAGACTTTCGATCTGTTTCAAGCTTCTCCAAAATGATGGAAAGGCATGTATGAAATTTGTCAAATTTGACCAGTTTGGGCGAGCTCTTGCTGGCTTCCGCTTGTTCCATTCCTTGGGCGGGTCTCTCTCAGCAGATTCGTCCCCGGTGGTTCCCTGCTCTCAAGTCCTGAAGGCTGCGCCATCGGTCAAGCTAAGAGAAAGCCGCACCACGACGGACACCGCCAAGCGCACCCCAGCCGCGGCCGCCGGCTGCCGTCCGCAAACACAGGGCGGAGCCAGTCCAAAGACTTCGCCCGGCTTGAGAGACACAACACGGCGCACGCCAGCCGCAGCCACCGCGGCGCGCCCTCGAGTCACCGGGGGAGGAGAAAGGGAGGAGAGAGGAGCAGACAGCAGCGACATGGGAGCCAACCCGCGCAGAGCTCGCAGGGCCGGGCTCTCTGGAGAGCTGTCGCGGCTGTCGTCTTCCTCTGGCTCTCTTCTTCGCTCCATTCTCGCTCCCCTGTGATTCGAGAGCGCGCCGCGGTGGCTGCGGCTGAAGCATGGCCACGCAGCGCCCAACGGCCTGAGGGCGTCCCCCCGTCTTTTCTGCTAGGTCGTTCCACCTGTTTGGCCGTCGTTCTGTCTGCTGCGTCGTTCTGTCTGTTGCGTCGTTCTGTCTGTGCTGTCGTCTTGTCTGTTCCGTCGTCTTGTCTGTCCCGTCGTTCTGTCTGCTCCGTCGTTCTGGCTGTTCGGTCTTGTTTCTGTCTCTTCTGTCGTTCTCCTTGCTTGGTCGTCTTGTCTGTTTTGTCGCTCTGTCTGTTCCGTTGGTCGTTCTGTCTGCTGCGCCGTTCTGCTTGTTCGGCTGTCTTGTCTGTTCAGTCGCCGCGCCGATGTGCAAGCGGAGCAAAGTGGCGACGCATCTGCGCACCGCGACAAAGCGACGCGGTGGCGGGGTGCGTAGTATCCCCAGAGGCTTGCGCGCTTGTGGCCTGTGCTCTCACTGTGGTGGGTGGCGAAACACGTCCAAAACCCCCAAGGCGGCGAAGGTTTTCCGGGTGCCGTTATCGGTTTCGCCTGGGTCGCTGATCCATCGGCTTCGGCTTTTGGACACTCAGGGAGCAAACCCGCCAAAAAGCGAGACACACGGCGAGGCCCCACAGATAGGGAATGGCCACAGCACAAAACGCAAGCGCAGGAAAAAGGCCAAAAAAGCGAAGACAAATCGCAAAAAGCTGCCGGCCGTTTTGCGAGTCCCTTAGCGGTTTCGGCTTGCCTAAGTTCTGTCCCTTAACAGTTTCGAACTTCGTGCGGGTATCGGTTTCGAGTGGGCTTAGAGAAAAAAGGCAACAGCTAAGCAGCTTTTGGCGACTTTTTAACTTGCGACCAGCATCCTGGGGATTTTTTACCAGTGCCGACTAGCAAACAAGGCAACAACTTAGCAGCTTTTTGGCGACTTTTTAGCCTGAAATCAGCGCCCTGCGGATTTTTTTCCAGCGCTGACTAGAAAAAAAGGCAACAAATCTAACGAGTTCGCATTTTTCTCGCCACCTTCTCCAAAATAGAAAAATCCTAGCAAAAGCAATCCTCACTGATGTGCCAAAAAAAAGAGGGGCCCTCTGATTTTTTTGCAGGTGGGTCGCTGCTCCGCGAAAAAAGTCACATCATTGGCGACTGCTTTCGCCAGCTTTTTCCTTGCTTCCTGGCTCGACTAGCTGGCCTAATTGGAAGAGGTTGCATTTTTATCAATAGCTGCAGCGATTTGCTTGAATTCTGTGAGGCTCAGCCGCACCGTTCTAGAAATTGAGAAAATGCTAAGAAATTAAGAAAATTGAAATACGAGAGAACGAACAATATTGCGAACGCGTGCGCAGTTTCTAGAGGGCCTGAGAGTTTAAAGACTGGGCAGGGGCTAGCGCTCACGGAATTTCTCCACGTTGCTAGCTGACTTGTGCTAGTCTAGGTACTGGATTACGATACAGCCTGCCACAGTTTGTGCATCTGCCTCCTGGCTCGTTTTGCATTTTCACTCCACCCAGGAAACTTGTGGCGGAGGGTTTCCACCTGTTTGGCGCTTCTCCAAAATAAGAAGCGGGCACGTGCAAAATTTGCCAAATTTGGCCGGTTTGGGGCGAGCTCTTGCGCGCTTTTGCTTATTCTTTCGGTGGGTCTCCCTCAGTAGGTGCGGCCACGGCGTTCCCATCGCTGCGCCTAAGTCCCGAAGGCTGCGCCATCGGGTGAACCCGGAAGAATCTGCGCCGCAACACCGTCCAGCGCACCCCAGCCGCGGCCGCCGGCAACTGCCCTTGAAACGCCGGAGGGAACCGGGTCAAAGACCTCGCCCAGCCTGAGAGACACAACACGGCGCACACCAGCCGCAGCCACCGCGGCGCGCCCTCGAATCCCCGGGGGAGGAGAAAGACAACGGAGAGGAGCAGATGGCAGCGGCAGGGCATGCGAGCCAGCCCGCGCAGAGCTCGCGCCGCCGTGGGCTGGGCCCTCTGAAGAGCTGCCGCGGCTGTCGTCTTCCTCTGCCCCCCTTCTTCGCTTCTCGCTCCTCTGTGATTCGAGGGCGCGCCGCGGTGGCTGCGGCTGAAGAATGGCCACGCACCGCCTAGCAGCCCGAGGGCGTTCCCCCGTCTTTTCTGCTAAGTCGTTCTTTCCGCCTGTTCGGCCGTCGTCTTGTCTGGTCTGTCGTTGTGTCTGTTCCGTCGTCTTGTCTGTCTTGTCTGTTCCGTCGTTCTGCCTGTTCGGTCTTTCTGTCTGTTCTGTAATTTTGCTTGCTCGGTCGTCTTGTCTGTTCTGCCGCTCTGTCTCTCCCGTTGGTCGTTCTGTCTGTTGCGCCGTTCTGCTTGTTCGGCGGTCTTGTCTGTTCCGTCGTTCCCGCGCGTCTGTTCGTTCGTTCTGCCTGTCTTGCGTGTTCCGTCCTCCTTTCTGTTAAGTCGTTCTGCTTGTTCAGTCGTTCTGCTTATCTATCACGCCGTGCGGCCTGTCCATTCGTTCGGCCCGTTCAGCCGGTCCGCCTGTCCAGTGGTTCTGCTTGTTCCGACGTTCTGCCTGCTCCGTCTTTTCGGTCATACATTCGGCCGGGCCAGTCGTTTCGGCTTTTCAGTCTTTCCGCCTGTTCCGTCGCCGCGCCGATGTGCAAACAGAGCAAAGTGGCGACGCACCTGCGCACCGCGACAGGGCGACGCGGTGGCGGGGTGCGTAGTATCCCCGGAGGCTTGCGCGCTTTTGGCTTGTGCTCCTACTGTGGTGAGTGGGGGAACACTTCCAAAAAGTCCAAGGCGGTCAAGATTTTTTGGGTGCCGTTATCGGTTTCGCCTGGGTCTCTTATCGGTTTCGGCTTTTATACATAGAAGAAATTTGAAAGCCGAGCCACTTCGCCGCAGCGTGCGACTGAGGAGCAGGCCGCGCGAGTGGTTGGGCGATTTCTCAAGAAGCGGAGGAAATTTCGCCACACACTTCGCGGCATAAACGAGTTACGGCGGCAAGGGCTTATCGAAATCGAGAAATCCGATGCCAGTGTTGGTGGTGCAGTCAAAATGCACGCCAAAGTGCGCGGATCGCACTGGGTCTTGCACGGGCCCGGCGGCTCCGCGACTGTGGTTAGAGACCACAAGTCCTCCGTACAGAAGTCTGGGAACTGACACCTTGCGCATATTGAAGCGAACCACCCTCGTTGCTGCTGCGGGTCCGCACACTGCTGAAGCCAATGTGACAGCCGCTGAAACGTCGGACTTTCAATTGCTGAAAGGACCCCTCGGCACTTCGAAGAAGAAGTTAGCGGAACTGATGTCCGATCCTGATGGTATGCTTCGTTCGGAATCTTAATCTGTTGATCGCATACTATGATTACAAATTAACAAAAGATTATGCAACCACATAATCAGGACTTGCGAATACTAGACCTTAAGACAATTTCTTATGCTTGCACATAAATCTGACGATCATCATCTTTCTACTTCCACTTCTTGGGCTATGTCATAACCATCTTGTATCCATACGACCTTAACATATAAGGTCATGGATCTGAAATTTTTTGGAACCCTCCTGTTATTGTTGACAAGGAGCAGAAAAATGATCCCTCTGCCAACTCAAAGACGGACGTATGAACCGCTGTAGTTGAATATTATTGTGATTGCTCTGCGTCGAATAATATTTTCGCGCTTGGTCACCGTTGATTCGTTGTTCCTATTCAGCCCATTCCCATTACCCGACCCCTGCATACGATGCACATAAGAATGTAGTTTATCATCTTAGAATTTGGCAACCACATAGCAAACCCGACCAAGATCGATCGCGTCCCATCAGTAATGTTTTGAATGGAACCTGATTTCCTGGCCGTTTTCATGCAAATGGCCATTTGTTTCTGAGAACCTCAACAGTTCTGACGGACACACCAATATCCGCGCTGGCGCTGCATAGATGCAGTCCGACTAGCCTGAATTGTTCATCGTTAGTGTAACCTTTCCTTCATTCAGAGGAAGGTTCTGCGCGACCATCTCAAGTCCAAACAACTGTTGTTGCCTAGCTGCCCTCTAATATCACTGTTTTTCCTTTTTCATGGTAGATAGGGACGTAGAACTATTCCTTTTTTCCAAAGGCCAATTCATCGTATAATCTAATCCTTTTTCTTTGTCTCTTCTTCAGTCTGATACCCAAATTATTCCGTCGACAACAAGAAGTGGAAGTTCATTTTAATCCTCTGTAGTTTTTATTGCTTTTATTTTCGATTGTAGTTGAGGACTTTATATTTCTTAATGCCAGAATTTTCTTCCTATAATACCAGTCCCTTCACATTTGTTATTGGGTAACTTCGAGGACAAACAAGAAAATGATGCGTCGTCTCGTCGCATGCTTGGCGGTTGTCGCTTGTCCAGCATTTGCGGTAAAGGAGGTGCCTGCAACAGCATTGGATAGGGTAAAATCAGGGAAAACGCCTTTCTTGGCGCTGGAGTTCTACTCAAAGATGTGCGGGTCGTGCCAGGAGTTTCTTCCTATGCTAGCAGAAGCTGAGAAGAAATTAAAAGGTTCACAGATAGACATCGGAAAAATCAACATCGAGGACAAGGCGGGACGAGAGGTAGCTAGCGCCGCAGTTTTGAACAAGATAGAGATTCTGACTAATTGATCTTCATTTTTGCATGAATAAGTGTATGCGCTTCTACTTCAATCGGCATCTACTTTGTCAGCACGCGCTCCATACTTTTCTCTTACGTATGGAAGAGAGGATGTTTCTTAGTTTCAACTTCTGGTCTGGATCATATTGGAACTACGCCAACAGCTTGCCGAGGCGGAAGGCGCATTGCAGGACGGACTGCCGAGCTTGCGACTGTACTTCAAAGACAAAAAAGGCGAGTTAACTTTCGAACGTATATTAGATCCTGAAGTTGCGGACTTTCCCGATGCGGATGAAATCGTGTCGAGACTCGAAACTGCCAAAATGCGGGCGCCGGGCGGCGACGAATTATAGAAGGCAACGCTACAAGTACAAAAGTACTAGATAGACTTAAGGATGAGGGGAGTACGATAGTATGTATGCGAACTACACCAGCGGGTCGTTGCCGTTTTGGCAAGAAATAGGGCTCTTTGTCTTCGTGCCATATTCCGCAATACGGAGCGATCATTGCCACATGAAAATATAGGCGGGAGTTGATCATGAGCTACGGGGAGCATTTTTAGAAAAATTCCACGCTGTGCCAACGACTCATATATCTATCTGTTTCCTAGAAAAGATATATCGACACATACGAAAGGAGAGGAAAAGCGGAGCTCGAAACCAAGTACCGTGTTCAACTCCTCGAACACGTCGGGCATATTAAATGGCGAATGAAGTAAACGCTGTCATATTCAGCCTAGCTCGACGCATCGCCATTCTGTGAATCTGAATCCATATGACCTGGCTATGAAATTCCGCACTTGCATCTTGTTTTGAGTGCGTCTGTCCAGACGTTGAGGTGGCATCGTCGGTTCTGATCTATGGATCGTTAATCCAAAGATCTGCTGGGATCTTTGGCTTAGTACTTGTTGGCAAGAAGCCGTTATTCGATCGCCAACTAAGTTGTATCTTTGAATTCAAGAGTTGAAGCATCTATCTATACCTGATTGTTCATTCTTCACCACTATCGTTTGCCCCGAAAAGCAAGCCGCGTACCGTCCCGCTTGTCCCCAACCTAGAACTTTAGCGACGGTTTTCAAATACCACGGTCATGATTGATTTGAACATTTCATGTATTTTTGGTAGGCTATTCGCATGACGTTTTTGGCGCACATCGCATAGGAAGCACGACCCACTTCATGTCCTCAAAACTCTGATCGCGATGGATTTATGTTGCGACTTTTTTGATCAATAAACCACGAGCAGGCTGTAGTACCTTCTGTTGTACTTAGATCTATGGCTGTTATTGTCGATTCTGTACATTACTCAAACGATCGTGTACATTAGCTTTTGCCACTCAAACGTTGATTTGATGAGGAGTTTCTTGTACATATTCGGGATCGAGTAGGAGTTTCGAAGCACTTGTTGTACAACCATGGGTGCACTCGGCGGTGCCGAGTCAGCCAGCGGGTCTTCCGGCGTGGTGACCGCTGTTGTAGCGACGACCACTGTCGCAGTAGCTGGACTTATCTTCAATCGGGAAACCGTTCAGTTTTCTCTGCTTCCGCATCTTGTGGCACTGGAGCGGCAGATTTTAAGTACAGGAAGTGGTGGCGATCCAGAGAAAGATGCAAGAAGCAAGGATGGTGGCGCACCGGTTAAATTGGAGGCAGGAGGCTCATCTTCGTCGACGTCGGGTTCTAGTAATGGACCACGGTCAAGAAGTCCTGACCGTACCAGACAACAGCAAAAGGCTAATCAGACAACAGCGCAAATAACACGAGCCGAAGCTGTGGAGCAATTTCAAAAGGCAGTGGGCGTTGTACCCCGCCTTTTAGAATCACTGGAAGTATCGTCGCAGAGCTTGCGGCTGCTGTACGGCCTTTTTAAGACTGCGGAAGGAGACGCGGATGGCTTTGCCAAGTCTGCCGCAATGGAGAGAGCTGATATCGCGTCTCTCTTCGACGAAAGCGAGGCTTCCGGAAACATAAGACTAGACCCTTTCCAGCGTCGCGAGGAAATGTGTTTCTCGCTTCTACGAGCTGTGGGTCGGAGTGGAGTGTATCTTGCACGAGGAGCGACGCCACGGCCCGGATCTGACAAGGACTCTCATATGACCGCGCCTTCACGGACGGATTTATGCTTGAAGGAGAATGCTCTTCGGTGGTGCATGAGTTTACTGCGCCATTCCTGGCAACTCGCACGTGACACTTTTCTGGACACGTTGGTTTTTTCACCGTTTTTCGGCGTCTGTCAGCTTGCTGCGCCACGTTATTCGGCGGCACTGCAGGTGCGGCGCTATCTTCGCAAATTCACAGATGCTTCGCTAGCAGGAAAAGTCATGTACGCGGCGCTTGCACAAACTGTGAAGGAGGTGGTAGCACATGAGGACGAACACTCGGAAGGGGGCGCAGCCGCCTTGCCTCGATTCCTGGTTGCACCGACCTGGCTTCCATGGACGATGGATCTGCGATGTGTTCCTCGAGGTGGATTAAAGCTTTTGGTGAAGAGTGTGCAATTTGCACTGGCTACGAAACGACAACTCGCAGATTTCAGACAACACGGCTGGCGAAGGATCCTAGATGCCGTCCCAGACCGGCCGCCGACTTCTGTGGTCGAGCCACAAGCTGTGCCAGCTTTGACGGAAGAGCAAGAGGCTGTACTTTTCCGTGCAGTGCTAGGTCCTTGGCTTTATCCAGCCTCATGCACTAAAGGAAACGCGAGAAACAGCTCGTCTTTAGTCACACAAGATCGAGATCATCTGGTTGATGCAGTTGGAACTGGGACAGCACCAGACGAGATCAGCTTCGAGGAAAAATCGATGATCGAGAATTTCGCTCGCGAGCTGACGTGGTTGACTCTGGGAAAGGAGCTCGCACAGGTGTCACCAACCAATGCGGCAGAAGCTGAGGCGTCGCTGGAGCAGATCGCAGCCGCACTGGCAAAACTCGCTGCAGCAGCGAGCGACGAGAACGGCAGGGCGAGAGATGGCACTGCACTTATTCCAGTGACGACAGAAGAGTGGTTTGAAAACGTAGCAGACTGTGCTTCTGCGCAAAGCCGTGCTTCAGCTGAGACCGTTGTCCAGGCTACATTGCTCCGACAATTTCCATTGCTTTTGCTGTGCGCTGACGAGGACGACATGACTTGCTTGCACTGGTACTGTGACGCAGGATACCTGGCTGGTGTGGCTGCGGCGATGGATGCAGTTGCCGCCCTGGTTCGCCTTGTCTTCGAAAAGCCAGAACAGATAGCGCTTCCGGCAGCACTCGAAGGTGAGACTAAAGGCACACCTTTTGTCTTCTGCGACAACGTCGCTTCACCATCTTGCTATGCAACCCCTATATGTGAATTTGTATGTATCGTTCATTTGCACAAGAAAAACGCTAGGGTTACTCTCTCGCGCATTTCTTCGAATTTGTGACTTTCGCTTGATACTAGTCACGACGTGGCAGACCCGCTGTGAGCGACATCGCGCGTTGTGCAGTCGGCTGCTTCAGCGATGGCTGCACGATTTAAACCGAGCCTCGCCTCGCCTAAGCCTAGTGTCGCCTAATTGGTGACCGCACCACTTGGGGCCCGTCTCGCTCAAATGGTGACCAAACCGCCCAGCGTGAGGTCGGCGCAAATGATGGGCTCCACACCCCCGCTGGGCGTCGCTTAAGTGGTGACTGCACTAATCAGGCCCGCACTCGCTTAAGCGACGGCTTCAATAGTGTAGCCCATACCCGCTTAACTGAAGACTTCACTACTGGAGCCCGCACTTGCTCAAGCTGTGACTGCACTAATCAAACCCACGCTGGCTTGAGTGATAGCTCCACTACTTAAGCCCCCACTCGCTTAAGTGGTGACCTTACTACTCAGGCCCGCACGTGCCCAAGTCGTGACTACACTATTTACGCCCGCACTCGCTTAAGTGGTGGCGGCACTACTTAAGGCCGGGGTCGCTTAAGCGGTGCCGGGTCAGCCCTTTGCCTTAACGGTCCCGCCAAACACTTCAGGGGCCATGGGCTTAGCGGTTTCGCGGAACACTTAAGGGCCTGTGGCCTTAACGGTTCCGCGAAACCGTTAAGGCCATGGGCCCTTAAGTGCTTCGCGAAGCCGCTTTTGGCGCATGTCCTTATCGGTTTCGCGAAACACTTAAGGGCCCATGGCCTTAACGGTTTCGCGAAACCGTTAAGGCCATGGGCCCTTAAGTGCTTCGCGAAGCCGCTTTTGGCGCATGTCCTTATCGGTTTCGCGAAGCACTTAAGGGCCCATGGCCTTAACGGTTTCGCGGAACCGTTAAGGGAGCCTTATCTTAAGGGCTTCGCGAAACCGTTAACGGAGCCTGGGCTTACCGGTTTCGCGAAACACTTACAGGGCAATGGGCTTAGCGGTTGCGCGAAATACTCAAGCCCCATGCCCTTAACGGTTTCGTCAAAGGAGCCTTGTCTTAATTGCTTCGCGAAACCGTTAACGGAGCCTTTTCTTATTTATCGGCTTCGCGAAACACTTGAAGGGCCATTGGCTTAACGGTTTCGCGAAGTACTTAAGGGCCCATGGCCTCAGCGGTTTCGCGAAACCTTTAAGGGAGCCTTGTCTTAAGTGCTTCGCGAAACCGTTAACGGAGCCTGGCCTTAACGGTTTCGAGAAACACGTAAGGGGTCATGAAGTTAACGGCTTCGCGAAACACTTAGGGGCCCATGGGCGTCGGGGAGCCTTGTCTCAAGTGCTTCGCGAAACCGTTAACGGAGCCTGGTGTTAACGGTTTCGAGAAACTTTTAACGGGGCCTGGCCCTAACGGTTTCGCGAAACCCTTGCGGGCCCATGGCCTTAACGGTTTCGCGAACCCGTTAACGGGGCTTGGTCTTAACGGTTTCGCGAAACACTTATGGCGCCATCGCCTCAGCGGTTTCGCGAAACACTTAAGGGACCAACTTCGCCTTAGCGATTTTGCGAAACACGTCAGGGGCTATCTTCGCTTTAGCGATTTCCCGGTCTCCGTTTAACTTTGAGTGTTGCGCGGGTGAGACACTTAATCCTGGGCCCCAACGACTTTAGCTGCTCAGCGCCGGCGTGTCGGTGTAGTCTATAATTGTCCGCAAGAAATTCCACTTTGCACCACATCAATACTTACAGGTGACTCATCTGCTGAGCCTGACGGACAGTTACGAAGATTGTGGAATGAGTTGGTGGCCTGCGCAATGCAGTCTGCGAAGAAAAAGGATGTAGAGGCTCTGGTGTTAAGGCACGTTCTTAGTGCACAGGACAGTAACCAGTTGAATACGCCGCTTCATTTCGCTTTGGAATGCGAGCATGAAGAGATATCCTCTCTCCTTCTAGAACGAGCAGCTGGTATGTTGGACTATGGACTAAAAAACTCAGATGGCATAGCCCTTAAAGAAATGCTCCCCGCACAATGATGCAGAGACTAGACTGCACTTCGTTTCAATATCCATTGCCATGAAAAATGTATAAGAAGAAATAGCTGTACTCTCGTTTTCTTGTCGTGGTCAACGCAACACGCGCGACCGTGATGCTACCATCTCTACTTTCAAGTCTGAACCTGGAGTCGTGCGACGATCTGCTGATCTAATGGTCGGTAAAGTCTTGATGCAGTCCAAGAGTTTTACTTTGAGAGATGAAAAAAAGAAGAGCACAATTTTGACGCTTGCTTCAGATAAAGAAAAAGCATCTTCGGTTCATTAGACGAGGCATCTCAAGAAGCAGTAAGACTTCGATGTCCCTGGAAGACAAGACTTTTGCCACATTTACCGATGTGCATCGGTTGATCGAGAGGCAGGTTCGGTCAGAAGCGTGCATAAAGTTGTAATCTGTGAGTATCTGCGAAATCTGTCTTTTGTACCAGACCCCTCTGTGCCCGTCCCTTTCAATGCTCATGCAATCACGCGGCTGAAGTATTTGTCAGTGCATATCGGGTTTATTTGTCTTGACTGGTGTTGTATGACTGCAGCAAGAGAATTCTCCTCTTCCAATATATATGCCTATGCCTTCATCTACTGCATCAATTGCTTAAGCATGTTGAAAACGGATTGATATTGTGGTTTATCGTAACTTCCAAAAATGAACTCGTTTAAACGCAAGGCTGATCCGTATGCCGGAAGAGCGGTAAAGCGTTGCAAGCCGTTGCACGTTCCGCAACAAAAGTCCGAAGACGACACGCGCCCGCGGAATGAGATACTCCAGTCTAGAGCTTCCGTACCAGAAGATAGCGGTGTTCGGGAGTCGGTTTATGCTTCGAAGGAACAAAAGAGGCACGATGACGGTTTTTTCCCCGAAATACGAGAGACCAGTGCACGGAAGCCCGTAGAGGTTAAGACTGTACCTAACGATCCAGAGGTTGCTGGTGCTGTCCGGATAGACGGGGAGCATCGAGCTTTAGGTAGAAAGCACAAAAAGGAGCAGACCGCGCAGCTTCTAGCGCGGTTTGCAGACGACATTGCGTGGGGCCCGCGCGCGCGACAGCAGGTGCTGAACGGCAAGAAGAAGGTTACACCTGATGGCCTGCGCGCAGAAGACCTTGTACGAGAGCAAGCAACTGGTCGCATACGATCAGTCGACGAACTCGCACGGCGAAAGCACTATGAAGGCCCTGCGCTCGACGAGTTTAGCAAAAACGGAACTAATTCTCCATTTCAAGATCCTACTGCGGAAGAGCGTAAGGTAGATGCAAAAAACCCGGAATTCGATCGTCTTTCGATTTGGCAACAAGCTTTCAACAGCGTGCTTTCGGAGGGTTTCCGTCATCCATTTTCCAAAGGTATAGCTACGACTCGGTTATCTGCCCTCATCTACGATCAACAACACCAGTTGGTTCGTTGACACTACCTATTGATTTTAATTTTTGCTTTGGTGGATCTTAAAAAAAGATTGATTAAGGTTTCAACCTATTCCATAGATTTCTCGTGTAGCGAGCGACACGCTTTTTGGAACCGTTGCCGTGAAGTGTATCGTTCACTTGTGGTGCCTATCAGCGCCCGTCAGCGGATGGACGAGCTTGAAAGGAGATGGACGTCTTTGCCAGGCGACGACTTTGATGATCAGGCTTCGTTCAATAGAGAGCATTCGGATATCGACAGTGGCGTGAAGAACTCCAGCAACGCCGTTGCTGCTGCGGAAACGGGGGACTCGAAACTAGTGCCAGCTCATGAAGATACTGCGAACCACGGGGTCAAAGAAGAAAGCAATCGTGAAAGGTCGGCATTAGCGAAGATGCTTTTCGCTCGCCATGCACGCATGGCGGCTCTGGCAGAACAAAGCTTTTCCGGCTGTTCTCTTGATCTTTCCGGTAATGAGACCGCGAAGAACGAGAAAGTCTCTAATCCGAGTGGGGATCTCGGAGAAGACTCAGTTGTATCACAATTTTGCAGAATTGCAGGGATGAGAGTTTCTTCGCAAGGTTCCGCACTTGCGATTGAGGAGGAAAAGCTACTAGCAGATTCGAAGGAGAAAGCATTTCGAAATCCACCAGACGAAGAGGAGGTTTCACCATCGGCGTCTGATTCCGACGGCAATGATGAAAGTGTTGATCATAGCCCCCCGTCCTGGCATAGATTCTACGACGCTTCTCCGATTCGCAATAAGTCCAGTTCTGGTGAGTTGTCAGACCTTTTCTACGATTTCCGGAACCATTTTGTGCGCAGTATTTTCCGGCGGCGGTTTGATGCGCTCTCTAAAGAAGGTAAACTTGGGAGTCTTGCGAGAACAGTCCCACGTATGGTCGGATACACACGACAAGCTTCGAACACGACAAGCTCCAGTGAAAAGCAAAAAATGAAAGCGGAAGAGCTCCAAAGTTTTCTTGCTGACTGTCGTTCATGTTTGGCGAAATGCGGTTGCCCAATGTTGGCAGAGAAATACACGACGCAGCAAAAGGTGGCAGTGAGCAGTTTTGTCGGCGCAACTGCTCCGCAAAAAGATTCATGTGATCTCTTAGTCTACCAGCAAGAAGAACACCAGTTTTTATCGAAACCTCCTGCACCAGGAGAAGAAGATAGAAGCTCTGCATCTCCTCTTGTCGAACCACACGAGTTACCTGAGTACAATGACGAGCAGGTGGTCAACAACAAAAACTCGTGTAGTTCGAGTCCGCTTCCCCGTTTTTTGGCTTCGGATGAGGACGAACTTGATGACGACGAGCTGCTAGCACGGCTTCAACTTGGAGAAGCACAACTCGATGACATTGAGTTCGAAGTGCCAGAATTAGACGAAGCGGAGCGTGCCAGTTTCAATCGCATTATGGAGGAAGCAGAAAAAGCTATCATAATGGCTGGAGAAAATAACGAAATTCGCAATTGAACACGTTTACCGTTCCCCGCGTCTTTGAAAAGGAGCATAAGTTTCGATTTTTGAATATTTTTTTGCCTAACAGAAACGTTGAGTTGAAGATTTGGACGACAGGCTCTTGTTGTTCAGAATGCAGGCTCGGGTCAGTCTTGTTCGCGATGCATCAGCATTCACGCCAGTGTCGCAAGGTTCTGTGTCGGATTACTGAATTTCTGTGCCTACGAGCATGCGCATCTCCGTCTTGCATAGACATTCGACTAAAAGTCGTTTGGGTCGTAGATATATCGTTATGATTATGGGCAAGCAAAACAGTCGTTTCCGGGAAGTTTCTTTTGTTACTCGGTGCTAATCGCTAAAAGTGGTTGAGCTGATAGGCGTATTAAAAAGTCGGGACTATGGAAAAATCGGTTGTGCGAAAGATGTGTTGCAAAGGCTTGATCCATGAAATGATGTCCGGCGGTGTGAGATGGTACAAAAGTAATTTCATTTCCTCGGCTTTGTAAAGAGGCGTGATGGTGAGACGAAGAGCGAGTGAAAGACATGAGAATGCTACCAGCTCTACTACAAGACTAGTTTTCATATAAGACGAACAAAGGTCGACCTTCGCAAGCCCCAGCCAGACTAACGAATCAGAACTACCGATAAAATTTTTATTGTTTGTCAATGTCGTTTTTACTGTCTCGTTTTGTCGTTTCTAACTTTCCTTATTGCCTGCATGAAAGATTCTGATTTTATTGATTCTCTTCGATGCACATCGAATTACATTATATTCGTAGATGCAAATCTAGGCTAGCTTGCCATAAGTAGGCGGGCAATAGTGGTTTGCAACGGCGGGTGCGCTTCCTAGCCGACAGCTAGGTGGGAAGCGTGTCGAGACCACGCCGTAGCAGCGCCAATAATCTGCAAGAAAAACGGTGAAAACGGCGTGGCTTATCGCAAAATTGGAGAATGATTAGGAGTTGCACTGGGAGTTGTCGATTTCGATTGGATAATATCCCCTGTTTCAAGTGACCGCTATTGGCGCCGCTCGGCGACGTGGTTTGACAAGGAGATTGGCGTGGAGAAAAGCAGGCTACGAAGACAAGGGAGAATATTGCTGCAAACCAAGTGAAATTTAGTGCACGCTGTTGAACATAGCGAACGCGATATTCGATTACTGGCCGGTTGTTCTAGCAGTGAAGATCAGACCAGAAATTACAACTGGCGGTTCTTAGAAGTAGTAGTGATTCTAGCATCAGACGAAGAAGAGAGCACAGGAAGATCTTTATTTGGGATCCAAACCGACCCAAACCGACACTACCAGTGGAGAAATGGCGAGTGCAACTGCAATCCCGTCGTCCTCGGGAGGAGGCAAGAAGGAACATACAATATATACCGAAGTCGAATTTGAAGCCGACGAGCCGTTAGAGGAGCTGGCTCCCGATTTCGATGACGATGACGAGGAAGAAGGCGATGGCCTCGACGACTACGAAAAAGTACTTGGATCGATCATGCTTGTTTTTTGTAAATGAATTATAGGTCATCTGGTTCTTCAGAAGTAATTTGTTCGTAGCTCCTACACGTTGTGAAGAACTTCAATGTCATCTTCCCAGATGAGCACTGTATTCTGGTTTTTTTGTTGGCCATGCTTATTATGTACTTCCCATTGTATCAACATAATTCTCTTTATTGATTCCAGAAAAACATCCAAGCTCCAATCTCATCGCTGCTTTCTTCTACCCAAACATCCACAGCTCGTTGTAGAAACGCGCATTCCAAACACACTGCGGGAGTCTGCACCTCCAGCAACAATAATCGAGCGCCAGGCACCCGTAATAGACGACTTCATTCGAAATTTTTTTGTAAAACACGGTTTTGCGAAGAGCCTAGAAGCGTTCCAGAACGAGTGGTTCGAGAAAGGAGGAATAGGGGAAGCAATAGAGACTGCGCCGGATCTTTACGTACTTTGTTTGTCATTTAAGCTAGTACAGCAACTTGAAGAGTCGACTAACATCGTCATCACAAAACTTTGAAGATGATCAAGATTGGAGACATTCTGCATCCGTTTCCGTCTATAACGTGATGACGTTATAATTCTACTCTTCTTGGTTTTTCGTTTCAACCAGGTAAAGGCGCAACAGCTGGCCCAGGAGAATGCGACATTGCAGCAGGCACTCCATCAGCAGGAGAGCATAGCACAGGAAAGCAAAAAACAGTGGGACAAGTTCAGAAAAGAGCGCGACTTTCACAAAATGCATCATAGGAGGGTACATTGCGACTATTGAAGTGAAAACGATTATTGAGAATAGGGGAGTATTGGATGCTGTGGTGAAAGGCAATAAACTGCTGTACAGGTGGCTTATTCGCTTTCCTTTGTGGTAATTACAATTATAGCTTTTTCCATATCATCCATCTTGTATGAACTTACGGAAAGAAAATTAGGTAGTCCAAGAGCGGAGACGGCTCTTAACGGATTTTGAGAGGCTAAAGCGACATTACGAGCAGTATGAGCCAACACTAGCAGAACTGCGACATAAGTAAAAATTTTTTGATGCCATTGTTGAGTATCAAAACGGACTGCATGAGAGAGGTTGGCACATGATCGCGTGCCTTGATTGATTGATGCTTTCTTATTCTTCTTCTGAGCGTGAACATAAAGATATACAAAGACATCGATTATGCTCTAAAACGAATACTTGTTCACTGAACCACGATGCGGTGAACCACGATGCGACATTGACCCCTCACAGGTATGAAGTGATAATGAAGGAGAAAATGCTGATGCGGTTAGAGCGTGATAGGATTGCGGGAAAAATGGAGACTTTGCAAGAGCAATTAGAAGTCTTACAGAGGCAAGCGGAACAAAAAGAGACCACGGCGAGTCCAGTGGATGGTATTTGGATAGGAGAATGTAACTAAGACTATGAAAATTTACCGAACTCTACTTTCTCAGATGTGAGCATGACAAATCTGGTTATTAGACGTATCATTGTTCACCTTTTTTACCTACTTCACGACTTCCAGGACCAAAGACCCGAAAGCAAGCTCGGTTCAAGAACGGTGATAGCGCATGGCCAGACGCAGGTTACCTAGGCGAGGCAGCGCCGGTGGAGCCTCTGAAGATGGGAGATTTGAAAGCACTAAAGTCATATCCAAAATGTCACGCAGGCCCTATTTCCAGCATAGCATTCCACCACAAGCTCCCAGGTACGATTTGTTGTAAGTAACTTTTGACATGTCCTCTAGTTTTCTCCTTCAGTCTTTTCTAGTAGTGGTCCTGATCGAAGAAATAGAAACACTGTGACAAACATTAGTCCAATGAATATATGTTCCAGGGCTCAGGGCTGGAGGCCCCCCCCCGATCTAACTTTTTGAGGGGGGGGGGCCTGCCAGCCCCGGCCCCTCTTTTCGAGGGGCTGCCGGGCGGGAAGGCCTCAAAGCGCCCACTTCTGGACCCCTTCCCTCTTCTTGCCTGTACCCTAGAGCGCCACCAAACCGGAGGGCGTTGAAGCTGGCAAAGGAGGCAAGGCAGGGCCCCGCTGCCTTGTTGCCTGTACCCTACAGACCTGGCAAAGGTGGCAAAGGCAGGGCCCCGCTGCCTTGTTGCCTGTATCCTACAGACCTGGCAAAGGTGGCAAAGACTGGGCCCGCTTGTCGTGTTGCGTGTACCCTACAGACCTGGCAAAGATGGCAAGGCTGGCGCCCTCTGGCGTGTTGCGGTACCCGACAGAGCTGGCAGAGGAGGCAAGGCGGGACCCACCCCCTTGGCGTGCTGCATGTGGCCAACCCTACAGACCGGGCAAAGGTGGCCAGGCTGGACCCCTCTGGCGTGGTCCCCCACAGATCCAGCCACGGGGGGGGGCCTCCCTCCCTGGTCCATATATATCCTTGATTTCTATCAAAGATACCTTAACAATCTTCAGTGCTGGCAACTGGATCCGACGATCATACATGGAAATTGTGGTCAGTGCCATCGGGTGAACTCGTTATGAGCGGAGAAGGCCACCGAGACTGGGTCAGTGGCATCGGCTTCCACAATAGAGGTATACTCCGTACTCTGGTATGTTGGGTTCAAAGCATTCTTATGTAAGAGTATGTATACAGACTCTTATGTGGTACTAGAGTTCAATGGCTCGATTCTATTGGGCATGATCGAGTTTTCGTATCGTAATGAAGAACAGTGGCAACTCTCGAATCGTGTTGAAGCATGTATGGCAAATGCTCCACCAGTTTCTAAGCACATGCTCTATCTGATCATGATCAACCTTACTCAACAGGCAATCTGATCGGAACGACGTCCGGTGACGCTACAGTGAAGATCTGGGATATGTCAACAGAGAGCTGCAGACACACATTTGCAGACCACACACAAGCGACGTGGGGACTCGACTTTCATCCGACACACGACTTCGTCGTTTCAGCCAGTAGGAAATCATAGAATGTTAGTTGATGTAATAGATGATATTTTTGATTGTGGTTCTTCCCATCATTTCGAAACTGTGCTTCAGGTTGTTGCAGGCAGTCCTATGCTCAGATATTGAATCTATTATCAAATATAAGGTATGGATCATACTGCGCGAGTATATGATCTTGGAAGCTGGCGGTGTAGGCAAACTTTCCGCGGGCACGTGGATTCAGTCAATGCTGTTTGCTTCCAGCCACATGGCATGAACGTATTTTGATATCCAATACTGGCTTCAAATGTCATCGGTGGAGGCTGAAAGATTATTTTGTGACTTAGATCAACAAATTAGTTTCAATTTTAGTAGTCGTTCTAAGATGGAGAATAGAATCACCTCAACTATCAAAATCTCAGGTATGCACAGCTAGTGGCGATAAAACAGTATCACTGTGGGATTTGAGGTCTGGGCTATGCGTGCAGACTTTCTATGGACATAGTAATGCAGTGAACAATTGTAGGTTCCACCGATCAGGGGCAACACTGGTCAGCTGCGACGCTGATGGTCTCTGTAAGCTGTGGGATATTAGAATGGTACTGAAACCTCTTACGCGTACGTTTCAACCATGATTCGTAGGAATAGAAAGTGAACCTATGTCATCAGAAATAACTTTGAAGGACTACATCATTTTTTCTCTAAAGTACCTACTCGATATTTTTTCAATCGGATTGTCGAAACCGAAAGCACTAAAGAAGCAACGACCGCTGTTGACTGTAATTCGATGGTCCTACTTGCGTAACTTTTCCAAAATCACACAAAGGTCTGCGAGTTTTTGCAAATCGATGCGGGACCGCATCCGGTGAATGCGGCAGACTTTGATGGTAGTGGAAAGGGCCTCGCGCTGGCAAGTGGAGACGGTGCCGTGAAGTTGTTCGATCTAGAAACGAAAACATTTGTCAAAAACTTGGACGGGCACGAAGATAGTGCGCAGGACGTGCGCTTTGATCCGACTGGCAAGATGCTGGCTTCCTGCGGTAGCGACAAAAACGTGATGCTGTGGCAGTAAAATAGACGCATATACGAAAGTGAAGCTTGTTTTTCTAGTACACACGGCAAAGCGTGTATGCGGAGTCCGTACTCTTCCTGGGAGGACAGACGGGTTTACACCTGCAAGAACGGTGCCTGTGACATGTTCACTGCTCCAGAAACGCAAAGGAACAAAACGTCGGCAAGTTACAATAGTTTGTTTTCCCAAGAAATTGTCTACGAATAGAAGATTTAACGCAAGATACATTTTTACAGTAAACTTGATACGCTTGATACGATACTCGTAATAGTCAAACATCAATTAGATGTGAGTCTGAGTTTTTGGATTACGCCTATAGAAACTCTCTTTCGGGGTTGAAGACCGAAAGGTTCATGATGCAGCTGCTGCAGTTGCATTCTATGCATGAGTAGAAACAGGTTTTTGATTGTCTTCCGATACGCTTAATTGCATTGACATACACCCTTGTCACCCCTATCCTTTTGGTTTTGAAATCTCGATACAACCACACCAGGTCATGTAAGAACAGTGAATCATGAATAGCGATGATGGTAAAAGAAGGAAATATAGAACTCCCATGGGGCATAGCTAATGTTTCGCAAATTGTTAGGAGAGAAATCTCAACATGGTGGAGTCGACTACGCGCAGAAGAAGTTATCTTTGTGCTGACGCCACACTGCACAGAATATGGCCTTCATCTTCGAGAGCGAAGTGAAGCATTCACATGATGCGGCCACGTCAACTCGTCGTTGCAATCGCACAAAGTATGGCTGCTCTGCAAAAACACAAAGTCAAAAAATGCACCTTTTTGGACTTCCCTCAACAAACTCTATTAACGCGTATAATTTACAAGAGCCTTCGTCGATATTCTTATTCTGTTACAAATCGTTCCTATTTTTTTGCTCAGATCTCATAAAACGCAACTATTTATTTGGCATGGCTAGGACTGAACAGAAGTTAAGGTTTTAACAAAGAACGAGAGAGAAACTCAAACTTTAAGTTTTTCGCTGTGTGTCGCGCTGCTGCTGAGACGACGGACTGCTCGAGCGCGGTTGCGGGTGTGTGTTCCTTCTCTCAATTTTCGCTCTCATTGCGATCCAGGTGTGTATCACGCTTCTACGAGCTGTGATGACAGGATCGAGGATCGAGACTTTTCAAATTAGGACTTTTTTTATAAACAGTATAGGTGTCTGCCACATATGGCGAACGCTGCCGCATTTCTACGGATCACACTTTCTATCTACGTCTGACGCTATCTGTTTCACCTTAACAATAATCCCTGAGTTTTTGTTTGCGCGATGATCCGAGTCGACCATTGAAATCGTCGTCACACTCCCTGATTTTTTGAAGCAAGTCAAGTGTATCCGCACTCCTATATAGTCACCATGCGAGCAGTGTCGGTATTTATTTTTCTTCCAGTACGAAGCACAGACAATGAGATGGCTCATTTCGACACGAGCGGGCCTCCAGACGGCAACGCTGCAAGAGGCACGGAGTCTCAGCAGTGGCTGGGAAGCCCAGCCGTTCCTCCGTGGCTTTGTGCTGCTTTCCAGGAAAGAGGAAACTCCGCAAGAACAGCTTTGCAACCCCAGGCAACGACCTGTTGTTGAAGGTACTCTTGCTTTTCCTCGTGCAGCGGAGCGTGTAGGTATATTCCTAGGGTATAAGCGGCAGGTGCGCGGGTTGCCAGCTTTCCGAAAGTTTTTGCGTGACCTCGTAGCAGCCTCGTCCAAGGAAATTCAGTATGCCCGGATGCTGCACGAAAAATGGGGAAAAGGTTTGGTCATGGACGATGGAAGAGTCTCTGCGGCTACAACTGGATCGTCTCCACGGCCCCCGGGCCACGGAATGATTAAAGATGGCTGGACAAACCATAGTGCATGTGCAACTCATCCGCCATCGCGAGGCGTAGGAGCACAATCATCTGCGCGAGGGTTCGGAAGTCTGGTTAGACGATCTAATTCTTGGACGAGCAGTTCCACCCTAGACGTTCATTGCTCAGTCGTGAACACGTCTTCACTGTGGGATCGCAACGCGGTGATTCGAGAAGCACAGGGCGTGTGGTCGTCTTCCCCAATGTTTGAGACTTTGAATAACTCTTCAGTGGCACCAACATCAGAACCTGAAAGCACAAGAGATGAAGCAGAGTCCCTAAAGCAGCTTGCTATCGCCGATCCTATATTTAAACCTTTTGGACATCTGCGTGGCCGGCCAGAACTCCAAGTAGCTGTATGTGATGAGAATGACACGGTCGTTGTTTCCTTGGATCCAATCGGAGCGACTCTCTGTCCAAGGCCTTTCTCGCTTGATCCGGGACTAGGCATTTCAGAGAGAGGTCGACATGATGCACGAGAGGTGTCCAGTACTAGTGTTGAGGGAAGGACCATATCTCAAGCCCTAGCCAATGGCGCACCACAAACAAGTCTTGATACAATCGAGCCGTGGGATTTGAAGGCGTTGTGGTCTTCATCAAGAAGTACTGGTACTTGTACTTCAAGTACGGGGTCAAGACGGTCGATCGATCATGAGTCGGGTTCGTCGCGTAACTCGCTGGTTATGAGTGAAGCAACCACCCGCGATTTGGAGGACCGCCTGCGCCCTTGTCATGCCGCTGCTTGTTTAAACCTGATCGCGCGAGACCTAAACGCGACGCGAACGTCAGCAAGGGAGGAAGAACTGACTTTGTGGGATCCCTTTTGTCGATCTGGAATTTTAGGCATCGAAGCAATTTGGCCAGAGGTTTCTCCAGAATTAGTACTGCATAAAACAAGGGTATTTCCGTTTTCACGGGCGCTATGTAGTACCCATGATCCGGAGGAGCTGTTGCGCGCACGTGATCGTTTGAAACGGTTTTGTCACTTCTGGGCTTCAACGGCGCACGTTGAGTACTTCCCTGAAGACGACTTTTCTACATTTTCAACTAGGTCAGCCGAAGATGGTGCTGCAAGCACAACAGCGAAGAAAGGGGCCGATTGTATGAAAAATTCAATATCTTCTATCCAGCTGGTGTCTGGGTCACCGACAGCAGTTGGGAAGAACCTTGCGGAACCTGGACGAACCGTAGTTTTCTGTCGACTAAGCCAGTATCGTGGACGCGACCATCCTAGACGTCAACGCGAGGACGATGCGATGCAGCAGTTCTCCTATCTCGTCGCGAATACTAGGTTTCGCGCTTGCTACGTACTCGCGGATGGCCGCATTCGTCGGCACTTTCCTACGGCTTTGCCGGAACCTATCACCACTTTCAGATGTGGAAACCAACAACGGAGTTTGTGGAAAGTTGCGGTTTTACCACCAAAAAACTCACGCTTTCAGGCTGGTCTTCCGCTCGACAACTCCCTGTCCCCCAGAACCAGCGTTGCTTCGGCCAAAAGCAACCCACAAGTAGTTTACAAACGAGAACTGAAGGAAATGCTTGATTATGACCCAGACGTGTGACGGTGTACGAACATCCTCATCTCAATTGAACTATTTGCTTAGTTGTTGACAAGAGGAAGAGTTTGTAAATTGATGACATTATATGTGGCTCGATGCTAGATTCAGGATACTTTCAGGTAAGGCAGCCTGTTTTTCAAGGTATTGTGAGTGTTCTTCTTAACGAGAAGGATTACAGGTGAAGACGCGCATGTCGTCTTTTCAATCCTTATAACTTGAAAACACATTCATTCTGATCATGTTGTACGTGGTTTACTGTACAAACCAGCGTTGAATGTTGTTATCCGTCCATCTGTTAATTCACACATTAACAAGGATCCGCTTTCACAAGTAGACCCAAGGATCAACGGTTCCCCTCCCCTGCTTGTCACACAAGTGTTTGAAATATCGTGTTACCCTACGAAATATGGATTAGTTAAGTTCATTGCCGTTTCAAGATTTACTAGTTACTTCCAAAATGTGTCCTCTAAATTTTGGCAAAGTTAGTTTTTCTAGAAAATCATTCTTGTCGTTGTGTCTAATGTTCGCATGCACCATCGAAAAAACAGTATGGAAATTTGAGCTGTGTAAAACTTCGAAAAATTGAAGGTAAGCACTACTATGACTTTTGCATGTTCTTTCTGGGACTTAGTCCCAGAGCTCCGTTGAGGTCTGGGGGCGTTATACGTCTGCGCGCCTGTCCGCGAAGCAAGGACCACCATCAAGTGTGCCTCGGCGACGGTCCTTTCAGGCGTAAGCGAGTCCGAAAATAGTACGCCGCTTCGAAGACGCCCTGCTGATTTGCCAAAACTCTTCGATCATGGTGCTACCTTTGCTTGGTCTCGGGGGGCTGGGTTACCTTCAATGGAAGAGCTCGAAAGATTTGGATGCGCTGTCTGATACGAGATCAGCTAGTCCATTCACCTTCTGGGCAGGGCTCTCACTCGGTGGACTCATAGGAGTGTGGGTACTATTCTCTTAGAGGATTCAAACTCCAGAGTTTTTTTCAACTTGCTTCAATTACTTCTACTAGGACGAGAACCATAACAACTTTGTAACATGATAAGGTCGAGTGTCGCTGTCCTGTCTCACATGGTTCAACCGTCGTTTCTCATCAGGTCGGAACAAATTACGGAGGCGCAATAATACGCGGATATAATGCGTGTGAGGCTTTTGTGACCTGGCTAAATCCCTTCGGTTTTTCGAAGGACGATAGCAACCGAAATAATCCTGATGCGCGAAAAAAATGAATCCAATCTCGATGATGTCGCGCGGACAACCTGATCTCATTCTGAAACTTAAATATGATCGTGAATTCCAATGAAAATCCATCCTAGACGCCGGCTAATTGCAGGACTACAATCGCAATTCCGGGATTTGTTGTCCTTGGAGAACAGTGCGCGAGTCACGTGGCAATGTCATTGTGTTCCTCACGATGTAGAACGTTGCCCTCTGAATGAAAATGCAACGTGGGTGAAGATTTTCAGACCTAGACCAAGACTGTAATGGGAATGCAAATTCATAGTCCATCTTCTGTTGTAGAAGCACAAAATATAACTGTATGATTTCTACTCTGGAACAATTTGAATATGTTCATGCATCCTAATGTTCTGATGAATCTGTTGAAGTTGACGCATCCTCGATCCATGTGTCAGTGGCTCATATTGAAAAACCTGGATGCTGATGTGTGCTCACGAAAGTCATGGATCGTCAAGGACAAATTGCTGCATTCGGAGCATTTGATCTTGGTGTGATGATTGGTCGTTTTCCTCGATGTTTGAAAATTCCTGACTCTTACTCAACATCCCTCAGTCTTCTACTACCAAAGTTTGCTCTAAGGCGAGACTATTCTTGGATCCCTTTTTGGATCTGACCTCCTTCACTTGCTCGTGTGAAAAAGGATACCAGACCTACAATGCTGATTGTAATTTTGGACTTTCTTGTTCGTTGTCATTCCTGAAGATAGCTCTCAATCCCATCATCTTATCTTCACCTGCTGCAGGCGCAAGGAGTTACGAATGAATGGTCGCCACAAATATATCATGTTGGGAAGGTGGATTTTTTTGATACCTAGTGCCTAGACCAAAAAGACACACTTGTCATTCTTGGTTGCGCCCCTCCTCGTTTCATTGTCGTTTCTCGACACCGCAGCGAAGCTGGCAGGAGCGCTTTGGCCTAAAGGGACATTCTACGCGAGCGGGCGACACACTTGACAGAACAAGATCTGGATATTTCTAGCTACATGATCAGCCGCTGCAGGATTCAACTTGCAATTACAACATCTTATCGCTTTAGTCGTCGATGAAAATGGGCAAGATGGTGAGCGCCGCTGAAGCTAAGCAGCGAGAGAAGAAGAAGCAACAGAAACAAAACCGCAAACAGCGTAAGGCCGAACAGTTTCAAGAGAGGCTAGCCAAACAACAGGATGTCAAATCCATCAAAGGCAAAAGCATCGCTTCCGTAGACACGGAAGCACCAGAAAACGACGAAGAGTACTTCTTAAGTTTGTTTTTAGCGAATTTGAACACACTGACTTCACTTTCTTTGGTTTCTTTCGCCCTTCGACGAACTCTTCGATCCGGGTCCAAGTTAGTGGAGGCTGGAAAAATATTATGAAGATCTCCTTACAACAACAACCGCATACTGATTTGTCCTAAACTTTTTTAACTTCTTTGATTTTTGTAACAACTCAGGTATGTCATTCCAGAGTTGCCTTTTAGCCAGGATGATTCACGTTATGATGACTACAAGAAAGTTTTTCAGACTTTGTCCGTCCTCGGGGACAACGAAGTTCCAGCGGCGGCGAAGGAAGTCCAGAAGAAGAAGACGAAGGTGGAACTTCGAAAACAGGTAACGGATTTTGGATTATATTGATGAAACACAACTGCGAATCAATAGATATAGCTTCTTGTTTTTAACCAACTTCTTCCTCTTCGAGCTATTCAAAAAAGTCAGATTATGAGCTCCGCTTTTCTTCATCAGGTGTTGACCATGACGGACGCAGGTGAAGATGACAAACCGGAGAAACAAAAGAGGACCAAAAAAAAATTTCTTGTTCAAGAATTGAAGTCTATGGTTATCCGTCCAGATGTCGTGACAGAGGTGGATACAACCAGTCCTGACCCGGAGCTTCTGGTCTACCTCAAGGCCTACAGAAACACGGTATGATTTTGTTGTATTTGTAATGAGCCTTCTTGCAGTTTCTCATTGGTGACGACCTTCATGAAGAGTGTAAACAATCATGATTTGAGTCTTCCTTTTCTGATTACAAGACGAAGCCGCTGAGTAGGTTGCTATCATGTTTTTATCTTTCATCCGTATCAACTTACAGGCTGTCGTCCCACCACATTGGGCTAGTAAGAGGAGATACCTCAGTACTAAGAAAGGACAGGAAAAGCCGAGGTACAAGCTGCCAGAATTTATCGAAGCGACAGGAATTGCCAAGATTCGTGAAGCCGTACTCAAAAGGGAAGAACAAAAAGGTAGGTTTACTTCTTTTGTCTCTCCAATAAAAAATTCATTTTGTGCCTTGAAATTTTTGTAGATATTGTATAGTAGGAGCTACTTTACTCTTCGCGACAGAACTGGCTAGCACATGTGAAAAGCATTTCACAAGTTGTGTCGTGCTCCTCCTTTTTATCAAAAGAATCTTCATATTCAATGTTACAACAGGTCTCAAGGGAATGGCGAAGGCGCGACTTAGTGCAAAGATGGGAAAGTTGGATATTGATTACCAAGTATTGCACGACGCGTTTTTTAAGTATCAGACGAAACCAAAGCTCACAGGGCACAACGACGTCTATTATGAAGGGAAAGAGCAAGAAATGAAGATGCATACACTCAAGCCGGGAAGCAAACTCACGCCAGTCCTTATGCAGGCTTTAGGTATATTGTTTAGTGTACTAGATAAGAAAATTGTCGTTGGGATAATGAGGGGAAAGTTGCGGTTTTTTGGTTGTATTTGAGAACAGGGATAGATAAAGGCAAGGAGCGTTAATTGTTCTTCCTGGAAAGTCACATAGTGATCAAATATCAATCAATTATTAACTCAGGTATGACCGATGAGAAAATGCCTCCACCGTGGCTCTTCAACATGCAGCGTTATGGGCCCCCGCGCGCCTACCCAACGCTGCGGATACCGGGTATCAATGCTCCGATCCCAGAGGGCGCTGAATACGGAATGGGAATGGGCCAATGGGGTCGTCCCCCCGTGGATGAATTTGGTACATCTGCCTCTAGTACGTCGATTGGGATTTTGATAGACATTAAGTATGGAAACCTTTTTCCAGTACTGTTTTGAGAAACAAGGATCCATCCGAGTGCTGTCACTGTTCTCTACTTTTTTACGAAAATATTTTCTCAGGCAATCCTAAATTCGGCGACTGGGCCAAAGAACAGGCCGCTCGTGCGCGACGAGCTCAGGTGGACGACACGACTCTTTGGGGTGAGCCCGAAGACGTCTCTGACGAGGAGGAAGAGATGCAGGCTGAGGGCCCGGAGCAAGACGGGCAGGCCACACCGATGGTCGGCCACGCGACTCCGATGGTCGGCCAAGCGACACCTCTCGTCGGTGGGGTCGGCACTCCGATGATCGGAGGCGCGCAGAGCAGCACAGGTTTCCGCTCGACTTCGGGAATCAGCAGTGTGACTAGCGGAGTAACCGGTCTTCAGACTCCGGGATCCATGAGCGGTCGATACGGATTCTCCGGTAGCTCGCAAGGCGGCATTCGATCGGCGTCGGTCGCGACACCCGGACCACAGCTTTTCCAGGTACATTTTGACTTTGAATTGTCTTTTGTGCTAGCCGAGAAGGTCTCGCTGTTTTTGTTGATGTTTACAAGTAGTAAATTGGAAACAACAGACTTGCGCACTGACCACTACGATTTTTTTTGGAAAATAGCATGAACAGGTAGAAACAGCGGATCATCCTCACAACTTCAACATCAGAGAAATTCGTAGGAACTCAACCCGAATCGACTAACATCATCATCAACGTGAACAGGTCCTCGAGGAACAGAAACGAGTAGCAGGCGCAGGCGGCATTTTCCCAAGTTCTCATGGTTACAACCGAGGAGTTGCCACACCAGGCATTGCAACGCCAGGCATTGCGACGCCGGGAATAGCAACACCAGGTAGGAGACTTAACTATGGATCATGGTTTAAGTATCGCAAGTATGCGACTGATATCTCAAGAATGCAATTTTCTTCTACTTCAGGTTTCCATTTATTTCGAAATCTGCTTTAATCTACCTTGATCTCCCACATCAATGATGAACAGGTATTGCGACGCCGGGAATTGCGACTCCAGGCATCGCTACACCGGGTATTGCCACGCCAGGCATGCTGCGACCAGGTGTGGCCTCTGCGGGTGGTGTGCAGTCCGTCGGAGTGCACAGCGCTATGATCGCAGGGCGTCCGGGTATCCAGACCCCGATGGGTATCTCAACGCCAATGGGAATTGCCACTCCAGTCGGTGGGATTGCGACGCCAGTTGGTGGCATTGCGACACCTACAGGCATTGCCAGCGCCGGTGGCATCAAGTCGGTCGAAGCAGAGGGCATGCTCACTGCTGATATCATTCGCGCACAGCTCAAACAGCACGAGGCGACAGCGGTCAAGGCGCGCGCCGCAGCACATCAGAAGGAGGTCAAAAAGGGCAAAGACAAAAAGAAAAAAAAGGAATTCAAGTTCTAAGTGCTTCTTTGTCTATCAATTTGTGATCCTCCCATTCTCCCGCATTTCGCGATTACATAGAAAATGGCGCAAGTACTAACAACATACTTCTTGTCGATAAACTCTTAGTCCCCTACTTCGTTTCGCGCTGATGTACGGAGCATATTTATTCTCTTCGCTGTTTCACCGTCGGTGCAATACATATGTTCGCATCGTCGATGTATATAGTCATGATGAAGTACTACATCGCACATCATAGTTTCAAAAGTTAAGTATTTCTATCTAATGATTATACCTGTTCTGCCTGTTGCGGATCCCGCATACCAAGAATCGATCAACAACAGTAAGCATGTAGACCTGAAAATAATCTAATCAAGCCTACTAGCCACATTCTGCTTTAGCTGCCGTCCGGAGGAAGTGTCGTAGCGAAGTGGAACGTGCCTTCGAAGGGTTATTCTTCTGATCCTCAGAGAGCCGTCAGTTTTCTAGGTAGTACTCGGCTCTGTGGTTCGGTCGATGCATCGTCTAGCGTAGGCCATGCTCGGTTTAGTAAATTGCAGTGTCAGTCGTTCTGTATAATGATTCATGCGCAGTACCGAAAAGTCGGTGTCTCTCCATAGGAGATATCGGGTCTCAATAGTTTCTGTGCCAACGTTCCTGACATAGTTGAACACTCCCCAAGAACATTCCGATGACTAAATAACGTAAGTTGAGAATACGAACTTCGCATCCCTCAGCAATCCCGATACATAAAATTCATCATATTTATTCGTGGCTTTTCCCCTTAACATAGTCAGAGGTTGCGCTGCAAATCTTGATTGGCTTTTGCCCGTAAAACGGCGAAGGTTTAGGTCCAGCGACGCTCAAAGCACTCAAATAAACAGCCGGCTGGTTTTCCTCTTTCTACCTTTAGAATATCCCTTCTTGCAACATATTTATGATATCTGAAGTCTATGCCGCTTATCTTAGTCAAGATAGATTGATTAAATTTTCTCGCTAAAAAAGAAAGATGGTCGAGCACTGCGAAATGCTTGATGCTACAAAGGTTTTTTCCGGTTTATAGAGATGAGAAACGACCTTCGGCGACAGAGTGCACTCTTTGACTGCGTTCTAAACAAGAGACGATATGAAGAATTTCAGCGAAGATCCGAACTACTTTTTGAAGCCCCCTGTCGGCGATACGTACGAATGGGGGTATCCGTGTTCAGTCGACAAGCTGCCGTTAGGGGCGCCGCTCAATCAGCGTTTTATGCCGAATACTGGAGGCTTAGATTGGGGGTCGTATCCGAATATGTACCCGACACAATGCGGAACGACTCTGGTAAAGCTGGACTCTGAAGCAACGTCGAACTCAGATTTCAATGGGGCACTGGAGTACGTCTGGATGCCCGATAAGGCAGTGAACTGCATGGCTGTACCCGCGCCCCACGATTTTCTCGCCAGAGAAAAATCCCGCTTCGGTGGTATGAGCGCGCAGTGGTTTCGGGATAGGCGGGTAAGGAGTCGCGAAGAGAAATTGAATTGATTGCCAACTACTTTCATATCTATGAAATTGAATCAATGCGAGAAGATCTTCGAGTAGTTAGCTCTTTACATCCTGGACATGCTTTATTTCATCAGGCCCAGTACTGTAGCTGAATTCATTGAAACAAATCCTAAAACAGATGCGGGGTGTAAAAGAGCAACTCGGAGGAAAGATTATGGGAAGTTCTTTGCTGAATACACCCTACAAAGCTTTCGCATCAAAAGGGCGAACGGATAATCCTCTCTTTGCTTTTGCTGGTGTGCAGGACGGACCGGGAAAGCGGCCTACTTTGCGCATTCGCAAAGGCGGTTTCGGAAATGATATTGTGTGGCGCGACCAGCCGTCTACGTGGAGTCGGCTCAAAGGACTCGCGGGTATGCCTCTAAAAACGTTGCAGAATTTGTTCACGAACGCCGACAAGAAGTTGGACGGGAAAGAATGGTGGCCAGGTATCCAAAACAAGTACATGGCGGCGTTCATGTGCCAAAACATGAAGGACTGCGCGTATTTCGTCTTTGATGAGAACAAAAACCGCATGCAGATGTGCATGGGGCAAGAGCTGAAGCCGCAGGAGGAGGCCGCGGCGGCAGCTGCAGGCGGTGGCGAGGACACTGCTGCGGCGACTCCCGGGAACAACATGGCGAAACCACATCGAGGTCGGGTGTTCGGATTTCACATGGCGAAGAAGATGCGTGGCTACGCGATCGGTGTGAGCCCACAGTTTCTAAAGGAGTCTCTGCGTCTGGCGGAAGAAGACAAGTTGATTCCGAACACCAAAGCGGTCTGCCCAGGTCGCGATGGTCGCTATCTAGAGACCAGACCCTTCGCCGAGGATCTGCGCGACGCGTTTTTGCGAAATGCAACCTCCTCGGACGTATTACGGCCGACACACTGGTGGTACAACCTGGCAGGAAGTCAAACGTTCTATCGGCAGGACTCGGACGTGAAGGGAGAGCTATGCGCCGGAGAGCCAACGCTGGTGCCGCAAACGGGGTCTTACGCGGTGCTGCCGGCCACACCACAGGCCGCTCCGGGTGTCGCACCGCCAGGGGTGCTTGCGTAACGAGACGACCGCCGACCACTTCGCCGTTTGAAAAGCAGCACCCACATTTTGAAGATACGCGATGGCGGCGTTTTTTCCAGGGTTCGCGGGCCACTCAAAAGAGGCGCTCAACGTCGTGCCTACTGGCCCTTTCTAGACAGAAGGGAAGGATGCCCAGTTCACTCCGGATATGCAGACAGCGTTCTTGTCGCAGCAGCACAGCGGGACATCAGCGGAAGCGCACGTTGCACTCGGTGTCGTCGACGCCGATGATTGCGTGCCCCGAGACGCGAGTAACTCCTTCCGCGCGTGTACGAGAAGAAAGATACAAGAGTTCGGTACGGAAAAAGCACATGAAAGAATCACCCTAGTTCGCATAAGCTCACTCAACAGCGAATTGCATGCGTTCGTCGAAACTTTCAGTCTCGAGCTAGCGACCGGGCGCGGCTTTCATGAAATTTTGAAAGGTGCACGTCTACTGCGTACATTACAGCCCCACGAGGACAGCGTCGAAGACCATGAGTCATACGAGCAACTGAACACAAGTCACTTTAACGGACAGCAATATGACGAAAATACGAGGGCAGCACGTTCGAAGAGCGCGCAGTGTGGTCGAAAATGGCCCGTTGAAAATAGTTGCCACGTACACTCTACTGAAATCTTGTGTGAAAGTTGCCAGTGTGTATTACAAGAAGTCAAGAATCGGTATTCATGTCGGAAGCGACTCATGTGTTGATTGTTCCTCGGTCGGAGACGCAAAACTGAACTTCTAAAGAAAGCTTATCGCCTTTCATAGTGTTCTCCCATTCTTGTGTTCCCAGAAATAAAAAGCTGTGACTTTTATTTCGGTACTCCCCTCGTCTACGTTTGTGGCCATCTTGACGATTTACGGAAGCAAACGACGAGTGATATGGGATGGCCTTTGCTTGACCAAGGCAAGGGTTCAAGCACAGGTGCTGGAGTAAAGAAGCATTTGCTGGCGTATGAGCAAGTAACTCTAGTGATGTTTTTAGAAACTTTTGTTTTCTGATTGTCAGGATGCAGTTACCCAAAAGGCCTTTTTCCTGCGTTTGCGTCCGCCCTCCCGCGTTTCTTTAGAGTACCTATTGCGCCGATTTTCATGCTCATACCGATGCTTTTTCTGCTAGCTTTCAATTATATGCTTCTTCCTGTGAAAGTGAAATTGTGTGGAGATTGTCGAAGCCTGAGGACGGACCTCCCCCGCGGTAGTCATTCCCTCTGCCAAGACTTTCGGTGTCTCCGATTTTACGATGTCTCTCAAACAAGTTCATCGTCCATAACAAATTTGAATACTCATTCTAGATCAACAAGGAAAGATAAAGCATGCGCAATTGTGGTCTTTTTGACGCTCGAACTGTTGGCGCGTCCTCTCGCGGGACATCACGGTCGCAAGAAGCATGAGTGATCAGAGTTCCACAAAGTCGGATCATGCGACGAGCTTGTTCGTGGATCCGCTCTGTCAGAGTGCGCAGAATAGATGGAACTCTCCGAGGCGTGAGCGCACGGATAAGACCCTTCTAGCTGAAAAGCGAGGCTTATTGGCTGGGGCAGACGAGGATGTTTTTCTCTGGCCCAGTCGTGGGTTGCACCACGCGGGCTTGAGACCGCTCACCTACGGACGTCTTCGCTCCCACACGAAGGCGGGTGGCCACCCGCTCTTGGTCGCTTTATTGCGGGACTACGGAGATTTGGGAACCCTGCAGGAGAACGAGCAGAATCAAAGGAGTCACTGCGTTCGCGTTGGTTTCCTCGTTGACAATGTTGGAAGTGGGGGCTCGTTGAAATTGACTGCATCAGGCGGAGGGTCTGCGAAGCAGGTGCCAGACGTGACGCTGCTTTTGTCGGCGATGCTTTCTCTTCTCTTGCACGATAAAGAGTCTGGAAGTACTGCGCGGTTCCAGGTGTGTCCAATCGACGCCGCAGCACCGGAAGCCGAGGTAAGACGGCAGGTTGAAACTCTTTTTCAGTGCCACTGCCTTGTAGGGGTGTCTGGGATCTCCGTTTCCTCTTGGGCGCAGAGCGGCAATACCTCTAAAAGTGGAACAGGAGGAGCACGAGGTCTGCCCGTGTATGTGCTTGGCCCTGACGATGATGCAGTCGGCGTTGTACGAGAAGTGCGAAACGCAACAGGCGTAACTCCAGAAGGGAGCGGGATTGTAGAGCGAGCTGCTTCACCTGCAAGTGGGAGTTCGGGTGCAGCTGAATATGAGATTGCCGGCGCTGGTGAAAATTTCGAAATCACACTTCTACTTGCGACATCGGGTACCACAGGCGAACGGAAGCTGGTAGGGTATACGACAGCGCAATTATTCCGATCCGCCCGAGCGATTGCTGGTTCTCTCAGATTGAGCTTTAGTGATGTCTGTCTGAACGCTTTGCCTTACAGCCACATTGGAGGACTTTGTTGCAATTTCCTAGCTGTGCTGGTATCCGGCGGGAGTCTTGTGGTTCTTCCGGGCCGTTTCGACAGCACGGAGTTTTTGAGGTACGTTTTCCTGGACGAGGACGACACTGAGGCGCAGGCGTCTGCGAAATGCCGAGCAAGCGAGGGTGGAGGAAAAGAACAAGCAAATCCAATCGATCGGCCCTCGACACCGGGATCCCGTCGCACGACATTCGCTGCGGCGTACAGAGTGACGTGGTACTACGTCGTTCCTACGATGCACCGCGCGCTGCTGCTGGCATTGCAGGCGCTATGTGCGGAGAGGCAGCACCCGGATGGGCGGCATCAGCGAAAGGTAGACCGGGAGCGGCAGAAACACTTGCTGCGCTTTGTGCGTTCTGCATCCGCGAACCTTCGCGTAGAGGAGCAGGCCGCTTTAGAGGAGGTGCTAAATGATCCTAGTATGCGAGCGGACGTGTCTGCATTGACACGAACGCAAGTTCTGCCGACCTACGGCATGACCGAGTGCATGCCCATTTGTTCGCCAACGCTGCCCCGCGGCGTCGACAACATGCACTTGGATCATACAGAAGAAGCTGGAAACACCGCGCCAATAGGTAGCGTCGGGCAACTCTGTGCGCCTGAGGTAGAACTAAAAATTGTTCCAGCAATGGAACACGTCGGCGCATCAGCGCAGAACGAGAAAAGCACGTCTGTTCTTGCGAATCACGATCCCTTGCCTTACGGTGTCGTTGGCGAAATCTGCGTGCGGGGTTCACAAACTGCAAGGTATTTTGATATCGAGGCTTCTTCTGGTTCGAGATCGGGGCCGACGACGATGAAGCCAGGTGCTTCTGAGGTACAAGCGTTGCAGTGGTTTCGAACAGGGGACTTAGGTACTTTGGACGCAGGAGGAAACTTGTTTCTGCGTGGTCGTGTACGGGAGATGTTAAAACGCGGCGGCGAGCAGGTTGCCTTGTCGGAAGCAGACGGACGCCTTCTGGATGCAGCAAAGGAGGTACTAGAGGAGGTCCAACAAAGTGTAGTTAGAGGCGCGTTTAGTTTCTCTGTGCCCTCGCAGATGTACGATGAAGAGCTTGCGGGCGTAGTTCTCGTGAACGACGTGCGGCAGTTGCTGGCTAGTGCGTGGTGTGGTCATGTCTCTGAAACAGAAGCGCAAATAGACTTGCTTACCCTTGTTCCAGGGCTGCGACAACTCGCACAAAGTGTGGTTGCGAAGAACAATGAGGACGCTCCTGACGCAGGAAAAATTGTGCAACTGTTTTTCGCGTCTGAGGAAGTGCTTGTAAGCAGTGGAACTCTGATTCGCGCGACTGGCAAATTGCGTCGTGCAGGTGTTGCAGACGTACTGACAGCTGCAGCAGCGAGATTTCTCGTAGAGTGGACGGCGCGACAGAGCGAGCGAGCACTGCACGCGGGTACTGCAGCGGTGCCCCCTGGTGCGCTGTCGCCAACTGGGAGTCTAGTTGTAGGAGCACCAGTACGTGGCTATGCTCCGATACAGAACGCCAACCCGCACTTTGGTGCTATCGCAGCGGGACCGCCTGTGGCCGCTTCCTTGCAGGCTGATGAGTCGCACGCGCGAACCATGTGGAGCGACCGGCTGGCCTTCTGTGTGTGGGATAAACAGGGAGGTACTGGACAACGGATTCTCATCTTAGCGCGCCAGGAGCTGATACAGAGGAGAACACCGGTTCTGCCTGATGTTTGGCACATCCAACTTCCGACTTTGCTGTCTTTGTCGCCAGAACCATTGGGAAGTATGCCAGCGACCACAGCTCATTCTTTCGCAGGTGGTGCGCCACTTAACGAGAATCTGAGCAGCAACTATTTCGCCACTTATAGTCCGCACGGTGTTGCAGGAGGGAATGCCATGGAGAGGCAGCAACGTGCGTATTTATCGACCACGAACAACATTGGTGGAACTCAGCCTACCGCATACACAGCGGGGTACGTTGTCCCTGGGATCGCAACAGCCACATTCGCACCAATGAGTGCCCTGGAGCTCGCCTCGGGGGAGCTACGACACGACCGCAATGCGGTGAACAACACAGGCGATTATCCTGCTTTGACCGCTATGCGCTTTTTGCTGGCTTGTTGGGTGATTCAGTTGCACTGCGGTCGCATGCCAACGGAGTTTCTGGCCAAGGCACAGAGTTTGTCCATTGATATGCCTGCCTTCACCTTTCTTGCCGGCTTTCTTACTGCGAAATCGGCCAGCGCAAGGCCGATTACGAAGTACTATCAGTTTTTGTGTCACACACCTAGATATGGAACGCGTCAGTCTTCGAGACTCTATTTGATTTCATTTGGACTTAGAGGAGAATTTTGTTATAAGAAGAATCTGTTTCTTCCATCAGGTACGAACGACGTCAGTTTTATATATCGCGGCTTGGTGTGCCGCACACCCTGTATTTGCTCGCTTTGTTGTTTTCGCTCCCATCCTTCTTCATTCGGTGCCCACCGGGGCAGTGCAGGCAGCCAGAGGGACAAACGGGCTACGGCATTTCCCTCGTCCTGAATTTCCTTGTTTTTACAAGTGGATTTTTGCCTTCCATTTTTGTTCTGCCGTTCAATCCCGTCACATGGTACCAGGCCAACTACTACTACTTCGTAGTAGCGTTTCCGTATTTCCAGGAGTGGTTGGCATCTGATTCTATCCGAGTGGATGATTTCGGGCTCCTCTTCGTCTGGGGCGGGGCGACTCTGTCCGCTACATTGGTGATGGTAACGCTGATTTTTCGCGGTCTCTATTTTCTGAACTTTCTTTTCTTTAGTTGGGTACCGCTGTTTCTATGCGCGATCGCGTCCTGGCTTGTGCATGAAAAATACCTCTTGCCAGCGGTCTCCCACCGACGAGCCCTGCGCCGTCGCGCTCGGGACATGCCGTTGTCACGACAGATGATCAACGTTGCCGGGACCGAGCTACTAGAGAACGGCGCGCCACATGACTCTCCACTAAGAAGCTCAAACTCGGGACTTGAAGGAGGCCAAGCTCAGCACATGTTGGGCGGCTCTCGAGGTACACAAACAGGACCTGCCGATCGCCAGCGACATGTGCATGCCTGGTACGCGAACAGTATTCTTTGGGCTCTGATAACCGACGGCATCAGTTTCTTGTTTATATACCTCTTCTGGTTGCAGGCTAGCAGCGAGTGCTCGTGGCTACCGCCAAAAAAAGACGTCCGAAAAGGCGGGCGGATGTGCTTTGAAGGAAGAACGTGGGAAGAGTACAATGCGGAGTCGAACGACCCGAAAAAACATGATGCTGGACCTTGGGTTTCAGGGAGGTGGAACACGGAAACACAATTCTGGTGGTGTGCGTGTCGTTTGCACACGCCCTTCATGGTAGTGTGGTTTCTCGGTCTGGCGGGCGCCGGCGAGCGATCCTTGACGTACCGACTCTTGACGCTAAAAGACAACTTTGCAGCCAGGAACCTAGCGCCGTTGGCCTACCCGATGTACTTGCTGCACTACAATGTGGCGTGGTACTACTGGTATCTGACGCGCGGCACCGAGCGCGAGTGGTGGTGGCCCGAGGCGGCGGCTTATCCGTGGCCCGTTTCATGGCCGCTGGAAACGCTTTGTGTCATCGTGGCAACAGCCATAGCTGGTGCGATGGCTAATATGGCGTCCGGACGACTGTCATTTCTCGGTCTTAGCTGCGTGAGTTGCCAGTGCGCATTCTTCGGTGACTGCTGGCATGCGCTTCTTGGTGAAGCCGGTAGTTGTTGCCCGCGACCGCCTTCGGGGTCAGACATATACCTGAGCGAATTGCAGCAGCAGCAGCAGCCGCTTGGTGCGCCTGGCGGGGACTCGTCAGCGAGTCTCACTCCTTACGTCGCTGCAGATCACACTGGTGCGTCAATTCCAGCGGATCACAGCGGACAGGTGCCAGACGACCTTTTGCCGTATTTTCGTGGTCTTGCCGCAATGATTCGTTCGATGTCGGGGGCTGTTGTGGGACCTGCGAGCCGCATCGACGAAGTAGGCTTGGACTCTTTCGGTGTGGCAGCTTTCGCTGGAATTCTGCGGCACCGTTTTTCGGAGTGGACACGTGGTCTCCGGACGTCAGAGCTGGTTCGCTGTCAAACAGTGCAGGAAGTGTGCGTGTATCTGCGATCATTGAGCAATGCGGGACAGCATCGAGCTTCCCGTGAATATCGAACTGTTGACGCTGGAATCCTACCAGAATGAGCCTCCCCGGAGGTGGCGCCACTATATCTGCAGCTACATCATGTTATAGTGAGTTGTGCATCACATCACGTATTTTTTTTTCAGAAAGAGTAAGGCCACACGGACAATTTACCGGTCCTTTGATGTTCGTCGTGCTTCTGCAGTAGACGCATAAAGTGGAATCTTTTCAGCGAATATATTTCGGTATATTTTCATTTCTGTCGAGAGTATAAGTAACTAATCGGCAGCTTTTAAACGTGCTCGGTTTTTAAGTGAGAGCCAACTGTTGATACAATAGTATTCAGATGCTCTTCCTGCAAAGTGGTTTGTCTCGGTTGCCCACACAACTTCCTATTCATCAATCTCACATGGGAGCTGGATCCAACCCCAGTCTTTGTATTTTGCTAGAGAGGGAAACTGTTCGGGAAAATATTTTATTTTTGAAGAGCATCCATTTATGCAGTTGTATGTACTAGCTACAGTATCTTGGGGCGCTCAGCCCGCGCCGCCGGATACACCTTGCGTGAGAACGAGGCAAAGGCATCCTATCCTATCCTATCCTATCCTATCCATAATTGAGTCACGTAAAATTCGTTTTCCCAATTTTAGGCGTTTATTACTCACTAGGAGAGGATTTTTTCTCCGAGGCGTGCGGGTTGGAAGCATTGAACCTGCGTTATTCTTGAATATAGGTTTTTATTGTGCTCAGTAGTACTAAATTATTTATCTTATAAACAGCAGCATTCAACATTTGTCCAAGCTCAGATTCTGTTGACGTTGTGCAACATCTTGCTATTTGAGCAACTAGACTAGAAAGTGGTTACCTCATTGAGACAGTTTTTTAGATTAATGGCTGCTAACTATACCTAGGAAGCAAATCCTCGCATGATGTTTAGAAAAGGTGTCGATGAAAAATGCTTAGTGAGTGGAGTACCACTATTAATGTACCATTATCACGCAGAATAGCTCTATTAAGTAGGATGAATCCTGTAAAATAATGTTCAGGTATGACATTTTGTATAGATGGTTGATCTTAGTTGTTCAGTCTCTCTCTACCAGGACTAGGCTTTTCACGGAGCTTTTTTGACCGCTGTAAAGTTATCTCGATCTCTTTCTTCGGACTCTATTCCCCGTGAGGTGTAGGCAGTTTTCTTTAAATATGATTCCAATTTTCTGCTTAAAACGCATAAAGGAACTGCACTAGCATGTTTAGTCCCTTGCTAGAGTTCGATTGTCGAACAAGACATTGGCAAAAGAGCGACGATATGTAGCGGTATGATCCAGCTTTCATTGTGATTATCAGAGCGAGCATGTGTAAGTAGAAGTGAGAAATATGTAGTTATAATATATCATAGATTGTCTCTGTTCGTTGGTCTCTTGATGTGGAGTAGTAGTAGTAGCTCAGGTGGTGTAGCAGGAGGGCTGCCCCAATGTGTGAGCCGTTTCTTGATCGGCGACCATGAGCTTGCCACTCCAGGAGGTGGCGTTTTTAGCGAGAGTGCAGACCAGAAAGCGCCATCAGGACAGCTACAGCGAGTGTTGGACTTGGTCGGTCGGGTGTTTGCGGCAGTGAAAGCGCACCAAGAGAAGCAGAAAGAGCAGCAAGAGAAGCACGCTGGATCTGCGCACGACGGAGAAGATAAGCCAGAAGGCAGTGTCGTAGATCATCAAGATGGAGGAGTTGGTCTACAATCTTTCAGCGGGGAGCAACAAGGCTCAACACCACAAGGAGCTGGAGGATCCGCAACGGACTTCGTGTTGCGAGTGACCTCCGACGAGGACCGCGCTCAGGGAGGCGTCGGAGCGTCGATATTAGATGGCGGCGTGGCCCTCTCCTGCAGCGGGAGATGGGTAGGCGGAGTCCAAGTTGGCACCTCGGCGGCAAGCAGCAGCGCGTGTCCGCCTAAGGACTTGCATCTACCACACGAACTAAAATCGAAAGACTCAACGCGGTCCGGCGCCTCGCAGTCGTCCACCTCAGGAACTGAAGTCGGCGGCGGAACATCGACACATCCGGAGGCTGTGCCTGGCTCGCTAGAACGAGCGGAGAGTTCGACGAGCAGTCTTGCACCGGAAGCCGCAAGCTCAGGGGACGAAGCGCAACATGCTAGTACGCATAATCTCGTGGGCAGTCGCACGGGCTCAAAAGCGGATCAAAATGGAGGCTCTGAGCAAGGTTCTACGACACTCGAGGATCTCAATGATGAGACGCAAATTCTCGAGCGTATTGCTGTGACCATTCCCGAATGGTACACAGAGACGGGAAAATTGCAAACGATTCTACGCCGATTCGACGTGCTCCAGCTGAGTGAGTTCATCGCAATAGTACTGTCGAATAGGTACTAGTACTAATTGAATCTGCTCTACGGCGATATTGTTCTCCAGGATCATAGGATCATAGTTGTTCCCCAAAACAACTTAAACTATTATTACTGTAACTGCCGGGTGCGGGTGTGGTCTGCAGAAGGCTTCATGTCATGTCTTTTTGCTTCAAGTCTGCGCTTTCAACAGAAGAGAACGAATAGATTTATAGATCCAACCACCCCTCGTTTCTGTTCAGATTCCCCTCTCTCGCTGACGTTTTAGAAGATCTTGCGGATAAATTTGAGAAAGGCGACATCGTGGAAAGTCACGAGCTCTACAGTCTAGCGCTGCTGGTAGAGCAGCACCAGTCTGCGTCCGAGGCGGAACAGGAGAAGCCGCGGTTACTAGACAAGTCAACGTCAGAGGAGCCTCCTAGTTCACACGACCCGTTATCCGCTCACGCCAGAAGTGTGGATCATCTGCCGGATCGCAGTCGCGAGTGCAGCGGGTCGATCGATGCGACGGGTAGTGGAGACGGGGCCTCGCATCCGAGCGGAGCAGGGGGACGCTCGAAGCAGCGGGACGGGTCGTTGCCCCCGTTGCTTGGCGATGCATCGCGGAGAAGCAAGTTTCCATCCCCCGTGAAACGGAATTCTATCTCATACCGAAGCTCATCCGTGCCTCGAGGGATGCTGCAGGTGCCTTCATCTTCTAGCAGTGGAGGCCGCAGCAAGGGAGGAGCATCAGATGGAGGGGCCTGTGGTAGCAAGACAGCATCAGGAGGTGGAATTGGAGGATCCTCGTCTCACAGCAAGTCGACGGTGGTATTGCCGCTTCCTTTCTCTCCCCGAGAAGAACACCAGATGGCGTTGTCTGGCGGCGCGCCGACCCGCGCCAGTATTGGAAGCCTTGTCGGCACATCTTCGGGGGATTCAGGCACAGCGGAGTCAGGTGGTGTGTATCGTGTAGGGGCACCTCGCAGCGGGCCTATCCGCGCGATTCGACGCACCTCGGCATCGTCGTCGCCAGCAAAGAGAGAGATGCAATGGACGATGCTTAGCGACAGTGACGAGAATTCATGTCCCAGTGCAAGCGGGCCCGCCGCCTCTGCGAACGGTATAGCGGCTGCGGGTCCGGCTGACGCGCTGCCACCGGGACTCCCTGCACCTTCCAGTGCCGCACACCAGTTGAACCCTGTACTTTCTGCCCTGCCTGCATTCTTCGCAGAAGCCGCGAGTCAGCAGCGCGCGCTCATACAGAAATCAGAGAAGTCGACCGATTTTGTGAAGGCGAACGCCAGCAATGCGGGAAGTTACGTACGCGGAAGTGGTGGGGGCCATCACTCTCGTCCGCCCGATCTCAGTAACGAGAATAGCGCTACTAGTAACTACGGGCAGCCACTGCAGGGTGGAGGGCAAGGGAGTACAGGCTTTTCAGGACCACCTTCACGGCTCTACGACAACAGTAGTGCGGCGGCGCGTTTGCGAAGCTTGAGTACCCCCGCCCTCTCTCCCCCACCACACATGCGTTCGATTTCCCAGCCCATAGGTGGTATCAAGTTCGCAACGTCAGCATCTTGGGTGACGATCTGCCGTTCGCTGTTGCAGTTAGAGTTGGATTATCCAGCATTTACGAAGGCGTGTATCGGAATTGAGCAGGGAAGTGCAGGTGCAAAGATTTTTCGGTCCGTCAACGGGACGATGGTGGTAAAGGAGGCCGCGGCTCGAACGCAACAACTTGCAGGTCTAGCAAAAAGTCTGGCTCAGGACACTGGAGACGTGGTCGATGGCGTGTTTATCTGGCGGGAAAGTCATTTCGCTTTTCTCTTCGTGTTGAAGCGATTTTTCGCCAGTGCACGTGAGATATATCTACTTCAAGGTACTGAAATTTTCGATATGTTGCTTTGATTATGAACTACTTGAGCAAATACAAGCATGTCTTTTGGAAACCGTGTCCCAATGGCTTCATTTGAGTCAGTCGCAATATCCTTGACTGAGTGATGTCTTATCGATCGTTATTAACAAAGAGTCCATCAATCTATCGCCTCCAGGTACTGACCAGCATGCCATGGCTTTGCGATTGTTTCGTTTTCTCCGGTCGGGTCATGTCCCTGCCCATCATGACGATCCTCAGTTCAAGAAATATTTCGTCGGCCAGGGAAATAACAACACGCTTATAGAGCAAATCCTCGCTGAGAGAGGCTTCACACCTGTCCCAGTAACGGAGAAGAAGAAGCCAGGGGCTTTTTACTTGCCCACTTTCCAGTGGGCGCAGGACCACTGCCGATTAGACTACAGCCTGTTTGCAACGACGTTGAAAAGGCACAAGGTAATCAGAGTTCCTACAAACCTTTGATAAGAAACTGGCAAATTATAATTACATTATGTTTGGGCGTCCCCGTCTTTGGTAGTTTGTACTTGTTGCAGAATAAGCTTTGACGAAGTGCACACGGAGTTACAGTTCTGCTTCTACCTTATTTGAAATGTCTGACCACGACAGGGACGACCATTTCTGGTTAATCATTGCAAGGGAATCCGGATCACGGAGAAAGTCGGGATGCTCGCGAGCCTAGAGCAGGAGTTTGGATTCAAAAACCTTCCGGCTTGGTATCCAAAGACGCTGCACGTCCTTAGTACCAACTCAATGAAGAACAGTGAAGAGGGCCTCCCGGAAGCGAAGTGGGTCTACAAGCCAAGGTCCAACTAGTCATTACTTCTACATCAACCGCTAGAAGTAGTAGATTGAAATAGTGGTTGTACGTGTAGTAGGCATGCACAATCGTATCATCTTCAACTTGACACAGGAGAATCCAAAGAAAGAAAGCTTCGTCGTCTAAGATATAACAATTCCACAGGGCAAATAACTGCGGCCGCGGTATCGAACTTTTCGGGTCGACGCGTGCGCTTCTCGACTTCATTGCAAATGAAAAGAAGACAGACGGCATCGTCCAACTGTATATCGAGAGGCCATTGCTCGTGCGGGGGAGGAAATTCGATGTCCGAATGTAAAGACATGTCGTGATGAATGAGTTGCACCCACACTGATATTGCGTGGTTATGATTTTGAACATAAAGAGGATTATGATTAAGGTGAAAGCAAAGGTAGTTTCACAACACTCTTCGCTTCACGGATGCTAAGGTCGCTCAATGCAAAAAGATAGACATTTATATGCCACGACCACTTTTCCGTCTTGCATGATGCACCAGGTATCTGCTGATAGCACGGACAGAGCCCTTTTTGAGTTTCTACTGTCCAGTGGGATACTGCCGCCTATGCGTGAATGCCTACAAAAGCAACAACTTCGACGTATTCACTCATTCTTTTCTGGACGAAGATAGATAGACTCGGATGATAGGTACGTTGCTTGTTCCCCCTGCGATTATTGAGATATGACAACAGAATGTCGCAACTCTTGATCGATTATACATTTGGTGTGATTTTGATTTTGTAACACTGGTTTCTAATGCTTGAATCAGGATGTGACGATGCATTTGACGAACCAAGCAGTCCAGAAAACATTGAAAGGGATGTATAAAGAGACGAAAGAAGACACAACGTGGACTTTCGAGCAGATGGAGGCGCATTTAGTCGTTATGGGTGAGCATTTATTTCAATACTGATAGTCGAATAGTTTCTTCGAAGGTTGGTTGCTAGAGCGTTTGGGGCTCGGGTTTTCCCGATTGAATAGGCAAATCACACACTCTAATGAATAGAACGGGCGCGTAGAGGCGGGATTCGTTGCGCGCGAGTTTCTGCCTAAGGTAAAGGCGATAATGGTGACATTGTCCGGTATTGTTCGGCAGCAGGTTCTGCCTCTCGTCGGTACATTCGATCTCTTCGGTTGCGACTTTTTCCTCGACGACCAATTGCAGCTGTACCTTCTCGAGGTGAACAGCAATCCGGCAATTTATACCGACACGCAGGTGCTCAAAGACATCATCCCCACAGTGTTGAGGGAAGCCATCGATATTGTGGATGCAGCGCACGTGCCGACGGCGAACAAACCCTTCTGCGACCAACCCTGGTTCGAGTGCCTGATTGACGAATCCAGAAATTTTCAGTGGGACAAAACCGGCACACTACCGAAGAAGCGCAAAGACTTGCAAGCCAGGGAGCTCTGGAGATAGTGAAGATGCCGCAAACTCCGAGTGGAGAGGCGGTGGAAATAGTTGATTCGTCGGATGCTTGCCTGAGGATGACAGAAGTAAGTTGATGTTGAATCGTCGTATGGGGTGCTGCTGCGAATCCAGAAAGTCAAGTCAATTATATGATCTTGTGACTCTGTATTTCAAGAGATTGAATTTTTGTACAACAGCCTACGAATTAGCCTAGAAAGTGCTACGACATAATATACAATCACGAAATTGCCACTCAAGTTGCCATGCAACATTGCTGAGATTCGCATGTCATACTCAAATTTTGTATTTATCAAAATGCAGTTTTGATCGTTTTGATTGAAAGCACCTATGCAAACATGTTTATTAGCACAAATGAACAAATGCTTCACTAGTGGGATGTAGAGGAGAATGAGTCTATTGATAATGATGCAACTCAATGTCTGTAGCCCGGTTGGGCGCGCAGCGGAATATAATAAACCTAACTTGTTCTCAAAACTGTCTGATAAATCAAGTAACACGTCGCCACGTAGCTTTCCCAGGCTACTTTCAACTCTCGTATCAATTTTCAATTTTGAATTTTCGACGTCGTGATATTATTCTCTCAGTAATTTCAGGTCATGACTAGAGCTAGGAGCAAGAGGTCGATAGCGCAGAACTCGAGCCTTCTCATCGTTGAGTTGGGTCATGATGCTAGCCCACTGTTCAGATTCTTGAGCAAAGGTGCTTCCCAGAAAGGTCTCATTTCCTAGTAGACAGCGCGTCCAATAAAAAATGGCACCTGGAGAACGTCCTAATGAGAGTACGCTGCTAATAGCAGCAAAGGGCGAGTTTTCTTCCCCTTTAAGACGGTACTCCCCTTTGATGATCTCAAGGTACAAAGCGACTAACTCAACGCCGCAGCGGATTCGGTCGAGATGACACACACTTGGGCAGTTACACATTAGCAAAAACAAAAATCCTGGCGCCACAAGTAAACTAGCGATAGAAAAACAAGATAGTAATGGATTTGGTAGCGTCACAAACTCAATGAACTTTGCTGCCATTCGTGGGTTTGAGTATTTGACAAAAATGGGAATGCGACACTCTTGTCGGTGGATTATGTAACTCCATATCGTGTCGCTAGTAATCGGTAGACTACATTCCCGCGGTTTTGTCGCGGTTTCGCGCTCTCTTTGGCTCATGTTCGGCAAGGGTTTTCGACCGCCGCGCCAGGGCTTGGCCAGGGCACCGCCGCGCCCTTGGCCAGGGCCTGGCACAGAGCGGCGCCGGATGGAAAAAAGAAGACCAGGAAACGCATGACCGCAAGGGTGCCTTGGATGCGGTCCTGGACCATGACCGCAACGCGTGACCGCAAAACCGATTGCTGCGGTCATGCGGTCAGGGTCGTGGGATGAATGTTTTTCCTCCTCGTGCGTTAGTTTCCTTTCTTCCCAGTGGGGATCTTCGGGTGAGCAAGTATGGGATACTAAGGCAAGTATAGGATCTACGGACTTGGCGCTTGGTTGAATACATAGAAAAACAAAAAGAGTCCTCTCATCGAAAGGTCAACGGAGGAAGCCCACGTCTATTTGTTTCCAGCGTGGTAGTAGGTACGATCCAGAAAGCGCGAAATGATCGTCATTGACGTTAAGCCAAATCATCGCTTCATCTAAATGGGAATATAGGATGTCGGTTTTCACCAGCATTATTATCGGTTTTGCAACTCTCTCTGAGTACTTAAATCTGTGTGTCCTGCTTCGGTCCTCGGTTATGATATCTCTGTCATGAAGATGCCCACCGCCTCGTGGAACAAGATCGTTGGCCCGAGTGTCTAATTTCTAAAACATCGGTACGGAAGAAGATTGATGCAAGAAGATTCTCTTTTGTAGTCCCAGAGATGCCTGATCAATTATTATGTGTACTTTTAATGGACCGAATTTGTTGTTGCAGCTTTACCTTTATTCCAATTTTCTTTTTACGTCCTTCCACATTGAGATACGAATGTGGCTAATTTTGACTCTCTATGAACGGGTAGATGTCCGTTTTATCTTTTAGATCCCATAAATGAACAGAAGTAGTCCCACTCCGCTATTGGTCCTTCTGTCTAGAACGGGCGTCTAGGATTACGATGACGAAGATTACCTTTAATAAGACTTAGCTTCCCCATTTTTGTATGCTCCGTTCCTGCTCATCTAGTTGCTGATTCTGGGTGTTTCGAACAAAATTTCGGATTGAGTAACTGATTGATTGCCATGCATGATTTCCTGCTATGAAGATTGGACTATGTATACAGCTCCAGTCGATCACACAGCCACACTTGAAGTGTACTTGTAATAGCCGGCTACTCCGTTGGGTTTAATTCCGAGCAACTACCTTGGACTTACTTGATAAGTGTGGAAACTTCATCGCTATTATCAGAACTACAATGTCGGTTCCCGAGGACTACATTCGTAAGCAGGACTACAGGAATCCTGCTACGCGTGGCGTGTACCCGCGTCGCCATGCTTTCTTGGATCACATCGAAAAGGGGTGCTATCAATCAACCTACCGTCAAGACATCGGGGGCTTCTTCGACCTGAAAAAAAGCCAGGATTAAGGCGTTCTGCTCTCCAAGTAAGCAACTTACTGAAATAAGTTTTCAGGACATGCTTCGTAGAGACAGCCATTAGTGGAGTGAGGAGTTTCATACACTGTAATTTCTTAGACGTACTACAACTACATCGCCATTAGAGGTTGACTTTCATTGTAGGCAAGATTATGTGCCATAGATATGCATATGCTTGTTTAATGCTTGCTCATGTATTACATCATCCTAGGAATAGCTTCACAGACAAGACTGGACAGCTCTAAAATACGAAAACCAAGAAGCTAATGGCCAAGCGGGCGGAGAAATGGGCGGGCGCAGCTAAGGACATTGATATGTCACTAGAGACTCTGGACAGATTCGCAGTGAAAGGTACCTTTTGAATGCTTCATCAGAACTCTTTTGCTATACAGATTTTTCGGTCTGATATCAGAGCCTTTCGTTCTCTGTGGAAGAGAAAACCTTTCCTGCTCTCTGAGTGAGAATTGTAAATTCTTGGATGGGTAGTCCAACAACTAGTAGATGCTACTTCAGGTGATGCGAAGTTGAATAAAACGAAGAGCGAACCTCGGCTCAACAGCGAATACCGGGACAAGATGCGTGGAAGGCAAATGGGGTTTTCGTAGGTGGGTGGGGCTGCGCGGAAATGGTAAAGATATCTCAGCATTGACGTCGATCGATGACCACAAAATAGTGCCAACAACATGCTTCAGTGCTACGCATAGAAAGAAGACGCGAAAGCCCCTTAAGTCTAGCTCCCATCGGAAGTAGGGGCAGTATTTACCACCCAACGCAAAAACGAATGTCAAAAACAAGCTACAGACATGGAATTTTTATCGAGAATATCTACGTACTACGCTATTCTTTTTGGACAGGCATTGGGAGAATGCAGGATAGAAGTTACATTAGACAAGACATGAATGTGGATTAGACAAAACATGAATGTGGAAAAACATTCATTGCACAGAACTACTCTAGGTGGCACATGATGTGTACCAATATGTAGCACCTGCACATCAGGACGGGGTCCACGAGCCGCAAAGAAGTATTTGGACAATGCATCCGCGAGAAAAAGATGCAAATTCTGCTATCGTCGATATCATGAGCTCCTGCTTCTCGTCAACATTTTTACCGCATAGCATAACTCGTGTTTCTTTCTAGGTAATCTCATTTCGATACGCAAGATGTCATAAGACAAAAGCTGCAGTCTGTTGTATATGCACTCGCGTTTTTGCTTCAAATGCGGAGCTTTTAATCTCTAGTACACGCACGCAACTGCTTACTCTTCCCTCAAACGCCTGAATAACATCCCAGTGTCGATATTTGTTGCAACACATCACACCGATAGGCCAATAGGACAACTGGAGATCCCGCCATGGCGACGAGATGAGCTCATAAGACTCGAAGCGCGGCACGTCGTTCGTACTGTTCTTTCTCAGCAAATCTTTCAGGGATCTCGATCTTTGTACTTGTTCCAGGGCATACTGCTCCAAAAAGAGAGATCAAATTTGCGTCGAAGCGTAGAAGATAAAATCTCGTATGGAAAGATCAAGTATGGCTTGTTAGCGAAGTCGACCACCGATCCTAGTATGTGAAGGATCCGAAGCCAAGGAAGCCCAAACTAGAAGTGCGTGTGTGCCAAAATTCTATCGGAGATCTGAGACTGTTCGATCGAACGGAGGGCTGCTGCCTCCTTTCTTGTGGTAAGTGCGGGCTCACGCCGACGATCAAAAGTCTAGGTGTTTTAAGTGACAGAAGTAGTTGCCATTGCTAAGTTTGTTAATGTTGATCCTTTTTACATACGCAGCTACAACAATGTTAGACAGGACGAGTTGATCTTGATGTAGCTGCAAGGCTTTCTCGTTTTGATGGTATGCTTTGTATTCTATGTGAGTCATTAACATCAGTGGCACACATTTTAGTGTGATGCACATGCTTCCACATTATCCTATAGATCGTGAACAACGTATTAGTATCTTAACATCAAAAGCTTGGGTAGTTGTGTCTATACTACTAGATTGAATCTTTAACACGTCTTGCGAATGGACATGTGACTTCTTGGAGCTAAGAAACGATGGTGACAGTATCTGGTCCTAAGAAGGCAAAAAAGGCGGTCCGTACTGCGTCTCAGCCTCTAGAGAAAGGGAAGGTCGATGATGCTGTAAAAACAAGTATGAAGAACAAGACGAAGCAGCGCAAAGACCCGGCGAAGCAGCAGGACGCTGGGAAAAAGAATGAAAATGATGGGAAAACAAAGGCGACGCAAGACGACGGCATCACGAGTACGACCAAGAAGTGCATCTTGTTTGCAGGAAATTTGCCTTTCGATTGCACACCGGAAAGTTTGAAGTCGCTGCTTCGCCGCTGCGAGCCAACGTCGATTCGGCTCTTGACTAATGCAAAGACGGGGGATCCACGAGGCTGTGGATTTCTGGAGTTCGGGGACGGAGCAGCGCTGCAGAAGGCTCTGAAGTACCACAACCACGCGATTGGCGGGCGAAAAATCCGTTTGGAGTTGCCGGCCGTCGGAAGCAACAAGGAGAAACGAGCACAGTCGACAAAGGAGAGGCACGATGACCTGGCGAAACGACGGCGTGGAGAGTTCGAGAAAAGGTGCTCAGAACCTCCTACAGCAGGAGAGGGCACCCCAGCAAAGAAGCGACCGAAGAAGAACAAGCCCAGCATAGTTGTCGACACGACTTCTCGTAAGAAGGCAGGTTCAGCCGCTCCTGCTGTGGAGATTCAGACGTACGACCACCCCGAGGAGCAGCTGCACCAGATGAAAGAAAAATTTCGATTGAACGGCGACGGCGTCTACTACCTGCGACGGAATAAATCGTGGCTCCTGGAGAGCATCGACAAATTCTGCCGGATCCCGGATAAAAGCATCAAGGATCCCACTGGGTGGATGATCAAATTTGGTAATCAGTTGAAGCGGGAGCGCGACCACCTTCCCCGCCTCCATCCGAAATTTGGCGACGAAGCGGAGGACGCCACATCGGTAGCGGACGGCCGTGCTGAGACGAAGCTTGCGACACGGCAAGAGAACACGGCGACGACCGGTAAGGCCATGGGCGAGCAACGGGACTACCGCATCGAGGACGTGCGATTTTCCGAAGACATTGAGCTGCCAGCAGTTGCAGACGCTGATTGTGTGCTCGCAGCAGGCATCTTGTCCGATGAGGAAGAAGATGCGCCTCTGTTAAGCGGTTTTGCAACCACGCTAGCTCATGACGGAGAACCTGAAAAAAGCCGGTTGCTGGCGTCATGCACGTTGAACAATGTCGCGCAAGCTACCCAGGAATGCGTTCTGAGAAGCACGGAAAACAACGCCAGCGCAGCGAGCACACTATGCTTCGTGGAGTCAGGAGCTGAAGGGACTGCGCAGACGAACGTTGCCAAGAAAAAAGGATTTGAAACGGTGTTAGACCGCATCGCTAGGGCCAACAAGAAGCAGAGTCGAACACAAGGAGCCCCCGATCGAAAGGCTCAGACCAGGAAAGGAAGCTGCGTCGTATCGAAAAAAAAATACTAAAAAGAGAGCGACACCTTGGAAACGCTGACTCATAGTAAAGGCCATCGGAAAAGTTCCACAGAACGATGCGTCGCAGGTGCTAGACGATAGTTTTTAAGCTCTCATGGTCCTTTGCTTGTCGAGTTGCCCTCTCTCTTACTCTCTTTTGCAATGAAAAATGCAAGATGCAACCTGAAGATAGATTGAAAAGCTTTGGAAACAGGCACACGGGTTTAACGAATGTGCTTCAGAATCTATTGTGTGTTCTAGTGCGTCTTTGCGCTACTGATGCAAATGTGATGGACAAACATAACACGATGGTGGCTGTCGGGAAATTTGACTACCAAAGTGATTAGTGACGTCCTGTCCCGTGTCCCCCCCAAACTCTGAGCTGTGAGCGTGAGTGTAGAATCCTTTTGACATGAAATGGCAGCCCCCACGATGAGAGAATCGCGGTTGCGATAGGTCATTGAGCCTCCATTCCACACCCCAGAGGCACACCCCCGAACTGCGTCCACGAGTGTTTGCAGGGAGTGAAAATAGGCAGAGTGAAAGGAGAACATCACGGGCGCGACTCCCATGGTGACGAACGACACTGTTTATTTAGCAAGTAGATGTGGCGACATATTTCCTAAAATACAGGTAGAAAGTGGCGGCAGCGTTACCGCCAACCCAACTTCTCAACAAAATAGGACGTCATTTGGAAATCGAGACAAGTCTATTGGCTCATCATGCTGATTTCACGTCGGCAGAGTACACCTGTTTCTTAAGTAGATTCTCCAGCAATGACAGCAACTTGCATGGTAAAGATTGTGTGGCTGCCGTATTGAGAAAGGCTGAGTCGAGCATATCTGGCCTCAAAAATGATGAGTGGCAATAATAGCAAACACGAGAAAGCCGCCAGTTCAAATTTTACGGTGTTCTCCCCCTAGTAACAAGTCCCATTCCACCGCCCGCTCAGCCCGGCCGCAAATCAAGATTGGTTGCCTTAGTGTGTATACACTGAGGTGGCTTAAGTCCCGCGACGCTTAAGGCCATGCTGGAGGAGATGGGTGGCTCCTCTCCTCTGCCGGTGGTGGTTTGGTTCATTGTATAGATCACATGCGGGAGGGTTGGTTCTGATTTACAGGCAGTTTTTCTTCTGGGTCTCCTTTTGTTCCCTTCCTCTTTTCCATTTATAACCAATTCTTCCATTATCTTTTACTTGTTTTCTAACTGGTTTTCTTAATATTCGCTTAACAAACTGTTTTTCTATTTTGTTTTGTTTGGCTTCACATGTTATCTCGCTTCGCATCTCCTCCTTATGCTCTTCGTTTGTTCTCGTCCTCGTTGACCTTCTGTTTGAAATAGGCTCTCTTTTCACTATTCTACGAGTACCTGTTCCATCTATGAGTAATTGCCGGGGTTTTTTCTTACACCTAGTTTGAGTCGATACATTTTTTTAGGACTTGCAAGAATGGCAATCAAAACAAAAGACTTTATTCTATCCCCTTCGAAAGGTAGGGCAATGCGTCGCTTGATGAAAAATCAATCAGAGCTGTAAAAGTATAACCATTTAATTGCATATTTAGGATTTTTTTGTCGGGCGCCTTCGTCGCGAAGAGGTCCACAACAAGATGTTGCACATACGCGGCGTGGTCTTGCTCGTGTGGGTTTTCTTGGCCAGAATTTCGGGAAGAAAAACGACAACATCCACACATCAGATTCCCACGGCATTCTCAGAGGTGACAAACATGGGAGACACCCCGCCACCTACAGAGGCCGCACAGTCAGCACCACCTTCATCGCAGTCATCCACAGAGACGGCACGCACAGCGCACGAGGACGTCGTAGCGGCGACGCAAGAGAACCCCTCGGGCGGAGCAGTCGTGTCGCCTCCATCATGCTGGGAGTACACAAGTCTAAAAGAGGTTGACCTATCGCAATTTAGCGTGGCGGCTTGTGACCTCGATGGTTACAAGAACCTTCTCGCGGCGCAAAAGCTGATGCTTATGCGCCTTACCAGCTCATATCTACCACCGTTGATCTTTTACTCGATGACCCAACTCACGAAACGAGTAGTTATTTAATTATAGGGGCAGCGTTTTTTTGGAAGCTTCTTGTCACACCAATTCACTAGGTTATCTTTTTTTACCTGTTTTGTCTTGCCAGTAGTTTAGGGTGACTACTTGAGACGCGTTGATAATGGTGAAAGAGTACCGCTTTGGACCCTGAGTCAGGATGTGCAGACTTTCGCAAAGGAGTACACACTTGATTACTTGAGCTCTAAGAAGAAGAAGACTGGCGGAACCGTCTTTCCGGTGACGGGACACAATCCATCCATTATGTCAAGTCCCCTAATTGTGCCAAACTCTACTTCTTGAGTAGGAAGATGTCTGGCTACCTGGTGTGGAACTTCTTCAGAGTAGGTCGGTGTCCGTGAGGACCAGCATCATACTTACTTGCTGCGTATAGAATGAGCATTCAGCAAATATATATAAGAAGTCACATCTTTCATCTAGCAGTCTCTTTCTCACTTGGTATTGGTGCATAGCTTTGAGCTAGCTTTTCTCATTTGGCGTCGAAATGGTCTGCACACGTAGTGTTAATAAGTAGTGGCTGTGTCGGTAGTAGCTGTTGGATTTGCGTAAGTGCATTGTCTCTACACCGTACATCATTACGTCTAGCATCCGCGAAGCTCAAAGTACATCATAAAGTAAACGAGCCGTCTAGTTTCCCTCGATGTCTAGTTTCCCTCGATGCTTCGGATGTTCTCAGTCCTTTTTCGCTTAGAGTAATATTTTTGTGAAATAATATGTGTTTTTGTCCCACTTCTACTTCTTTCATATGCCGCTATCAACTCCACAATCCTGATTGGGCCGTTGCCAACAACCCCGGTGTTTATCTGAACGGGGCACTGATCCAGGATTTTGGCGGTAAGGTCCTAGAAAGCACGACAATGAGCGAGGAGCAAATGCGCATGCTCCTCGAATTTGAAATCGACGTCTACAAATCAGTGGAGACTAAAAAGTTCGGAGACTTCGGGCTCCTTTTTCTTACAGATGATGGCATGATTAGCATGGAAATTGCAGGCGCTGCGGTGGGAAGCGTAATTTTTTTTTGGCATCGTGGTCGACGTGTGCAGAATGTCTAGCGCTTTTTTTCATGTAGAACCCAAGTGCAAGTGGTGTAAAACGCTTAGTACTTATTTGATCTAGAGATAGATAATCGACCATTTTCGGTAACGTGTAATGAAATTGGTACCATCAGGCACGTGCCAAGAGGCGGACGGAAGCTATCGAAGGCTATAGAAAGAAGCTCGGAGTATCTGACGGGAAATATCTCGCATATAAACAAGAAGAACTAACGAAAGCGATTTGCAGCGCAAAAGAAACAGAAGGAGACGGGCAATGTCAACACGTACTCATTAGGCATGACTAAGACCGAGAATTTCTGTTCTATCAGAACTGCATGCGCATAGATTTACATAATCGTTTGTTCTATTCAAAAGTAGGCATAATCGGGATCCTCGGAGTCGTATGAAGTTTCGTAGTTTTCCCATGAAGCTTGCTAGCGAAATTAAGTGATTGACACGTGGATTTTTTATCATGATAAAATGCAGGTGTATCATTCGGTATTCGTGTGGCCGGAGAATCCTGAAGCAGAAGGCGGGTCTGACAATTATGCTAGCCTGTTGAAAGGGCACATCACGGAGACGAAAAACCAACTCGAAGAGCGCTCTAAGCCGTCTGCAAGCGGTGGGAACAATCGTCTCATCTTCACGATACGAGATCGCCCATGGCCTAGCATCGACGTGTTGTATAATAATGTCAACAAAGCCTCTGGAATCGTTACACTGATCAACAAGTCGAAAAAGCAACTAGGATTCCCAGAGCATGTCACTGCGGAAATTAAGGCGTCCTCGCGTTCATTTTGAGTAAAAGTTTGAAGGTACAAGGGTAGCGAATGGCCTCATCCCTGATAGTTAGGTCGGACACGACAGAGATAACACGGTATGACATGACGTTCGAGGTTGATTGGACATACTACGCCTGGGAAATGTTAAGTACCTCCTTACCGAATAGACCTGGATCATCAGCACGCCTGAAGATGAATTTCAGGAAAGTCTAAGGACGCGATCATCGGGAAGCATTTGATGGTATTTGGGGACTCCGGGGCCGATGTTTATGCTGGAACTGCTTAGCACATTTTTTGTGATCGGATCACGGAGTGAGTATCGAGCCTTCGGCCACTAATGTAGCCCCGTTGTTGTTCAGGAAATTGTGTAATGCAAGTGCGGCTGCAACGTAGATACAATCTTCAAAGGCGGGACTGGTTCCCTCTTGACGCGGTATTTTATTAATTGATCCCGGTGCATCGTAGTTTGAGCTTTCTTTGCGCAGAAGAAACTCTAACACGCGTCGCTCTTCAAGCCCTTGAAGCTCGGAGAGGAGGTGGAAATGGCGGCGGCATTGCAGGTGGCAATGCCCGAAAGCGACTCCGAAATCAGGGGGCATGCCAAGTGCATATCTCCCGTAGACGAAGTTCTACAAACGGTGGCTGCGGTCCGAGTCCCAAAGCCTTTTGCAGGAGTGCTAGCCGCTAAAAAACCGGGGCTACTTAATCTTAAGGAACGTCGTTCGTCAGAACTTCTATCTGATCTGGTTCGTCTGTCAGAACACAAAGACTACTTTAATCTGCCTTGTTGTCTGAAAGAACTTGCATATATGTAATATAGCTTTTCGAGCTGAGTATGATAACACTGTCGGAGCTGGTCTCTGTGGTTACAATCGCATCACCATGAGGAGCACTGAAATGATAATGAAAGGCTAGTAGAGCCGCAATAATGCTGATACTAAAAAAGTACTATTTTTTTGATTTGCGAGTAGGAGATCACGGCTCCTAATAGAACTCAATCTAGCTGGCGCCGATGCTGCTTGTTGGACGGACGTAGCCCGTTCCTTCTTGCGTGCTAGATTTAGAAGAGCTTCAGAACCCTAACAAGTGCTGAAAGTGCAGAGAGCTAACTTACTCAAGATAGAGCACAACGAGAGTCATTACTTACACATGTTCACAGCCACAGACGGGTGCGTGCTGTCTCCACGTAAGTAGAATGATGCTAATAGTATACGTGACGGCATTTTAGTAACGTAAACGTTCTTGCTCCAGACATACCATTGTTCACAACTACTCCGTTCAAAGTTTCAACTGACTAGTAGACTGTGGCTGCTTTAAGACGCGACTGTCGCTGATCGCCATCGGTGCATGCGATCTCGACAAAACGCTCTTTCCCGGGTGGCGCAGAGATGGGGAAGAAAATGGGGAGAGAACCAAGAATAACCTGGTAGCGGCCTACCTTACGGATGGTTTTTCCTCATCATCGGAGTCGGTTATGCCTTGAGAGGCGAATAAGGGTTGGCTCATACGCCTGAGGTAATGCTACGCCTCCTTGAACAAGACTTGGCTGACGGAATGAGATGAGTTAGAGTTTCCTGGGACTAAGACCTGGGCAACATTATCCACACAAAACGAGGGAAGAAAAACTCTAAGAAAAATCTGAAGGAGACCGGTGGCTTCGCGTTTCCGGTGACCGGCAACAACCCTCCCATGGCGCAGGCCAAGTTCAACGACGCAAAGGCTATGCTGCATAATTCCATCTTTTTTTCCTTGATTTTGAATTGTATCCCCGCTGTCCTTTTTATTTTTTAACGATGGATGCATCCCGGAGGGTCCTATCCTTTTGATTGTACCTGCTGCCGTAGTTATTTTTTAACGTGTTTCCTTCGGGGTGCCAACGCTGGAGCACCCATTTATTTTCCAAGGTCACTACATAAGAGCAGCCGAAAATATTCTTTAGCGACTACGTCGCGCTACGTTCTCCCAACATCGTGGAGATGAGGGCACTTGCTTCCTTTCTGGTGAGAACCTAACACTTCCTCGACAATATAGTTGAAACTAAGTCGAACAGGAAATATACTGTTCTCATTTATTAGTTTGTATTACAGAGGAGCAGGGCGCAGTCCCTGCTTCCAGGGTACGAGTTTGCTCCTTGTGTTGTAGTAAGTGTCATCTTGAAAAACGTGGAGTGACACACTTTGTCTACTAAGTGACGGCCATGCGTACTACTTACGAATCTGCAGTTTTACTTTGCGCGAGACCTTATTTCTTTCTAACAAGAAGATGATGGCGGACAACCCGGAGGCCCTATGGGATGTTTACCGCGAACCGGGTGTCTTTCTCAACGGCGCACTGGTGCAGGGTCCAGGCGGCACTGTCGTGCACGATCAGCCGATGGCAGTGAAAATCGTTAAGAAGCTTGTGGAGTTGGACAAAGATCCGAACAAGATGAAGGAGAAAGCCGGCGGCTACGGGAACTTTGGACTTTTTTTCTTTACCAGGACGGGCATGGCCAGCGTGCGGCCGGTACTATGAGCCACATTACCACGGATTTTTCTATTTGTGTAACTAGTCTTTGTATCAATTAAGGACACCAAACGAGACGCGCAAGTAAGTGCGGACTATGGCAAGGCTGTAGCTTACTCATCCATAGAGAATGCCTATAGCAAGGAAATGAGCTAAAAAGTGGGCTATTCATAGCGAAGGCATTTGTTTGAAATTGTTGCTGATGTCGCACGTTCTACATGTGTTTCGTCCCAAAATTAGGCCGATGGACAGACGTGGACGGACGGGATGAAAGAGGCTCAGAGCGCGGTGCTTGGTTACGCCGGGAGACAGGAAATCCCAGACAGCGTCACGTGGCACAACACACACGAGGAGCTTCTGGACCTCGTAGAGAAGAAGGAGATCACTTAAGGCCTGAGGATGCAACTCATTTCCAGCGGCCCTTCTTCTTCTGTGTCTCTCTTGGGATTTTAAAGAACAAAAGCGGGCGGGAAGGAATTGGGATGAGTTGCCTCAGGCTCTAAGTCAAAGTGTACCAGGCCGTTTTCGTGTGGCCGCTGTGGTCGAAGCAATATTAAGCGCACAGGACAGGTGCACAATTTCAATATTGTCAGTCTCGTGCTGGCGCATCTCTCGGCTGTTCGTGGTCTTTTGTTCGATTCTTCTATACTAAGTTGCTTCGGAGTGTTCTAGTGCTATCTCGGCCCGAGAAGGTCGCGGCTGTTTGAAAAGAAAGGAAGCGCGACATGTCGGCGAGCTATTTGCTTGTTTGGCATCAATGACTGACGCCATTGGGCATTTCTTGTGAAGAGACACGTGGAACAAGTCGCGACCTTTGCTGGTGGACAGTCCATGCAATCAGCCAGAAACTTCCTCATATCGTGCTGCGCGCGACTTGGCTCAAGCCTTGTCCGCGAGTGAAGCAAAAACATTGTAGCAGGGTTGAAGAAAAGGGTGAAAGAGCAGCCCCTACTCCCCGTGATTATTCCTCTGCAAAGTTGAAACGGGTGCTCGCTGCCGCTGACGGGTGCCCGAAGTCCACAGTGGTGGCGGAGAGTGGTTAACCGTTTGAATACACGCCGCCCCCTTTGAGTAAGGGCCCACTAAATAAACAACGCGGGGCAAGCTTGAAGCTGATGGCGCAAAATTGAGCAGAGCTGCCTTGCGTAATGATAAGCCACAAACTCTTACGCAACGTAAATTAGCAGAACTTAGCGCTAAGACTTACCGACAAAAAAAATTAACTAAAACAATAGAAAAGAAACCAAAAAAGAGCATCTACGCCAATGAAATTAAAAGACTGAACAACAGGCAACAAGATGGCAAAGAAGAACCAGGACAACTCGGGCCCCGACGGAGATGGGGGCAGTTCTCCCGCAGGGAGGCGACCACGCTCAGAGGGCCGCAGAGATGCGACTTATGCGATTAATGCGCCCACATCCGACGACTTCGAGGAAGTGCAGCCGTCCAGAGCAACCAACCCTGGCAAGCAGATGCTGGAGGATGTTGCCAACACGCTGGCGATCTTCGACGCAGGGCAGAACAGTGGCCCAATGTGTACTAGTGCTCTTGCTGGCGGGGCAGATAAGTCCATCACTGCGCTGGCCAAAACTTGGAAGGTGAATCCCTTCAATCATCGCAGCGCTACCATTCGGGGCACAGTGATGCCGATGCTTGGGGGTGTTGCGTCCCCGGTTGAAGCTGGTCAACTAAATGCAGTGAAGGGCCTTGTCAAGAGCATGCTAGTAGCACAGCGCGCCACAGTGCAAGCAGGACGCCAGCCGGCCAACAGATTCGACACCCACGAGGAAGACACGCGCAAGATTGTGCGCAACATACAACAGGCCACGCTGTCCGATAAGGACTGGAGCAACGGCATGAACTTCATGGCTGACAAGATCGGCGAAGCCGTGCAGCGCATCAGTGAAGGCCGTTCCTTCCTCAGCGTGGAAAATAAACGCAATGAGGAACGCGTCAGCTCTTTGCGCCAGGAAAAGCTAGCAGCAGAGCGGCGCACTGAAGAAATCCGACAAGAGGCCCCCAAGAGCGCGCAGTACTTGGAGGCTGAGAACAAGAAGACTGAGGCCACAGCAATGAATACAGAGCAGCAGCGAACAGCGCTGGGGGCCAGCTGCTAGACGCGTTGGACAGCCTGTCTCTTCAGATGGGCAACAGGGTGACAGAAATGGAGAAGAAGCACTCAGATGCGTCTGCTGCTGTCTCAGAGGTTGCCAGTGCGCAGATTAATGAAATTCGTACCGAGCTCAATTCTCTTCGTGCTGCGTCCCGTAGCTAGTGCCAGTAGTGCTCAATCGAACACAGGCGCGCACTCTTCAAAGGCTACAGGCCGCTTCTTCCGGTGTGTCTTCCGTCTTTGGGGTTCCTGCTGGCGGTGATGATCGCAATGGCCTTGCAGCTGCTGCTGTCATAGACGGTTCCCAGTCGGAGCACTGATCCGCTAGCTATGCCATTCCGGTAGAAAGATTAAGCGCCCAGACCGGCGCACCAGAGCCAGGCAACTAGGTGAGAACAGCGCTAGGCGTTCGCTTGGAGGTGTTTGCTTGGAGCTCGTCGCGCGCTCTTTGACGATGAGGACGAAGAAGAAACAGAGAAGAAGGAAAGCATGCGTCTGCCCTCTATCGGTGACGATGTCACTGCCAGCCTCAATAGCAAGAGCAGCGCGCAACTAGTTAAAGATCCAGAAAGCGGAGCAGTTTAGGAGTCGTTGAAATTCATCACGCTGCTCGAATCAGAGCACATCCGTGGCCACGCTCGTCATGATAGGGAGAAAACTGGAGGAATCGGGAAGAGAAAAGTCTCCGATATCGAGAACTTTGGCGGCGAACCAATTCCCACCTGGATGAGCACCATCGGCAAGCTTTTGGGTGGTAATATGAAAAGCGACACCTTGTCACTCGCTGCTGAATGTGAGCTCGTCGCTTGGTTGTACAACCAAAAGCACAAGGCAGGGGAGAAGTGTAAGGCCATGACCTGGCGCCACCTCAGCCACGGAGTAGCGGAGTCATGGACCTTGCGCAGCTACGTGGTGAGCCTAATGAAAGCCTTTCCGGGGTTGGCTCTTACTGTGGGAGTTGCCGTGAGAAGGTGGCCGCCCCAGAGCTGGAGAATCGACGCAAAGGCCCCCCTTTTTGAGCAGTTGGCAACCTTCGAGAGCGGGGCCAGAGAAGCGCGGCGCATTTTCTTGGAACCAACTACAACGGGGGGCAGGATGGCCTAGCGGGATGACCTGGCACAGCGATGCAACACCACAGAAGAAGTGAAGAGCGACCTGGGGCGCATGTACTTGCACAGGACAGGACTGCACACCTTCGAACAAGTCGAGGACTACGCTAGAGGAAAACACGCCCAGGCTGTGATAGACGGAGCACCCAGCCCCTCGTCTGCTGTGATGCAGGCAGCAGCCAATGGCGTAAGAGTCGACAGCGTTGCTGGTACTGATCAACTTGCGCGCCCACCAGTGGCGCACGTTGCAGGCGCTACTTATGACAAGTTTGGACGCGGGGGAGCTGAACTTCGTAGGAATCAGACAGCCACTAATGCTGTGCCAGGATTTCTTAGTGATGGAAAGTCGTCGACTGCTATTCCTTGGAGCGACAGCAGTAGCAGCAACGGGGGAAAGGGAGGCAAGATGCCCCGCCCGGTTCAGTCTGAGCAATGTCGGCGATATGGAGAGACAGGCCATCGCTCAAACAAGTCAGTGCGCCAATCCTCCTCATTGCTTAGCGTGTGGCATGGATGGGCATTCTCTCATGAACTGCAAAGAGTGCTCCTACGTTGCTGCTCACTTCGTTGCTTTCACCAGGAAGATCAAGAGCAACCTGAAAGGAAAAGGCAAGAAGGGCAGGAGAGGAGAGGTTGGCTGTGCTGGCCTGGGGGTCTTTGCGTGTGCAGTGGACAGGAGCACAAGAGAAGTGGCGCACTGTGGGCAAATCATGGACGCCGGCGAGTATCTTGACGAAGGAAGCAGTGAAGCGGGAGCTGCCGCCGACGACATTTCGATCTGCGCCATGTCTGCACAAGACTGGGAACAAGTACGAGCACAAAAAGACGGCGAGAGACAGGGCTTCTAGATGGCCCCTCTTCTATTAGTATCAAAAGGAGTAGTAAGCTAGTACGTTTAGAGGGGGGGCGTGCTTCTGGTCTGGGCTCAATCTTGGCAAGAGCAGTAGAAGACACGAGAGCTCACGGCAACTCTCTTGAGGAGATGCTCAGTCCTTTGGTCTTCCGTGGTCCATCTCAAAATTAGAGCCTACAGAAAGCACCCTGAGGAGGGCGCCGGAAGTACTACAGCAGACTCTGACAACCAGAACAAGAAGGGACGCAGACGGCGCCTCGCCTTGTTTCTTTCTTTCGACGGTGGTGCCGGCTTCGCAGGATTTCTCCTTGCTGGTGCTACGTTTGTGAGCAAACTTCTGGCGGACTTGGCTAGCATAGGCTACGGGTGCGCAGTCTCCCCGTTGGAGATATCAGCGCGCGCCGCTGCTAGAGCGATTGCACTAGAAGGAAGAGCGACAGCGCCTTTTTGTCTTACTGAGGCGAATGCCATGGGAGTGGCGTAGCTTCTGGCTGTGAAGGATGACCATGACAGTTGGTCGAAGCCATCTGCTAGGCCTTTGGGTGCCCTCCTTCAGAAGCAGCTCAGCCGTAACTTTATTAATGACCCTGGGTGCAGGTTGGAGCACGTAAGGAGGAGAAAGTAGTGGAGCGCTATCCAGTTCCGCTGCTCAGAGATTTAACGAAAGAAACAACTGCGCATCTTCAAAAAACGGGAGCACTACTTGGAAAGAATTCGGAGCCATGTTGCATAAAAATACGGGAAAGCGCTGGGCCTCATCGTGTAGAACAAGAAGCCAACGGCAACAGCGTGGCAGAAATGAACAGCGGCGCACCGGCCTCACAGGCCAGCAGCAACATAGTAGGCGGCAGCTACTATATCGGAAAAGGTTCCACAGCTGTACAGAACAGCGAAAGCATACAACTAGGACAAGTGACGCGGAACGGGCAGGAAGATAGTAGCTGGCTGCCCGCAGAAAATTTTGATAAAAATCAGAAGTGCTGCGCTTGCCGAAGAATCTTGTACGCTGCCGATGCCGCGCCTTTCTTTCGAGGCGATGACGAAAAGGCACGGCATAGGGCGGCTCGGGATCTGGATAATATCACTAGAATCCTCGCGACAGACTGCCACTTATCGCCTGCTGCTGGACAGCTGTCAGGTTCCTCGGGGTCCTCTTCGCAAGCTTGGGAGGGAGAAAGAGCTCGCTGCTGAAGTAGCTGCTGGCGACATCAGGGGCATAATAGTGGACTACTTCTTCCTCGAGCAAGTTGAAAAGCCCGCACGCTACTCCTCCCCAGCGATGTTGGTGAAAATTCCGGCCATAGGATCGGAGGCTCTCAACGGGAGGAGAGCGAGGCGCTGCACGCGCGCGGGTGGTGAAACAAGTCGGGGCAATGCACAGGCGCAGCTTATTTTCTTCCGCTAAAGGAGACAGGGCGCCCTTCGTCATGCGAAAAAGGCAGCTGCTAGCGCTTGAGGTACTTGGAGAGGTTGGCAGAGCTATCACCAAGGTGGAGGGCAAGGCTGCTGCTGAATTGGCAGGAAATGCGACGGAGGTGGTAGAGGTAGGGGCTGTCCCAGGAATGCAGTCGGTAACCAAAATAATAGGGCAGGCCTCTACGCATTTACCCGCTGGAGCAGATGGGAAGGCGCTCATTTGTGGGGATCCTCTGAAAAGTGCTGCCGCATTGGCAGAAGCAGCGCAGGCCAGCCCCAAACTGACAGGAAGCTAGCAAGGCTGTTGCGCGTCTTCAACTAAGTGCAGCCGCTGCCAGGAGATGCAAACGGGCGCCCTTGGCTGGGCGCGTAGTTAGCTTTGGAGCAACTGCGTGCTCGGAGCAACAGCTAGCAATGGACCGCGTCGACGCTACTTCTCCTAACGGCGTCAGGGATGGCCTCGCGCTCCAGGCGCGAATTAGCAGCGTTCGCGGAAATGCAAAGAATGGCGAGGGGGGTGGGATGGATGATATGAAAGCAGGAACTAGCGAGGCAGATTCCCAAACAGTTCAAGCGGGTCCCAGTGTCTGAAGTTGAGAAGGCTGCAGGGGCGTGCTGTCTTGTACACCTAGGGCGGACTCACAGACTTGGAAACCCAGGGAGCAGGGTAGCTTGGGCATGGTTGTTTTACTCGCCAGAGGCTGTGAAGCAGTTCGGCACTACCTTTGTGGGCCCGCCTGTCTGTGCTGTTTCTGAAACAGTCCTACACGCAATAAGGGTAGTGCCACGAAAAGGGCACGGTCTGCATTTGGGGCCAAGGGAGAAGCTGCCCGCGCTTGCTGAGGCCAGAGCTGCTAAGTCAGCTTCTTCTCCTTCTGCTTCCTCTTCTGCTCTGCCATCGGGACACCCAAACACGGAGGACGCCTCCAACTTTTTGGGTGAACTCCTGACGTATGGAAGATTGGGAGCAGCGTGCATTTGCGATCCCGATTCGGCGCGTCTCGCTTTCGTTCTGGCTGCCTTTCTGCTCGCCGGTCATAGAGAGCTGAGAAGGCTTGCGAGTAGCAGCCCCGTCGGAAACGCATACGATACGCTGGGCGACTAGATGGCGTGCCCAGGATGCTCCTGGAGCGCTTCAGCCATCGCCCTCAGCTCAAGCATCTACCACTAGGCGCACAGGTCAGGGCCGCCACTCCGTGAGGAATGAGCGAACTGACATCAAAAATGGTGAAGGAGTCGCATCGCATGCGACAACTTCGCAGAGCTTGGACCTGAAAGCGACTGCGTGCGCGTCTTCGATAGTCAAGATCTCAAGGACCCAGAGATAGTCAGAAGCAGACATCTAGAAGAAGGGCGCGTGATAGTGCCAGAGCTCATACTTTCCGACGAATGGCCAGAGTTTCTTCGAGAAATAAGAGACAAAGCGCGGGGGCATACTCGGGGGGCGCCAATGGTACAAGGAGAGCCGTGTGAATACCTGGAAAAACCAGGAGGAGCACAAGAGGGCTCGTGGAACGCGGCAGCGTATTCACATAAGTCGGCGGGGTTGGCTTCCAGAGTGGTACCTCAAGGCGGTGCTTTGAAACGCTTAGAAGTGCCGGGCGAGGATCACCGACAGAGTGCATAGCTTGCCTCGCCTTGTTCTTATGTACCCAGCTGACACCGACCACGCACATAGAAGAAGTGCGGGAGACTATAAAGAAAGGAGAAAGAGCAGGGAGAGCAGTGGGGGGTGACTACTTGACGCAGACACGCATCGACTGCGGTGAAAGGCGTGCGGTGAGGCGTAGCTCGGTAGTGGGGCCCTACGGTCGTTGCACGGACCTGAAGGGCCCTATCTGTGGTGGCGTCGTCGATGGCGAAGCCTGCGCTGCTGCGATGAGCACTGGGGGTGTCCTCGCTCTCGTGGTCACTCTCTGCTGTTGCGTGACTCTTTGCAGCCTGAGAACAGACCGCATCTACCTGGCGAAGGTGAGACCGATGCAGAAGGAGACGATGTGGCGGAGCAGAGCAAGGAGGAAAAGCCGGCAACCTTCACCCTCGACGAAGAAGACGATCTGCTGGCAGACAGAGCCGAGTGCGAAGATGGGACAAAGGCACCGCTCGGAGATAACTGGACGAAGCTCCTAGGGGTGTCGGGGTGAGATGTCACAACGAAAGACGGCGCTTGCGCTCTGTTCCGCAGGAGGAGTGCTCAGGGGGTGCAAATGAAGAAAGTGCTCCAGCGGCAGAAGAGCTCGGCAGTCGAGGGGTAGCGGTGCAGTTTGTCATCAATGAAGCTGCTCCAAACATCTACGAGGATAATCTCGGACCACCTTGCGCCGCCCTATACCCGATGCAGCGTCGTCCTTATCTGTTGTATCCATGCTGGCGTCGCTGTTGTCCCAAGTGTCCCCCGGGTCGGCGCCGTCAATCCTTGGGACGGCTTGTTGGTAACGGCCTGTGTCAAACGCCCGGGCCTCTCTATCGGTTGAAGTCCTCCTTTCTTTCGCTCGTGCTCCTACGCCATCTCCGCAAAGAGCGCTTGCTGCAAGGGCAGCGGGAGAAGAAGTGAGCGAAAGAAAATGGCACCTCGGTCGGGGTTGGAGGGTCGGCTTCGTGGCGCCTCCTAAGGGCGTCGACATGCCCTGGGGTTACCTCTAAGCGCCGACGCGACCTGTGTCGCGACGGCATAGGTGGCGGGATCAGGAACCTCTGCTGAGGATATGGCGCTGGTGGTGAAACCGTAGGAGAGCGAAGCGCAGCGGGAGCCTCAAACGCTCTCCGGGGCGACCGGGGTCTTTCGGCTAAAGTCCCATCGGTCACGCGCCCGAGCGGTGTCGTTACAGCAGGTCCTTGCTTGCCTTTCCGCTGAGGCGGTTCATGGTGTGGCGTTCTAGTTTCGGAATACTGCTTCGGAACTCGGACTCTCGGAGCCCGTGTCAAATTGACATCCCATCCTCCGAGCTGCCGCACCTTGTGAAGCATCCTGGGCCTTAGGTCCCTGATCTTAGCACATCCCATGCGGGGCCTGTGCTGGTCTATGACGTGACTCATGAGTCGTGCCTCGCTTAGCGCTTGCGAGACTCTCTCACTTTCAGCAAAGGTCTCAAATGGCCAATCCTTCTCGGTAAAGGCCTGCAGAGCTTTCTTGAAAAGGTAACCCAGCTGGTTCCTGTCCACTGAGTTGAAACACGTGCCATTAGGCATCTTAGCGCCGTTCTCAGCTCTCCAGTTTGCAATCAGATCGGCGCAGAGCCAGACTTGGCCCGGCATTCCCTCGCGTCGTATCCGTATGCTGCCGTGCTTCGTGCCGCACGTCGGGCAATCTACAACCTGCGGGGTGGTAGTGTGAGCAAAACAGTGGGCGGCTGTAAGGAGGTGGAATATAACACAGTCTAGTCGAGAGTGGTTACCCCCGCGCTTCTTGCTGTTCTTACCCGCTCCTTTTTCTTTTGTCTGATTGGGCTCTGTGGACCTCCAAAGTAAGTCTGCGACGTCGAGTCTGTTTCGAGTGTCCGCACCTAAAAGGGATGGCCCTTCTAGAGTATCACCTCGTTGGTAATCGTTGTTGAGCTCCTCCTGGTCGCCCTGCTCCTCATTGAGTCGGCGACTTTGAGGGTTTTTGTTCTGCCGTTCTTTGTAGAATCTGCCCGGATCTATTGACTGTCCCTCAAATCCGTCCCTGATGACGAATTCCAGGACATCCGACAGACACCTGCCTGCCTCAATATCAAAGGCAAGCCCGCTCATGGCTGCTTCAGTTTTCATGGTCTTGCACATATTTCCCATGGACGTGCCCTGTTGTTGAAGCGGTTTAAGGATTGCGTGAAAGACTTTACTATCCTTGCGACTACTCGGGTCTGGATTTGGGTAGTAAAGGCGCCCCAGCTCTGAGATGTGCCCTCTGTCTGGCTGGAGGCCGCGAAGTGTGAAATTAGTGCAAATGTGAACTCCTGCTGATCTGCTCGGGTTCTCTCTCGTCGGTGTTTATACTATCGGAGATCATAGGTGACCAAATAAGAATTGCACGCTCCGGAGATCTCAGATAGTTTTCTGGATGGTCTTCGGAGAGGGCTGGGGAACTCCCCGCGAGTCCACTCTCTCACCTCAACCAAACCAACGGCGCCACCAAGCGCCGCGTGATTACCAAATCACTCCTACGAATACCACAGGTGCCACCAAGCACCGCGTGATTACCAAATCACGCCTACGAATACCAACGGTGCCACCAAGCACTACGTGACCACCAAATCACGTCCACCACCACCGCCACCACTACCAATAGCGGCCTTTCCCCGGCTACAGCCTCGTATAGGCTGGTGGCGGGAACAGGACTCCACTGCTGGAGCACGTTAAAATACCGCTTGTCCCCCTATGGACCCGCGGCAATAACATGCACAGCGAGCCGACGAAGACACACACCGAACTAGTGCGAACAGGTACCGAAAGAAGATCCAAGAAACATGTCCTGCGGTAATGCCACCCCCCTTTGGGGAGCGGCTACCCTTCTTAAGGGGCTGACGCCTGAAGCCAACCTTACACCCGCAACAGGACGAAAAAGTGAAATAGATCCATGCTCAGTATATCCTCTGTTCCTCAACCGGCTTAAGAGCTCTGATCTCCACGAGAGAACGAGCGAACCACCAGCCACAGCGTACCCGTGTGCGGGGGCAAAAGCCTTTTGTTCCCACTGGCGGCTCATATGAGTACAAAGTGCTGCTTCTTGCATACGAGAAGTCAGATGCACGAGATCCAAAAAGCTGTCGAGAAGTGAATAAGTATGAAAAGATCCCGCCTTGACTTGCCCTCGCTCTGTTCCGCAAACATACTAGGGCCTACTCTCAGCCCCTAACGGGGAGAGAGAACCACGACAGGGGTGGACTATGAAACCCCCTTACTGGCCGACGCACCCTAGCCCACCGCTCCAGGAATGAAAGAGACGATCTACAAATTTGCGGATCCCGTGCTCTGGTTTTTCTCGTTCAGCGATCTGAACTTATTGTGATCTAAGCTAGACAAAATTACGGCACTAAGGCCCACAATACGGCGCGCCGAAACTTGGCGTAAGCCTGAATGCTGACGGCTACAAGTGGCATATACGAATAACTGACTAAGCCAATAAAAAAATACATAAGCTACCACTCCACCACTTGAGACAACGATAACGCCTACTTTCACCAAAACCCAGGGAAAACACAAGAGGAAACTCTTAGAGAATCTACTTCACTCGCAAAAACCAAAACTACAAAATGGAGGCACACCAACGCCCTACCATTGCCTTCGGGCAAAACCAGGCCACGTTGGTGCGGGACTTGACTGAGCCAGAATTGGCCGCGGTCTATGTCCTCAGCAATAGCATGGCGTTCATCTTGGACCCTCACCCGCAACTGAAGGAGGACTTGGATGGAGTCATGGCCACCCTCACCACCATGCGGGTTGGTCAAAATGGCGCTCCGCTGCCGGCCGAAGGCCAAGGCTGGGTCAAGGCTTATTAATTTGGCCTATGTTTCGAGCGTGGAAAAATATGAGAAAGAGAATATTTCTGGCGCGGCCTTTTTTACCAAACAACGGATCTCCGATTGCTTCAACGCGTTGCCGCAAATTGTGTTGCATCCAAATTGCATGGAACTCACAAAAGCATGCGGAGGAAGGCGCGGCATTGAGGCAGTCCGTGAACACTGTGATGTGGATACTCCAGCCTGTTTACAGGGTGCAGGGATCCACAGTGACTACACCTCTCTTCGCGGTCACTTCGCCGACAACAATCTGGCACCCCTTACACCATTTACGACCGCCTAGCGCAGGTCTTGTGGCTCTTTCTTGTAGGCAATAGGGGTATGTGCTCAACATACTCTCAAAACGCGCAACATACCTCAACCACCACACAGCATGTCACCTGAGCTAGCCTCTGAATATTCATACAGGAACTACCGGACGGCTTCGGCCAACCTCAAGGCCCACCAGTACTACCTGCTCAACTTCAACCACCTGCCCAACCGCCGGTCGATGTGGCTGCTATGGTGGCAGCTCAGGTCACCGCAGCTTTGGCGACCATGAAGGAGAAGCTTGGCCGGGAGTACGAGGAGAAGCGCAAGGAGGTCGTCGCCAAGTTCAAAGAAGAGGAGCAGACCACCCCGAACTATAACGTCGCTAAACCGGATGAACGCGGCATCTACCCAGATGCGGCGGCGACTGGCTACCGTACCAAGAAAGAAGCCTCGGACGTTCCGGGCTTCAAGGACCCCGACGAGCCGGGCCCCATCGCGGTCAATGCGCTCCGGTCTCTTCGCCTCCCGCATGGTGATGAACAAGATCAGGGCATCTCTTTCCAGATCACATGGCACTCTTTACCGAGTGCTATCACTAGTTTTGTCCCGCCTGCCAACGGACTTACCCCACTTATGGGTAAGCGCCAACGGCGGGCGGACAACCCGGGCGAGGATGAGGCAACCGCTTGAGCAAAGGCATTCCAGCCGACGCCACACAACAAAACCTCTAGCCCGGGCCCAGATGATGGCCCGAACTTAGCCGTGCAACCTATGGCGCATGTGAACTCAACATCGGCCTAAAGGGCGGCTAAAGATAGCCTACACACGATATACCACGTCACCGATGAACTGCATACCTCATGACACACCATACAAAAACACACAGGGACGGAAAAGATGGCGCTACCCTTCATCTTACGGGCCTCGACCTCAGCAACCAACTCACCTTCACCTGGATGGCCACACCAGGAAACGTCGCCTCGTACAAGGGAGCTGTCCTCGACACCCAGACCCAAGGCGGACTACTTGCGGCCGTGGTCTACCCGAACTGCCAAGCTAACTTGCAGGCTTACCGCCGCCTCGTCCCGACCGTCCACCTCGCGCCTACCACGCTACTGCACTGGGTCGCAACACATACGCCCACGCAGAAGGCCAGCGCCAAAGCGCTGGCGGCCTGGTTAATCTTGCAAGGCATCGGATCCGAGCGGTCGTTTCTCACAAAATTCCTCACCATAAAGGAACTTGAGACGTCGCCCAAAACCTTTATTCTGTTTAAGAATATTGGAGGACCATTGTGCCAAGACCTCGCGTCCACCGCACAGCGCCTGCTTTCGCTTGGCTCGGCTAAGGTGCAACTATATACCCTTAGTGAACTCCTATACCTACGCGATACAATCAACCCGGAATTACGCCATATGTCGTCTCTTACAAATACCACTATGCTCACACTCACCATACCTTACCTACATGTATGCGCAAACCTACCCTCCCCACCAACCAACCAATCCCCCACAGGTCCGCCCAACTATTCCCCGTGTTTTCTGGAATGGATGGAACATCAGCTACTTGTGCGCCCTCGAACGCCGAAGTCAAGAGGACTTGCGAGGTGCCTTGCTGGGAGCAACGTGGGGAGAGAGTGAAAAACTGACTACAGATGCACAACTTGCCATGGAGACGACAATGAGCATGGCACAAAAATTCGTACTGTATATAGGGGAGGCCACTAATATAGACGAAAGTACTAAATTGGTCTCCCCTTTTCATTTTTCGTCGTCTGGAGTGGCGAAAAGCGCGCTCGTGTTGCATTTCATACCAGTGATGCTGTATGCACACGTGCGTGATGAACTTCGCAAGAACAACATGCCTTCCATGCAGTTCTTAACACGACATCAACAAGAACTACAGCAATCTTCTAAAGTTCGCTCTGCGCAGTGGGGAAAGGACAAACAAAACAACACCACAGCGTCTCCCTATCCCGCTGCTGCTGAAAAGCGAGCTAATGAAGAGGATGACGACCAAAGTCCACCACGTGCTGCTGGAGCTAAGCGCCGCAAGAAGAATACGAAGAAGAACAACACGACCACCACCTCTACCACTACCAAGAAGGACGAGACCAATGCCGGAGGATAGATACCAATCCTGGTGGAACTGGCAGGCGCCGCCGGCTAAGGGTACAGGCAAAAAAGGCCAGCCTCCTGCTGCTGCGGCACCGACCGCCGCTCCTAACAAAGCTGACGCCTGCCATTGGGTGTGGGCACCGGAGAAACAGTGCTACAAGTCCTGGGATTCCAAGAACAATGTCTGGCGGCATGATACCAACTGGAAACAGACGGCTGCACTCAAGGACTCCAAATTACGGCTAAAACTACTCACTCCACATAGCTATTAATTTGTGACCTCTGTTGAACCATCCATCTGCCAAGTACCTCTGTCGCCTCTAATCACCGAATGGGCCGTCGACTTACCGCGCGGTCGCAAGACCAATGAAACACCTCACCAAGATCAGCCACCAGCTCCTTCGTCAAACACTGACGCACCGGCCGACCCACCGGGTCAGCCTACGGTTGCAAAGTGTAAACAGCTGAGTGCTGAGCTAATCCACCGTGGCACCTTACCGGTGTGGCGCTCCTGGACGGAGCTGGTGGCGGACGGGTGGACCCCTGTGGCCACGACAAACAAGTCGGATCCTAAAACAGGCCGCGCATGGGCAAAAACAATTAATACTACTCCTTGTGGGCTGTCGGTGTCTAAAGACGGGACCCTTGAGCCCCCAGTGGTTCAATCCGCGCCCAAACGCGACAAATACCAGCTGGCTAAGGACGCCTGTGCCTGCTACCACATTTTCCACAAATGCGCTTTCGATGAGAATAATCTTACCCGCCCTTTGATCCACCAGTGGCCAACAGAGGGCGCAAGTATGATTGTTAAACGCAAGTGGAGTGAGGCTGTTGTAGCCCAGTCTAAATAAAAAAGAAGAGGCGCGGATCCCGAGAGTCCGTAACTGAGATTCTCAATCATGACGCAGAGGCGTTGAGACAACATTCCAGGGGAACTCGTTGAAACCGCTATGACGTCAGGAGCCTCGCCATTTTGTAGCTGAGATGAAGCAAGAAAAAACCAACCTTGCGAAGCTTGAGCTAAAACGACCGCCGTCGCGCTGTGTCTTCTGCCGCAACTGAAAATCCAGACTGATGCCTGCACTCAAAAACTTGTTCAGCATGTGAATGATCAGATGACCTATTGGCAACAAGTCGACCACTCATCATCCGCGCGCCTAAATCTGCGACTGTCGGCACCGCTCACCAATGCAGAACCATGAGTCTGCGACTGTCGGCGCCACTCACCAATGCAAAACAGTGAAACAATTATTATGGGATGAATGTGGCCGATCTCGAAGTGCCCCCGGCCCCTAATAGAGCCACGCCTTGCCTTGTCGCATGCAACAAAGCTGCTGGCTACTGACTTCATTATGTTCAATACTTAACCATACACAACCACTACCAACTTAAACTAAGCCCTTGGATAAAGCGACACCATAACACCACTCACTACCTTTACCAATCGAACCACCTCCAGGGAAATAGCGCTAACGTGTCCGCGCATACGTGTTAAAGACAAATACTCACATTAAAAAATGAGCACCAACGCACCGGGAAAGGGTCAGAAGGTGGCCATCCCGCCGAGTCGTAAAGGCCAAAAATCGGTCTTCCATGAGAAACTGGCGGCTGCGGCAAAGCGCCGCTCTAAGGGCATTGGTGAGGAACCAGCCCAGGATGCCACGGGAAAGGGCCCCCAGGACCCCGCGGCCGCCATGGCGCCGTACGGTAAGGCGCGCCCCAACCAGGCTGCCTCGAGCAGCGCCTCGACTGGTGCTGGGCCGTACAGCAACGACGTCCCGCCGTCCACTCAGGATGAAGACTACACCACGCCGGCAGCTTCCTTCTGGAGTAACGAGCTGGGCGAAGCCTACGACCTTGGGGCTCCGAGCACGCAGTTGTCGGCTGAGGACGAGCTACCCGCCTCTACGCAGAGTGGTCAGGAACTAAAGTACGGCTCTGGTGGCATGGATTACCTTCCGGCCATTATCAAAAAGCCGCGCGAGACCTACACCATTAGCCAGTCCATCAGGAAACTCAACTGGACTGACCCGGCGGCAAACCAGCCGGCTAAACTCTGCAAGGACCTGCTCCACCAATGTGGAAAGCAGATGGCCTACTTCCTCCGCCACAGTCCAGAACTGGCGCGTCGACAAGTGGTCGAGGGCTGGGAGCGCGAGTGGATTGACTTGGGTGACCTTCAGGAAACCCTCTACCATGGCAAGCATGGAGTTTGGTACCCGCTCGAATACATTCAGGCGGCTGCAGAAGTCCCCAACAGACATGGTGGACTCCGCTTTGAAATTGCCTACCATGAACCGGCTCACTACATCCGCGCAACATCGGGGCAATCCCTGATCAAATGCACCGGAAACAAGCGCATCACTACCAAAGCTGAAGCACAAGAATACGCCGACTTCCACGGGTGCCAACATTTTCAACCTTATTTTCCTGCATTCGCCGAACTGTTATCTTCTCCTGCCTTGAGCTACAAAATCTCAACCTACCTACCTTACCATCATCCAGCCACCAGTTGCAAACTCTATCCACCGCCAACCACCTCACCCAACATCCAGATACATCTGGCGCCAGACCTCCGCAGACGCCCTGGCAAACATTGGCCGAGTCGGCTATCTGTTGCCGATGAGCCGCCAACATGTCCACTGGGGGGACCATCCGAATCATACCAAATCGAAGGGTGGCGACCGTGTATGGATTTCGGCCCACACTGATGACGTCATCGATGAAGGAGTCGCTCTGTACGTGACTAAGACGAAACGTCAGTTAGTCACAGACCCAGTGCCGCTCTATCTGTGCAGCGTCTACACCTTGGAACAACTCCCACAGAACTCATGAGACATTATAACCTGATTGAGAGGAGGCGAGACGCCACTTCCCGGGCCAGCTTTTAGGCTATGTGCACCAGTGTGAGTATTTGAGAAACATGCTTTGCCCCGGCTGCCTTATCTCCACACTGACGGTAGTGTTCGCCAGCTGCTGCATACCGCGAGGCTATGACGAGAGAAGGTCATCCGCCGAGAGAAAGTGGGGCACTCTACAAGCAACGAAGTACACCCCTCGCTAGATAATACCATAGGAATCAATATACAAAACCTAGAAAAAGTAGCACTTGCGCATCGGTATAAAGCGCGAAATATTCGAGGGAGAAATAAAATGACATCGCGTTTCTTCGCGCCGTTACATGGCGCCTGGCTCGCGCCGGCTATGGCCTCTTCCAAGGCCTCCGGCTCCCAGCTGCAAAAGCAAGCCTCGCAGCCCACACCACTGGGAGACCCGACGTGGAAACCACCACCGTCGGAGACCACACCACTCTCACTACCCACACCATCGCCATCACTCAGACTAGATAGGGCCACTATCCGAAAACGGGAATACCGCCACACCCTCACGCGCTACTGCAGCAGCGAGAGCATCGCGCTGCAGTTGCAGGCGCATGCCGAAGGCACCCTCATCAGCCGCAAGTACAGCTTTCACGTCTTCCGGGACTACTGGGCGAACCAGCTCCCGCAAGTCCACCCCCCATACTCAATCGAACACCTACGTATCTTCTGCCTCTCTCTGGATCTCGGCCACCAATGATAACTCCGAGCTGGCAAACACCTACTTTGCCGCGGTATCTCACAGCCTCCTCATGCCAGAGCTGGACCCACGCACCAACCAACCGCGCAACTGGCTCCAGCCGCACCCTTGCGCCATTAAGGCACTCAACATCGCCAAGGATGACATCCGGCGGACGTGTGCGGCACGAGAGCCCCTCAAGGCGCCACCTATCCACGTGGATGCGTGCCGACGCCTCCAGCCTGCAGATCGCGCACTTGTGCGTCTGTGGATCCTCCTGGGCATCTGGTGGAGCAGCTTCGCCGAGCTCCGCCCGCACCACCTCACCTACCACGCCGACCGCATCCGCGTAACAGTTATTCGAGATAAGATCGCGAACAAGGAGGGACGCGTGGTTGCCATCCGCTGCAACTGTACCCCACCACAACGCAAGGACCTCTGCCCCATCTGCGACAAAACCACACCACAACCATCCCTACCAGCAGATGGAAAATCAATGATGGATATCATGAAACAACTGGGGGCAAAATTCCACTCGCCTCGCCGAACTAATGCCCTCATGGCCGCAAAAACGCTGGCCTCCGGCAAACACTTCGGCTCTGAGACCTACATGAAGGCAAGAGGCTGGAGCACCCTCGCGGCCGTCCTATGCTACATGAAGGACCACGCGGACCACGCGGATGCAGCCTTATTCCCCGTGGCCGGGGCACTCGACTACACCACCGACGATAGCAAGCGCATAACTCTACCCGCTACAACTAAAGACAAAGATGAGATCCAGGAGGCGAATGAAACGCGCACCCGCGAACTGGACGAGATCGAATCTCTCCTGTCAACTAAACACGACGCCGCCGCCTACTTCAAGTCGAGGGACAAGTTCCTCGCGGAAGGTACTACCCAAATGAACGGACAGGATGTCCGCACAATCAAGGCCACGCCGAAAGCTGCATACTGCAAATCGGCGATGAAAAAAGTCACCAGGAAAAAGACCACCAACGCCACTACTCAAGACCAGGCACGGAAACAATCACAGGCCGCTCCACTTCGCAAGAAAGTGAAGTCGAAGTAAGACGCTTGGCGAAAGCCGCGCCGGGACAATTGGCAAGTAAGTGACTGCTTCCTTAACCCATGGTCTCACCGTGAGCATGCCCCTAGGCAGGTAGCTTAGATGGGAGCAATGATTATTGAAGCGTCAGCGTGTTGCACACCAAAGAGCTAGCAGCTTCTGCTGCCTTTGGCGACAGTGATCCACAAAAGGGACCCTGACACTCGTGTTCACCCACGCCCTCCTAGAGGCTTTCACTGCTGGAAGCAGGAAGCGAGCCAAATGATCGGTAGCAGTGAGTTCTGGTGTAGTGTAGCATTTGTCTGGCCGGAGGCCGCGAAATGTGAAATGAGTGCAAATATGAACTCCTGCTGATCTGCTCGGGTTCTCTCTAGTCGGTGTTTATACTATGCTATCGGAGATCATAGGTGACCAAATAAGAATTGCACGCTCCGGGGATCTCAGATAGTTTTCTGGATAACGAAAATGAAAAAACCCACCCACCCACACCAGGAAACAAAAGATAGCCCAAGATGACGTCGAAAAAACTAAAACTCGCATTGATCAAAACGGCCGACCAGTTAACTGAAACGGTCTGGGCTCCACCTGTCGACCTACGCCTCTGCCAACAATACGCTAAAGCTATATTTGACCAAAAGCGTGATCGTGATGACAACACACAAGAATGGACCAACACGGTGGCACAACCACAAGCCACCCGCTACCTCCTCGAGCTCCAGCAGGACACTGTAGAGACCAGCAAGGCGCGCATTAAAAAGGAGAGTCCGGCGCACCTGCAGGGCCTCCTCCTTTCGGAGCCACCGCGAAATGTGGACGCCGTTGAAACATTGGCCACCCTAATCGACCACCCTGACACCACCTTCACCACGCGAGTCATCAAAGGGCTTAACGCTATCGCCAATGGTGATACCGCGGGAGTCTGGAAAGCCAATCACGCCCCGTTTATCCGGGAATCAGAAGTGGCCGAATTCTACAAGAAGGCCATCCGTCTCCGCGCCACACCGCCAGAATTCGACGATGACCTTCTCCAGGCAATCATCGATATCATAGAGCAGGACGCTCAAAAAGGACGGCATAAGGAGATCACCCGCGACCTGCTCCAATGCCAACCTGCCACTGCCTTCCCTAAGGATGAATCCACCGAGGAACGCCGCAAAATCCGGCTTCTCATCGACAACCGCGCCAAGAAAAACTACTGCCGCACACAAGAAAGACTAGAACTACACGGCACCCGGAAGATTCAAGACCTCGTCGGCATCTACATGACGCCAACCGGGAAGGAGCATACTTACATCTCCTCACCACTTGGCCAGACGCGCAAGGAAACCCATGCACATATGCAACACGAACTGGCAACGGCGGCGGCAACGGCCACCCTGCCAGAACCACATGAATCCCTCATGACCCTCGCGGGCCGCCTGTCTGCTACCATCACCTCCCTCAGCCAGGACGTGGCACATCCGCAGACACCACCGCCGGAGATGGCTTCCGATGATATATCCGGGGCCTACTACCTCTTTGGCATCGACGACCCCAAAAGTTGCCCCATAACGGGGTATGACCCAAGGCAGCAGGCATACCGGTTCTGGGTCAGCTATACGCTCAATATGGGCGCCAAACCCTCCGTCCCGGCATTTTGCCGCCTCTCGGAGTTACTAGTGGCCATCTGCATCTACTTCAAAGTCCCAGTGTTGGCCTACATCGACGACCAGAACTACTTTGCCGCAACAACGCAGCAAATCTTTGCTGCGAGGACTTTCATCCACCAACTGGCAGCATGCCTCGGCCTGCCGCTTTCCAAGAAACTGGCTGCGGACCAGTCTTCAGCCAAAACAGACACCCTGAAGGCCTTGGGCCTCGTCTACCACTACACTAGATCAGTTGATACTACCCTTCTCACGCTTATGCTGCCAACCAACTACTACAGCAAGCTCACGAAAGCGTTCGACACCACCCTCACGCAAATCAAAAATAAGTCACTCGTCCTCAAGGACCTCCCGAAGCTGGTCGGACTGGCGACCTTCGGCACGCAACATACCCGACCAAAGATCGGCACCGAGCTGCTCCGCCCCCTATACAAATGGCTGGGCGAGTCACTCTCTCACACCCTCAAGGGATGCAAGAAGCGCCGCAGCATGCTCCGCATCCACGTTGTGGCGCTGCAGCACCTCTTGCCGACCCTACCGCGAATCACCCACAACAAGACAGCCGCACGAATTACGCAGTCCTACCTCGCCACGGATGCATCATCCGATGGTGGACCCGATGGGCAACCCGTACTAAGTGCCTTCGACATTAACGCACAAGGAAAGCGCCAAGCATTCGCTGTGTTAATCGACCGCCAGCACATCGAGAACGTCATCGGTAACACTATCCGCATCGAAATCCTCGAAGCAATGGCTACCTACCTCGCCCTCACCACCTGGGCAACTGCGAGCGACCTCATGCACATCTCCCTCGACAACGTCGCCCAACTCTACGCGCGCGGGAAGATGACTGCAAAATCATCACACTTGCTCAACATCATCACCAAATCCACCCTGCGCGCCGCCTCAGCCGAGCAGCGCACCTTCTACCGCTATGTCAGCACCCACTTCAACATAGCGGACATCTTGATCTTCTCGAGAGAAGATTGCGCCTCCTTCCGCCACTTACTGGCTGAAGTCATCGAAGTACGACAACCAAACTGGACAGTTGTACTAAAAACCCTCAACCAGAACGCACTGCTACCGGAGGTTACGGACTCCGGTCCCGATACCCGAAAGGACACACAGCCTACCCCTCTTCCAGCGCCGCCATGTGATAATCTACCACCCACAAAAAAGCAACGCAAGTAAATGGCTGTTTCCTTAACCCATGGTCTCACCGTGAGCATGCCCATAGGCAGGTAGCTTAGATGGGAACAATGATTATTGAAGCGTCAGCGTGTTGCACACCAAAGAGCTAGAAGCTTCTGCTGCCTTTGGCGACAGTGATCCAAAAAAGGGATCCTGACACTCGTGCTCACCCACGCCCTCCTAGAGGCTTTCACTGCTGGAAGCAGGAAGCGAGCCAAATGATCGGTAGCAGTGAGTTCTGGTGTAGTGTAACACTTCTGCTGTTGAGCCCACTGAAGGCGGTGGGCCCTTGAGTTCTCAAACCGCTGTCAAATAGGCAGGCCTCTCTTCGATTGTACTTCCCGGATGACGCCTCGGCATGTCAGTCGCCGTCTCTTTTCCAGTTCCGCAAACAGTGCACACGCCTTGTTTAAGTCGCCAGACACCGAGTGTGGAATGTCCCATGCGTCTCTTCCTACTTTCGACTCGACTCGAAAGCTGTCCGCGTGAACTCGAAATCTCTGAGGAACTTCTACAAGGCTTCGCGTTCATTCATCGTGGCCACCTGAGACATTCCTGCCTCGCAAGTTATGGGCGGTGCGTGTCGTTCCAGCGGCTTGGCGCCAGATCCTCCGCCTACGGCAGACCCGTTAAGGCGGCGGGCCATAGCTTGAAAGGTGCCCCCAGTTCCAGACAACAGTGATGCGATATGGCTGCTGACCATATGAGGGATATTCAGCTCCATCGGAAAAGCGGCCGAGAGATTATCGTCGGCGACTTCTTCCACCACGATGGGCAGTGCAGAAGACATGCTGCTGCGGTAAGAGCGCACGTTCTTGGATTTGCCTGGTGGAGGTGTAGGCATACCTACCGACGTGTCGCCCTTCGGCTGATATGTGTCCGCAAAGATCAAAAAACTCTGGAATGCAAGGCGTGCTTCGGACTTCTCGGCCTGCTTAGCGTTGGTCTTGCCAATCTCCATCAGGAACTTAAGCTCCAAGCTACTCCTGGTAGAGGTGCTGGTAGAGGTGGTGTCACGGATCCACCAGCTCCGGCGTCAGGACGGTTCAGCTCGGCCCTGTAGTGGTCGCCCGGTAAATGACTGCCCATCGGCGGGCCACCCGATCCCATCCCAAATGTTGGATGTCTTGTTCGTTGCTGTCCCGCCGATCCATGTCCCGAAAGGGTGGGACTTGCGCTGGCGGCTGGTGGGTGTCCGCGAGTCTCTGAAATCGAAGGTCGTGAAGGGTGACAGACCGCAGACGACGGAAGAGCTGCCTCTCCATAGCCTGGCCCTAGGTCCGGAACGCCACCAGGTGGAAGTGCCGGCGCATATAGCAGATGTATAGACGGCGAATCAGGAGCCAACCCCGGAGGATGATACGCTGGTAAACCCCTAGCACCGAAGTCGGGGGTCGTGAAGCCTCTAAAGTCTTCGGCGCACCTTGAGGGACAAGGCCTTGCGCAGATGACGCCGCCATGTCGTTCCCTCCGACCGGCGAGACAAACCCGCCCCGTAGCGCGGCGAATGGTCCGCCTGTAATGCCTGGAGATGGCGCCTCTGTAAGCCCAGGAATAGGCAAACGCCCACGAGATTTAATAGGCCTAACAACCCGCCAGCCAAGGTGGTCAGGTCCATTAGGTGAGCGTCTGAATATAGTCTGCTGTGAGACCGCCGGGGACAAATACGCCGCACCGCTCTCGGGCGACACTGACGCCCTGCCCTTATACCCAGCAGAGACGTGCTCAATGCTGATCGAACTAGTGCCATTGCAATAAGGGCCCTCTGCTCCTTGCTGCTTAAACAGGTCCCAGGCAGCTGACCAAAGTCGAAGAGACTTCTCAGAAGGAAACTCCAAGTGGTGCTTTATCCGTTCACTACGAGTAGCTCGTCCTGCGGAGAATGCAGCACCAAGCACGGCTCCACGCAGACAAGTCAAAATATGTGGGGAGGTAGTCTTGTGCTTCGTCTTCAATGTAGAGGTAGCGCGAGTCAAACACTACTCCAGGAGCTCAATACTTGCCAATTCTGCGCTGTTCCGGGGACGGAGAAAGTCAACTCGTGGGGATGAATAGTCGCTACGAAGATCTCCGAACTGCGTTTCTCCCGTCACCCATACTGGAAATCCAGAATTGGCCGCGTCTGAAGACAGGCCATCGCAATCTCTCGCAGCAGAGGCGCCTACTCTCCTTGAGCGCTCAGTTATTGTCTGTCCCAGTAGAGGCTGGCGCTCCAAAGGGTCACTTCGGACGCTCCGCTCCTCGTGAAGGTCCTTGAGGGATGAGCGGGGGCGGTCGTGATCGTCTCGACCGATACCACTCGGGTAGGCATCGGCATTCAAGTCCATCGAGTCGTAGATGTGGGACCGGTGGACTCGAGTCGTCTTTGAGTTTCGGCCTGGATAGTGGCTCTGCAACGGAGAACGCGGCGGGTCAGAAGGGTCCTCAACCTCGTCAACTGCTCCCAATAGGCGATCTTGGCAAGGTTTCGCAACCGGTTCAGAGTCGACGTTTCGAGATGTCCTCTGAGTCGACACTCTGGACTCTAAGCCGACATCTAGAATGGCCGAGGCAAGTCTTCCCGCGTGGCGATCTTCAACAGGTGCGCCAGAGGCAACACCTCCACGCCGTCCAGGATGTTGTAGCCCAGCCTCAGCAGCAGGCAACCTCGAAGCTACAGGCAAGCCTTGGGCTTCAATAGAGGATCGAGCCCATAGTCGCGACAGAGCCTCATCGAGGGTGTTCTGCTTGCGCTGTAGTTCTGCTATTTGGTCCGAAAATTCCTTTGCAAACTCGGGCCTGGCCTCTCTTCGGGCATCCTCGAGAGTCATCCTCTTCCAGTATTCCAACTGTAGTTCCGGCACCTGTCCCAGACCCATGCTCGCCTGATGGTGAGTGTGATCTTGTTCCGTATCCGCATTGGCGGCGTGATCCTCTGCGGCGTGACTCGTCTTACTGTCGGAAGACCTCGGGTGACTCCCTTTGCGAGCCATTCCTTTGACGTCAAAAACAGGCCTCACTGGTTCCAGACTCACCGGTTGCTGGTCCGAGCGAACACCACACGCGGAGGTGGAAGATGCTGGATGCGCGATGTCTGAGTCCGGAGGCGCACTTGGCCGCACGTCCATCCCTTGCAAGACTGACGCTTCCAGATCCGTAAGGTCGTCCCCGTCATTGAACAAGCGTCGCCCGACTAAAGCATCTTCGTGCGCCGATGGGTGTCGGCGAAGGGATACCCCCGTCGGAGTGCGCAAAAGGGGAACAGGAGGCGAAGACTCATCATCCTGCTCCTGGATAGGAGAGAGACTCGAAGCGGGAAGCTGCGGGGCGCGCGGAGGCGGAGCTGCAGGAAAAAGATCAGTCCCAGGAGCACCCTGTTGATTCGGGGACTGGTAAGTATCACTATCATGCAGGTCGGAAGGGTCATCAGAGGTGCCCGGCCCTCCGAGATCAATCAGGTTACCGTCAACGCGACTCATCGGGAGAGTCAGGCTCGGGGTGAATGGGTTCTGTATCGATTCGCGCGATGTTATCGTCTCGGGATTGGGCATCTTTTCGGTTTGTTTGTAGTTTCTAATATATCGCAGAGTGTCTATATTAGAGGCAATCAGGGAAGAGTGCAAATATCTGTATAGATGCAGACTCGTCGTGAACAGATAGGATCCTTTAAGCAGAGACTATAAGTCGGCAAATAAATCGGATTGATCAATAAATATCGATCAACAAAGGGCGCGCGCCTCTATGTTGTGCCTCGAGATATCAGTTTGCCCGCCAAGACGCCCGGGCAAACTCTATTACACCAGAATGCACTAGGTATGTACTGCAATCGACGGGGTGAGCTGGCTAGACTCACAGCCAACGTATATTATGTAATACAACGGTAAGGCTTAGGGTTTCTATAATGTAAGCACTACTATGCCAAGCGTTACTCTAACTACATTACTACCCAAAGTGTGGCACTAGTTGCCAGCATCGTTCTCCACCACTTGAACCAATTAAGAGCACACAACTAAAACAACGAAAATGGGGTGAGTCGCTAATAGGCAACATGACCTAGAAAGGTGCGCACTTCGCGTCTTGTAAAATATAGCTACTGCCGGCGCAAATATTCAATCAATGGCAACAAATGTAGCACAAAGGCATCTCCAAAAGGTTTCTCGTCCGACAAATGTCGCGAATAAATGTACTGCCGGGTTGCGACTGGTCTAACCAATACACAATCGACACAGATGAGAAGTCAAACGCTATAGGCGGATGACTTGGCTACAGCCTGAAATCTTGAAAGTCTTTGTGGCACATCGGCCGCGAATCATGTGTGGCGACAAAGAAAGCAATGCGTATGAAAGACGGCTCAGCTTGCCTTGAGTTACTTAAGCTCGTAAATATGCAGTCACTTATCTTAAATGACCAGTCCAGTATCCTTCTATTCCCATAGCGTAAGATCCGAAGGCGTATTTCATTTGTGTGCTCAGTCCTCTCCGAAAGATATTAAATTAAATAATGAGTCAAGTGTCGATCTTTGAGTCATGCTACCTTAGTGAGCGAGTAGGTGAGAGATCAAACGCGGTTTCCTTATGTGATCAAACGGATGCTACTTAGTGGAGCGATCTCGAGCCTCCTTTTGTTCGATACAATAGCAACTATTTATATTTTTTCAATAGGTCCTCCTCAGTAAAGATCTGGGACTTCTGTTGCAGATCTTGAAAACGTTTTCTATTAGCAAACGGCTTTTGGGCTGCCCTTTTGCACCATTTGAAATGGGGCGATCTTTTCGCTCTCTCCTGAGCTCTCTAGTCTGGCAGATATTCACTCTGCGATCTCTGGGGCGATCTCTAGAGGCCGTGGAATCGCCCTGAGCTGTAGATGGTTCTATCTACAGCACGGTGGGAACGAGGCTGATCTAGTCGCGATTCTAGAATATGGCCTAGGTGTGATCTGTCATAGATCTAGACATGTCTCTCGTACGAGAATGATTTAGCCTTATCACGTCGTAAGATTAATTAGCTCCCCTCGTAAGCTTAGGATAATTGAGGCACCAACAGGAGGGGGCTGCGGAAATTAGTAGTCACGAGCTACGAAAGTTGAATGTAAGTTGCATAGGTAGTCGAAATTTATGACGAAATCGTGCATATTTCGAGTAAAATGAGAGGAATTTTATGAATGGTCGTCCGTATGTTGACAAGCCCCCCCCTGTAATTCGCGAGTTAGTCGTCTCTATTAAGTCGCGAACTACCTGCATTCGACTGTAGTTCGACCGGAGAGTCTGGGCCGTGAGAAAGGACTACTACCAAGCAGTAGTCTGCTAAGGACTATTTTTGGGGAACTACCAGTAAATATATTGTCTCAGTTCGTGGCCTTTTGTTCGATTCTTCTATGGTAAGCTGCTTCGGAGTTCTCTTGTGCGGTTTCGGTTTGGGAAGGTCGTGCTTGTTTGAAAAGCAAGGAAACTCGGCACGTCGTCGAGCTATTTGGTTGTTTGGCATCAGTGGCTGACGTTATTGGGCATTTGTTGTGAAGAGACATGTGGAACATGTCGTGACCTTTGTTGGTGAGCAATCCGCGCAATCATCCCGAACTTTCTCCATATTGTGCTGCGCGCGACTTGGCTCAAGCTTTGCCTTCGAGTGAAGTAAAAACATGGCCGCAGGGTTTAAGAAAAGGGCGGGAGAGCAGTCCCCTACTCCCCGGGATTATTTTCCTTCAAAGTTGAGACGAGTGCTCGCTGCCGCTGACGGATGCCCGAAATCCACAATAGACTTACACTGGCGTGAGCGGAGGCGTGCCCCACGAATCTCCTAAGAAAGGAAGTAACTCCGTCGAGGATTACTGCTGACTGACATCTTGGCCCAAGGAATCTGAACACAAGAAAAACCTAAAAAGTGGCCTCCTGGAAGCAGAAAGATGCGGGGCACTCCTCTGCACAGGTCGGGCCAGTTCTTGTCTTTGAAGTAAAGCCCTTCTGGAATTCTCAGGCCAATGGGATTGTTTGTAGCAGAGCAGCTTCTGTGAACCTGATCCAGCATGAAGATGGATCAAGCCTCCAGTTACGTCCTGGCGCCATGATGTCTCGAAGATATTTTTTAGCATGATGTATGAAACAGGCTGGGTCTAATCTGACAGCGGCGACATTCCAGAGGCAGACCCAATCACTGACAACGATGACGCCGATACGATGCGAACGAAGCGGAAGTATGCCCTTGACGGAGTCCCCGGCTCCATACCAAAACCAAGCTCCGGCGAGAAGGCCCCAAGCCGTGCCGATCTGATCCAGACGCTAGGAGGGGTGAATAGGCTGGCCGACGCCGTGCTGAAGGGGGGAGATTTATGGGCGAAGTTAGTACTTCTCCGCACCGCCATCGTGGCTCCCCTGTTTTCCCTTCAAAGCGTATACTTACTTGACTTATGAAGGAGAGCCACATAGATGGGCCGAAAGGTGGACGAAGGTGCTCACTCTTTTCTTAAAGGTGCGGCGCTTTCTTTGACGCAGAAACCACTTGGAAAGCGATGTCGGCTCCGTGGCCCAGCATCGACGTGACAACAAAGGGAACCAACAAGGGGAGCTCTTTGGTCCGTCTTCTTAGTCGCGAGAGTGTGCGCAAAGCCTTGGGCATCGAGTCGGGCATGAAGACGAAGGACCTCATCTTACGGCTGCTGCTTTCTGATCTTTTTAGCTTACCCTTACAGGAACTGAGTTCGCGGCGTATATCTGAGTAGCAAGGTCGTGGCCCGCTTTTTTCTAAAAATCCGCATCGTAAAAACTTTAGGCGGCAGCCATCTACTAACAGCAGAATCAATAGCGGCAACCATCTCCGTACTAGAATACAAAGTAGCCCATCGCGTAGCTCTTATTGATGTAGTTCGTTTCTATCGTGTAGCTGTTTCTCCTTGCTGATGGTCAAGACTGACCACTTGCGACGCTTTGACGATGATGACAGGCTGTGCCCGCTAAGAGTCGAGGAGAGAGTGGCGGTTTTCGGGGACGCTCAGAACGACTTTTATGCGCAAACCCAGACACTTACGCCGGCTTATCTGCCGCGACGCTCAAAGCACAACCTAGAAAGGCGATCGCTTAGCTTCCCATGATAGTTTCTCGTGATCAAGTTAGTCCCTCTTGCTTTCTGATGCTTCTGCTAGCTGGCGTGTGCTCTGGTCTGTGTCTCTTGCTCCTAAGTAAGTTCGCGTCCTCTTTCCTTCAGGATGATGAGAATCACTCGAGAGGAGGGAGAAAATGAGCACAAGTCCTGAGAAAGGGCCGGCATCTAGCTAGCGTGGTGCCATCTCTTCAAATAGTTCACAGGTCTCTGCCTATCATAGCCGCCTTTACTGTAGTCTCTGTCTCGAGTGTTCTGATCGCTCTAAATTGGGGAGATGTTCCAACCGATGAAGACGTCGACAGATGGAGAGGTCGAAACAGCAGTGCCTGCCGTCCGCGTGGCGATGGAGTTAAGTGGGCACATATAGAGGGAGCTAGAAATAAAGCACAACGGTAAAAGTTAGAGTGGGGCGATGAATGAGCCCAGCATCCTAGGAGTTACATCCAACCCCAGAAGACTGCCTTGTCGATAGGTGGGCGATAGGTCTCTTTTTCATGTGCTAGACCTGGCTGTGTGTCGTGGGTATTAAGCTATGCTACACGAACAGAGCCAGCGCGCCAGTATGGGCAGGAACGTGCTACAGCTAGTCCGTCTGGTATTAGTATTACAGCTTGGGCCTATTGTTAGAAATCGTCACCGAGTCAGCTATCTTACTGATGCGTGCAGCTCTCTTGGTGATGGTTAAACTTACTGCCTCTCTGCTTTCTTGGACCACTTGCCGCGCTGGTCTCTCCGCTCTACAGATTATCTATCGTAGGTAGGTTCGACACTAGCGGTTTCGTCTCGCCTATGTCAATCTAAGTGAATTATGAGCGACGCGACGGTGGGGAATAGGGCCCGTAGTGCGCGGAAAAAATCCCGTAGAGATCCATTGGCACTACCGCGCTGATCTACCGTCAATGCCGGGCAATTGGGGGAGGGGGGGGCAGCTCTAATCAACATAACGAACGACCCTACGCTCCTGGGATACTCCGACTACACGGGAGACGTTGGCGAGGTGCTTGAGTTAAGGACTACTCTCTCATGGCGTATTTTGTATACTCTACCATCAGACACAGCTGGCGCTGGAGCTTTTTCATGTACGTCGAGAGGTGTGAGATTGCGAGAAGTGATCTAGTCCAATATTAAAAGCTCTAACGGAGGCCGTTGCGAGTGCCCGAGCGGAAACAGGTAAAGACGCCTCATCCGTGAATACCGCAGCGAGTGAGTCCGGAAGCATTGAGCCCGCGACCGCGATGACTATGAAAAAGGGCGGCCATTATCATAAGAATAAGCTTCTATATATAATGTATCTAAGGTTATTGAGAAATCACGAGACCGGCGCTCACTAGTGCTGTAGCTGGGGCCATGTCATCAAACTACATTAAGTAGTGACTAACTTGATCGCGCAGCTTGTGACTGTGGATCCCATTTAGCCGCAAGGTCAAAGCCGGGCGGTTATTGATTTTTTATCCCTTAGATGTTGGGCTGGTCCAGCTTCTTTCTTGCGAATATGAAGCTCGCACTTCTCTAAAATTGTTAAAAAAACTATCGTAGAGTGGGTTCGTGTTTACTTAGCCATGATAGCTGCCTCTTCCATTACCAAGAATAAACAAAATTCATGCGTATGCCCGGGGAGTAATTTCTTGAGAAAGCAGAGAAACGACGTGAGACACTAGGGCACAGCGTGACTTCTAAGATTAAGCGCGGCAACCTCCGCGGCACGGCGAATGCACAAGCACAGGCAGAGGCAGCATCAGAGGAGAAGAAAGAGGCAAAAGCGCGAGACTGCTGCGCCTGTAGTTGATAACTCAGGGGCGAGGTCTAGAGAGCATACCTTTTCAAGTGTTTCCCACTATTATTTTCAATATTTTCATGCAGTATAATAGGTTAAGGCACTGCAGCGTAGGGCTTGGGGCAGCACTGCTTAAGATCTGGGCAGGGTGTTCGATCGATAAGTACTGCGGGGGTTCCATGCTTAAAAGAGTAAGGAAGGGCCAGTGCTTAGAAGATGATGCCGAGCGCGAAACATTGTATCTAGCAAGCTCTCCTGGGCTGGCGAAATGTATTTTCTCGCGATAATTCCTCTGGAAACGTGGGTTAGACGCCAAGCAGGTGCGTGGTTGTCTTCTCGAGGTCGCTCTCGCGAGACAATTTTTGCACTTTTCTTTAATCGACCTGAATGAGCCTCATAAGAAACCATAGATGAAGAGTAGGACGAAAAGAAAACATTCAGCATCAAAATTATGGAGATGTGAAGAGTTAGCCATGAGAAGAGCGTAAGCATGCATCTTCGGCCTGGGAATAAGCTGGCCAGTATTAATGTCGGCGCTGATTTTTTAGAGCAACGTAGCGAGATGTTTCCGTCTACTTCATCGATGCGCAAGCTGTTTCCGTCTCTATCGCTGCGCAAGGGCATGAAAATGTTGAAGATAAAGGTAGACTCTTGAGCAGGTATGTTTAGAGGAGGAGACAGTAAAGACTCTTCTAGCAGGGAGTTTTAGGCTAGAGGTTTTTCCTTTTCCAGTAAGTATAAGATTGAGGCATGCATTCAGGGCATTCGAAGATCCTTGATTATTTCTGCTCCCAACTACGAAGAATGCCGTGATTGTGCTTACCTGTATGAAGAGCAGCCGCATCGTGCTACAGGTGTTGCTCACCTGCTCTCTCTTATCACCGATCCCTTTTTTAATTGTAGCTACTCGTAGTTTGAAGTCGATTCTAGTATGCATCCCTAATGCGTTTGAATGCGTGAAGTATTAACTCTGCTTGGTTGTGTTATTAGAGTCTCTCACTCTACATCTACTGGGCCAAAAAGAAAACTCTTTCTCATCAGAATCAGACGGCTTCGGGTGAATGCAAGGGGGGGCTGGAGAGATGGAGAGAGGATGGGTGGTGTTTGGTATCGCGATTGGATCTTCTTCAAATTTCTGTCATATGTCGTGGCTTTGTTTTTGTTGTTTTGTTCTTGCAGCTCGCACGCCAAGTGAGAAGTTGGTTCTCGTCGCGAGTATTTCAAGAATAGCTTCGCCTCATAATAGTAGCAACACTTCGCACGTCTAAGGACTGGGTATATTTATTGTCGTCATCATCACAGCAATGCAACACTATTCAGGCCGATTATCATCTTCAGTTTGACAGTCATGCTCGGTGGGCAGTATTCCAGTTTATTTGGTTCTCTCACAACCGGGCGACAGTTGAAAGCTTGAGGCATATCAATGAACCACGAGAGCCAAACGCAAATGATTTGGAAGACAAAGTCTTACTTTCGCTCATAAGACGAGGCATGTTTGTGCACATCGTGCGGTTGATCGCTTTCTCGCTCTCTTGTTGCAATAGAATAGTCAGCAGCTCTTTTGTTGAATTAGGCTAGAAAAGTGAATGGCTGAAGAATCGTGAACAGTGGCCAGCAATCAATAGAAGGGCGGGCGTGTTTTTTTCCTTTGGTTTTTAGTCGCTGCGTCACGAAATATCTTAAGACTTGCGTCGCGGTAGGTCTTTCGATTGGAGTGCTTGCGGGTTGTGTGGCGTTTGATCCCCCACATCTGGGTCTGCCGTAGTGCATAAATTTGGGCCCTGCGCATTCTCCTCGTCCGCAGCCTGGTCGCTAGCCCATTGCTATTGTTTCTTGATAGGCGCGCGCTTGTTGAACTAGGTGGATTCAGCGACCGGCTAGCGAAGTGAATGGCTGAAAAATCATGAACAGTGGCCAGTAATTAATAAAAGGGAGGCTATGCTTATTTTCCTTTGGTTTTCAGTCGCTGCGTCACGAAATATCTTAAGACTTGCGTCGCGGTAGGTCTTTCGATTGGAGTGCTTGCGGGGTGTGTGGCGTTTGATCCCCCACACCTGGGCCTGCCGTAGTGCATAAATTTGGGCCCTGCGCATTCTCCTCGTCCGCAGCCTGGTCGCTAGCCCATTGCTATAGTTTCTTGATAGGCGCGCGCTTGTTGAACTAGGTGGATTCAGCGACCGGCTAGCGAAGTGAATGGCTGAAAAATCATGAACAGTGGCCAGTAATTAATAAAAGGGAGGCTATGCTTATTTTCCTTTGGTTTTCAGTCGCTGCGTCACGAAATATCTTAAGACTTACGTCGCGGTAGGTCTTTCGATTGGAGTGCTTGCGGGATGTGTGGCGTTTGATCCCCCGCATCTGGGTCTGCCGTAGTGCATAAATTTGGGCCCGGCGCATTCTCCTCGTCCGCAGCCTGATTGCCAGCCCATTGATATAGTTCTTGATGGTCGCGCTTTTGTTGAGTTAGGTGGATGCAGCAACCGGCTAGAAGGGTGAATGACTGAAAAATCATGAGCAGGGGCCAGTAATTAATATAAGGTAGATATCAGTGTGTCTAATATTATCAGCCTCACACAAAAAAGATTGAGACTCTCGAACTGTATTAGAATAACCGAAAATGCATCGAAATGACATGGAAGATGCACTTATCAAAACCTTTTGTCATGTTGCATGTGTTATCCCCATTCTGTCGTCACAGATGTGACTCATGTACAGGAAAATCCGAGTAGCTCTTTCAAATGGATTCAAAGCGCACTCGGTGCTATCGATGCCCCGAAATCTGGTCAATCATAGCGCGGCGCTGCAGCTATCAATAAGTTGGATTAGCAACGACGGAATGATCGGAGTATTTTACAGCAAGTGTAACGCCGCGTTTTTCTGGGGTGTCTGTCAGGAGAAGTGGTAAGCGAAAAGATGCCCTGGAGTGAAGCGCGAAAGCTCAGACACGCGTGTATCTTAGAGGTGGCCAAATTTTGAATATAGAAATTTTACCTAAATTTCCAAAGCTGCTTATAGTTCCCTCATTCTTCAGCCCCTTCTCTCCCAGGCCAGTTTTGCATTCTTCATTGTTTTTTTCAGATAGGTTTGATGATTTTTGTCCGAAGATGAGGGGAAAGTAGTGTGTAGGGCACAATAAAAAAGTGCGCAGCGCCGGTGTGGCGAACCAGAAAAAAGAGTTTGTCAATGCTCTCAATCAAGCATGTATGGGTAAGCCAGAGTGACCACAATTGTTGCATGCCTTCGAAGGTGTTGCTAGTTGTTAACCACTCATTCGAAGTAAGTCGTCCCCTTGTGCAGGAGAGGTAGAAAAACTCATTGAAGCTCCTAGAAGAATGGTAGTTTTCAGCCGGCAGAGCCTGGAGCTTGGTGCCCCCCTCAAAAGTAGCTATACTTCTGGGGGCACGTCGCGCACGACCAGCGGGGCATTGCGTTTGTCCAAAGCAGGAAGTGTGCAAGCAAGTGGCGCAAGCGAACAGCAAGACGCTGGCTACAAAGCAGCAGCAAGCTCGATCAAGGGAGGAACTGCAAGTGGGAGTGGGAGTCGGCGAGGCACGAAATCTACATTGCCGGATCCGTCGCAACGGCGGAAGCATACGGAGGCAGGACTGAAACAGGTGATGCATGCGGTCGTGCGGGATACGGGCGTTAACTTGCGTGAAGAGGGCACGGGACAGGAAGCTATTGACCTTCCACAGAGTTCTGGCGGAGTGCTGAAGAACAGAGAAGAGTTACTGTTACGCTGCTAGCTCTTTAACTATAGGCTATAAATTAATAGGCCTCGTAAATGCAGGTGTCAAGCGAGAATATATATCATTCTTCTGGGGTTATTCCCGTGCAGGAACAAGCTCCTGTGACCTAGAAGGGACCTCTTGAAGAGTCAGACTATGTTGGACTCGCTTCTAAGAGAACACGAGCATCATCAAATCCTGCCCCAACACCAAGCTGCTTCTTCGTCGAGCACTAGCGTTTACAACGTCGGCGGCACAACCTCCACGGGAACCGCAGCCTTTCCTGCCCCACCTCCTGGAGCTCGGTCACCCCGTGTCGCGGTGGTTGCCGGCACAGAGAGCCTCACGTCTTCGCGCGGGCCGAGCAGTGGCGGCTCGAGTCTCACGTCCTCGCGCAGGTCGTCTGCAGCAACCGACCAACGCCTAGAGGAGTTGCTACTTCAGAACGCAGAGCTGAAGAGAAACTTGCAGTTGCTGCAAGCAGGCGTGGTAGAAAGTATGCGTGGAAACAAAGCAAGATTCATGGGCTCTGGCGGAGGCGGAGGCGGCGTGCAGACAAGTAGCAGTATGCTCCGTCCAGTAATAAGAACTAAGTTTTCCTGCGATCCTCCCCGAGACTTTTCAAGTGACGAACCAACAGAATTTTCGGCGTCATCGAAACTAAGTACTTGCTTCAGGTGAGCGTAATCGTTGAAATAGTGCCCTCCATGAAATTGACCTGAACAAGAAAGTACACTGTAAGTAAGCTCCTTTCTTCGCGAACTTGAATTAAGTGAGTACTAGATAACTGAAACTTGAGAGAGTTTTCCGGTTTCATATTGGGTGTCCACCACTTGTCATGTAGTACAAGGCGTCGAGCGCAAAGCTGCCCAATCTGCAGGACTTGGACGAGCTAAAGTTCCTCTTGTCGAGAAAGAACCAACAGATCGCGGAGCTGGAAGCGCATAGTACCGAAAATGCGGCGCAGATCAAGCGACTCGGACGACAGTTCGAATTATGAAACAGATGTAAGAAGAGTACTTGTTCTGTGATCTGATACGTAGTTGATTCTCGGCTTTGGTATTCTAGTACTTACATGATCTTCGAGGCTTTTCCTTCATGGATCGACGCGACAGTGCGGCACGGCCGCGAGCTGGGCTTGTGGGAGGAGCGGTGGTCGGGTAGGGTCGCGGAGACGGAGCGATTGGAGGAACGTGTCCGACTCGCGCTTGCCGACCTGGACAGAGCCTCTTCGGAGACGTCATTTGAGCGTCAGCGGGCAGATGATAGCGAGGCGAAAATTGCGGAATGGGACACCAAACTTGCGGATTTGGAAGCAAAGTGTCACAATTTGGAGGAAAATGCGACAAGGGAGGCTGCCGAAGCTGCGGCAGCAAAGACAGCGGCAGGAGACGAGGCAAAGCGTGCTCAGGAAAGGGAAGAGCTGCTTCACTTTACGCTTTAGATACAAACAAAACAAATTTTTTAAGCTCCCTATTCTCGATAACCATTACGCACTTCTGAAGCTACATTTTCACATCACAAGCCATTTCCTTCTACTAACTTCTACTACAGCAACTGTCAACCTTCGCTTTCTATTAGTGACGCACCTTTTTGGAAAATGCTTACTCAGCGTGACTTCTTCATAGTGGCAGAGACGGAACGGCTTGCATCAGAGTTAAAGTCTCGAAAAAGCGAGTTAGATGCTGTCATGGCGGAAAAGTCTAGTCTGCAAGCGGCCCTCAACGTGGCACGTGCAAACTGCGACAAGAGCAAATCTCAAATGTACTATCCACGTTTCGACTTCTAGCCTTGAATTATCAAGCTGGGTGGAGTCAAACTGCCAACGTGTAACAAATAGATAGTTGAAATATATTTCTTGAAGTACTATCACTTTTGAAGTGTCTTTAGGTTTGCGGTGTCGCTCCGCGTCCTTGCGCTGAGCAATAGCAGCGATGGTCTCCTCCGCAGTGTCTTTGATAGTTGGAGGGCGGAGCAGCTGCATGGAAAGCTGACATGGGAGCAGAAGCAGAGGCAGGCCGTAGAAGCAGGTGGGCAAAAGCGTGCCGCTGAGTTGGGGGAGGCGCTGGCCATTGCGCGGCGCGAGTTTGATGCGGCCAAAGCTGAGTGGGTCGCCTTCCGCGAGGCACAAACGAGTGACCGCGACGCCGCACTCAGTGCGGAACTGGCGCGGATAAAGGCAGATCTTCAAGCGGCGAGGAAGGACTCAGACGCCTTGCGCAGTCAAAAGCTGGCTGCTGAAAAGCAGGTGTCCGCATTGAGAAAACAAAAGGATGCGGAAATCTCCAAACTGCAAACCAAGATAAAAGACCTGGAGGCAAGTATTGGATGGTTTTTGCATCAGATCATCCAAATCTATGCTGCACGATATTTTAGTTAGATTGCTTATTTTGTATCCTATTTTACTCTTATTCCTGGAATCACCACCTACTTGCCTTACCACTGGGCTTGTTCGTACGCTGTGCAGAGGTAGATTCTATCATCTTTCTGTTGGTGGACTTTGCACTGTGAAAATATGAGTTGTAGGTCTCATGCAAGCAGAATAAGTATAATCAGTATCGGCCGTGCACTAGGAGTCAACCATAACTGACTACTACCTTTGACTGTTTTCGCAACTTTTATAGGTATTAGGGCTGCAAAAGACGAAGCTGCCGCTTCCTCGAGTGAAGAGGAGATGCACAAGTTCAAGCTCGCGCAAGAGGCAGAAGCGATGACACAGAAAGAGTTCTACAAAAAGCGTGAGGACACATTAGTCAAGGAGAACCAGGCTCTGCAAGATAAATTGAAAGAACTGACGCCGACGTCAGGTGGTAAATTAATTGCCTAGAGTGATTTTCTTCTAATAAGAATTTTCTTTCTTCATTTGATAAAGTCCATCTCGCTGAGTTTTTGTATCGTACTGCGACAAGTGCGCTGCATCTACAACTAGGCAGCCAACACATCTTCAACTTGTACTTTTGTTACCCCAGGCGGCAGCAGTGGGAGCAGTTTCTATGCTAAGCAAGTGCCCGATCATGGCGACAAGAAGTGGCGGCAGAAGCTCCGGCAAGTAGAGGAGGAGCACAAACGACAGCGAGCAGAGTGGGAGAGGGAGCGGGCGGACCTGCGAGAAGGGAGATCGCGAGAAGAGGAGCAGGCGAAGGAAATTGCGGACCTCAAACAGCGTTTAGAACAGGCACGCCGAGAAGCCGGGGAATTGAGTGCCGCCAAGGCACACGCGGAAAAAGAACGCGATGCTGCAGGAGGCCGATCTAGCAAGAGCTCTCCGGTAGAGAGTCGAACTTCCCACATTATGGGTAACCAAGAAGCCGGCGCAACCACGCCTCTCGGTGGTTGCACTAACGTTTTCCAATTGCTCTGTCACAAATTTTGATGTCACCGACTATCTGAAATTAAAGATCAACTACATGGATTAATAGGTTCAACCTGTTATGAAAAGAGAAAATTTTATCCCCAAGCTTGGTTGGTGGAATCGATTTTCTAACTTTCAAGAGCTAGAGAAGGAACCTTGGTGGAACGATTTAGAACTTGCAAGGCGCGAGATAGCAGAACTTCTTGCGGACAGAGCAGAACTGTTGAAACGCAGTGAAAGCGTAGAAGCAAGTCTGGGCTTAGCAGATGAGAGTTAAGAGCAACAAAATGATAAAAAAGGGTGCGGCCTTTGATATTCATTCGTGACGATGAAATTTCGAGCAGTGAACTCGATTTGTAAAGCTCCTGTGCTGATCCTCTAAGTAAAGGCCGGACGTTGGAAAGACGCTGTAGAGGAAAATGTGCAAGCGGTTCGTCGAAATTTGCGAATGCTTGTCACTGCTCCGAAAATATCTATCAACGTCGGCGGCAACAACGACTTTCATGTGAAGTCGTCTTTCCCCTATGAGGAAATACGAAGCGCAATAAAGGCCGAAATCATACCAAAGTTTCAGGTGTTAAGTATTAGGTGGTGTGACCTTAATGTGATCGGATTTCAAGGTAGTGTTAATTTGGTGGCGGTTTGCAGGTGCTTGTACTAGTTGGAGCAACGTCGTACTGTTATCCGAAATTTCATTGTTGCTCTCGATCGAAGACGATATGAGTTACTAGAAGGTTGACGATATGAGTTACTTAGAAGATGGTTATATATTCCATAATTTCTATGTAATAATGTCTCTTTGGTTGAAGATGTTAATTGATTGTTTGAAAGGGCGGTCGCATATAGTCCTAACGCAAAAAAAAAGTCTTAGGTGGTTGTGTTGAACAGCAACAGGGACACACACATGACATGATTGACACCGACCACTACTTCAGCGCTGCATGCACATATCTGAGGAGAAGTATGGAAGTGACTCGGACGTGAAGCAATTAGTGTATAAAGGTGTGGAAGACTTGGCGTTGACGCTGCAGACGAAAATCCACGAACTAGTGCCATCTGCAGAGGGGACTTGTCATTGGGACGGATTCGGTACTTGAAATTATTTCGATTTGTTTTCATTGACAGCTCGAGTACATTTTACTACTACTGCTTGGAGTTGGATCTTCACGTAGAGATAGTCCTTTTACTTGCTCCTTTGTCTCAAAAATATCTCTCAGGTTGCGCGAAAACGTCTGCCTCAACGGACACTCCAGTGCACAGTAGTGCTGATAGCCCCGTGAAGGGTGGAAGCCATCAGCTGGCAAAAGCCGAGCGGTCAAGCATCACCGGAACCTTTATGGATAGACATCCAGATGATCCGGATCCCCATCTGTCAACATCCAAGCAGGAACTGTTGTGATACTCCTAAGTTGTATCTTATTGGCACTGTCGACGAGTGTCCACGACGTATCTGTCGTGTGTCTACTACGTATTCTGCACTCATTTGTTTCTGAATCTAAAGTTTCCCAGGCGCAATCCCAATCGAGGTCGAGAACCGTGTCCAAAACAGGGGGAAGCCACTCACCGAGCAAGACGCCTAGTAGGCGACCTTCCCAAACCTAAGGCTGTTTTGGGGAGACCTGAATGCGGTCAACGAAAGAGTTATTCTCCCTGAGACACGTATATGCAGGCGCGCTCTTGTCAGTTATCCAGTACAATTACTTTTGTCTCACATCACTATGAGACTTTCAATAATGATCTGATAATGTCCGACTCATACAACGACGCATGTGGAGAAGACACAGAGCTCTGTGTTTCCTATGTTTTGTATCGATGATGTGACATCATCAACGGGCGTGCTGCAGTGCTTTTGCACTTCAGATTTTTTGAGGACATTTGTTTCATGTTTTGCTAACTGTTCAAATTAACATCGATTAGGAAAACATTTTTCATCATAGACAGGCGTCATTAAGCACTGGCTCGCACTGAGAAAATCTGGTTGAAGTTGTTCATAAATCAATATGCTACTTGATTGTAGACAAGTATCCGAGAAAATTTACAACGTGGAGTTGCTGTCATCTTCCAAACAAAAAAAAATATGCTGCGAGACACTACTGCCACATGTGTATAGGGCTTCGTTGAACAGGTCTGGTATTCTCCTATTTCATGACACATAAAATGCCGCCATGAAATGCCAAAAGAGTTTGCAAATGCAGCTGTTGAAGTGGCTTGCATGTGTATCAACCGCGCAACATCATGAATGCAAGTATCTCCAATTCGTCCTTTCGCTGTTGCTACTAGATCACCTATAATCGGGCACCTAGATAATTTATTCTCGTTCGATTTTTCGCTACGCATCTGAGCAGTCCTTTAGAGGCACACTTCAAACCAACCCTTTTTGTCATAAACGACTCTCTCTGGCATGAATAAATAGCAGTAGCACAATGATGTTGGCTGCTAGTATTAGTGTCCTTGCTTTTGTACTTCTGTCCGCGGAGAGTCCAGCGTTCATGCAATTGAGCTGATTGATGTCATCCACCTGTTACTCCGTGCTCGAATTACTATACGAGTCTAGACAGTTCTAGGTACGTCAAGTACTTAATATATATAAATATGATTTTTTGACCACGTGCTTCGTCGTCTTTGGGAAAGTCCACATCCTCGACCATGGACGCCCATAACGTGACACACATGCAATTGTGATGGCTAATGCATGAATTACCCAAGTTTCTACTCTTCTTGTTGGCTACCACATCGGATGGTAGGCCCCAACCTAACCTAACCTGTGAGCAGGTCCATAATTACAGTCATAGGATGGGGCCTGAATGGCGCAAATGCGCCGCCTCACGCGAGCCGCCTGTCGGTTGAATCGCGTCCCAACGTCAAGCGCTGATACTAGATGACAGTTGAAATAATACCGGAAAACTAAAAGAAGGCGAAGTCCGAAACAAAAACCCAAGTACATCAAAAATGTTTTCGCAAAATGCCTCAATTCCTTGCCTTTGCCGAAAAAACAAAATGCAGTTGAACCCTGAGGTGTCTGTAAGGAAACCTTTTCCCATCGAAAACTGCCACCCAGCGTGTGGATGAATCTTGTGCGAGCTTCTCATAGAACGAAAGACTAGCCCTCCGGCGTGGTTCCCCAGGGGAAGGATGCGATGGGAGCCCGAGAGACTTGCTAGACAAGGCACAGACAGTGACAAAGGTGTAGGGCGTTGCCCGTGGGGCGTCGCCCTGCAAGCAAGTGACGCGCCTGCACCGGGCCGCCGCGGGCAGCGCGAGCCCAGGGGAGGGGGGAGCGGGGCGCCAAAGTGGACGCCTTGACTGTCAAAATTAACGTCGTAACTTTCAAAGTTAACGCCGTAGCTTTTAAAATAAATGCTGAACTTTCAAAGTCAACGCCCGCCGTAACTTTCAAGATTCGCGCTCTAACTTTCGAAATTGATGTACTGACTGCCAAAGTTCATGCCCTAACTTTCAAAGTTCAGGCAGTAGCTTTCGAAGTTCATGGCCTAACTTTCAAAATTCACGCCCTCACTTCGCTGGGCGAGCTTTCCAAAGTCATGCCCTATTTTTCAAAGCTCATGCCCTAACTTTCAAAAGCCATATCCCGGCGCTCAGAGTTCACGTCTTAACTTTCAGAATTCATGTCCTGAATTTCAGAACTCACGCCCCAGCCTTCAAAGCGCATGCTTTAGCGTTCAGAATTCATGCCCTAACTTTCAAAATTCGACCGCGCCCCAACTTTCAAAATTCATTATGAAGGCAGGCTATCTATGAAACCGCCGGCAAGCTTGTCCGCCGATCCCTCCCAAAATTGGCTAGCTGATGGAAGCTGTGTCGGGTCTTGTGACGAGAGTCGATCTTACTGTGACGAGGATCGTCTTTACTGTGACGAGGATCGTCTTTATTGTGACGAGCCTCGTTTTTACTGTGACGAAAATTCTCCTCACGACTATGTCGAAGTTGCTACTGTGGCGAGAGTTTTTTTGACTGCGACGAGTCTCGTTTTTACTGTGACGAGGCTCGTCGCAGTAAATACGAGACGCGCCACAGTAAAAACGAGGCTCGTCACAGTAAAAACGAGGGTCGTCACAGTAATGGTGAGGCGCGTCACGGTAGAAAGATTTCCCGTCAAAGTGAAAAGAATTCCCGCCACAGTGAAATGAATTCCCGCCACAGTGAAAAGAATTCTTGTCACAGTAAGAAAAATTCGTGCCACAGTAAAAAAACTTTCGCCACAATGAGAAAAATGCTTGCCACAGCAAAAAACGAGCTCTCGCCACAGCAAAAAAAAGCTCGGGCCACAGTAAAAGCGAAGCTCGTCACCGTGAAAAAAAAATCCTCGCCACAGGACCCGGCACAACTTCCACAACCCAGGTACAGCGTCCACAACCCAGGCGCAATTTCTGCGGCTAGGGGGTAATAAAGTTCAAGCTTTTCGCAGATGTTTGGCCTTGGGAGCGTTCATTTCTTAATTTCCAAAGCTAATGCCTTAGGTTTCTTTCAAAATTTATGTCTTAACTTTCGCAATTTATGCGCACCCATAGCAATGCGCTGCGCGTTTTTGCGGTGTTGTCGCCGCGTGAGTTTATTTTCGAAATGGAAAATCAAATCTCAAAGCCGAAACTCAAAAGCAAACCAAAACTCAAAAGCAAAATTAAAACTCAACATCAAAAACTAAAACCTAAACTCAAAATCAGTGTTCAAAGTTAAAAAATCAAAACGAATGCAAAACTTTCCAAGTAAAGAGATTTACACGAGTGTAAGCCCCTGCTCCAAGCAGCTTCACAGTGCTCTAATACGTGAGGCATAAACTCAATCGTTTTGATTTTTCACGACCAACAGGGTCCAACAAGGTAAGATTTTCAGTTCGTTGGGTATCTTCATAGGAGGCCGAAGGGAAATATCCATGCAGGTAGTCGAGCGAGCGTAATGCAGAGCGCGTACTACGATCACATAGTCATGCCATCCGATCCGTATACAAGAACTTTGGGAGCTGCCGCCGAGGGCTGGGCGGTGCGCGATGCCGACAGTGCCTCCAGTGCCGACGACGTGGAGACCTCTAAGCAGAACCAACCGAGTACGGCTTTTAAGGCACGACCGATGCCCGACGGCGGGCCACAAGCAGCCAGAGAGGGCCCGCCTCCTGACGGTGAAGCAGGGAGCGAGGGTTCTCCACGACGAGACGGATCTCCGATCGCATGGTCGGCCGCACTCGGCGAGGAAGGGGGCAAAAGCATAAACAATCCTGTTGTAGTTGAGCCGGGCAAAGTCCCGCAAGAACGAGAAAAGCCGACGTGCCTTGACTATTTGGCGAGGCGGTCAAAGGAACGAGCATGGCCGCAGTTGGGTCTCGGTCCCAAAAGCAGCTACGATGTTAAGCAAGACAGGGGTCTGCGGGAAAAGCGAAAGGGGTCGCCACCAAGGATTGGAAACTATGTGGGCGAGGAGGCCTTACCAGACAATCAGAGCAGTTTCGTGATCGGTTCGCCTTCGTAGTAATTTATAGTAGTACAAGTATAACCCTCTGAGTATGCTCTATTTAATTACGCTTCAACCTATTTTCTTACGCGTTTCCACGATTGCGATAATCCATATTTTATTAGACTCCTACTAGAAATAGATTCAAACGACCCCTCATCCTCAGGCAGCAGCTACCGAATACATCGAGCAGACAAGGGTCGACTCATCATAGACGCTGCGCCACAGGAGGAGCCGCCCGCGGGGGTTGAGGACGCTTCCGAGTACTTACCACAGGAAATTAATTTCAGGTTCCCTTCTTCTACTTCTAGCATGATGCGAAATTTCTTTGTGGAGTCTCGATTCTTCCAGATGATAGGAATTCGTATGCACCTTTGCAGGAGAAAAAGTATAGAGACTATCACAATGGCAGTAACTTATTTGAAATAAAGCATTTTCCCACAGGTCTGACAACCAAGGAGAGGTGAATGTGGTCGCTGATGAATTTGGTGGGGGGTTTATCAGTTACATGTACCTTGCCAAGGAGCGGTCACGCCCTGGCAGCGCGCGAATAGACGCTCGATTCGGTACCATGGAAAACGATCCAAGTGCCCGAGGCTTGCAGACCCGCACGCAGAAGCGAGCGGATTTACTGAAAATTCAGCAACGGATTCTGAACCAAGAAATGTAGCCCGCACGCTTTCCTGTTGTAGTCTTGGCAATTGTACATTGCGGTCAAATGATGTGTATACGCGGGAAGGTGAGCTTCCTTGTTGGCTTGTATAAATGGTCGTATTGAGAAGATGCTGAGCTGGCAGGCTTCGCGCGTGTCCCCAGGCCCTTGTAGGAGTCTGAAGAGCACAATATCAACGCAGGCACTCGGCTTTTTCAGAGTGCTCTGCTTGGTTCGTTCTAGGCACGTCCTTCCCTGAAATGCAGTTGCAGAGAAAGATCCTACTTCGAATCAAGATCGCTCACGGTCGGGGTGCAAATTTAGCCCATGTTTTAGGACATGGACTTCGCTCTATTCTTGATCGAGAGTTCCTATGGCCTTTTTTCGAAAAGAAATCAAATGTTTGGAATTCAAATCTGAAGAAAAGTGATCTGGAGCCAAGACGATGCTCACAAAGTCATGCAGCGCTGCTGCCATCATGGACATGATCGTGAAGTAGGGTATTTTACTGGCAATCTTCGTGTGAACACTTTGTTCGGTGTGGTATTCTTTTCTTCCTTGTCACAAGAATCGTAATCTTTTACTATTGTATCACAACTCGTCTTCAAACAATTGAGATTTAGAATATGACATTTTGTAAATATCCATTCTGCCGCTTTTGAATGGGTGATTTCTAGGGACAGGATTGCATTCTCCTGTTTCTGTTCGTGACGATACATCGCAAAATTTCATTGTGTCACAGAAGGTTTGGGCTCTTTTCATTATCTATGATGTTTCACAAGTAGGTGCTTCACGCAGCTAACAACAAAGAAATATAGGTTCAGTTTTTTTTTGCAAAGCTGAACAGAGTGAGAAAAATATAACGATTATCGCGTTCTCTTGTAGCGTTATGCGGCCCCGGTAGTAGTGAAACGACGCATACCTTCAAGGCCTTCAACGCGGAACCTGCTCGTCTTGCTCGGGTGTTCGTCTAAGTCCGTCGGCGATCTTCACGTCATCTCCCAAAATATAACACGTAGCACTAAAGCTTACGCTTTCTCGACCAAATAGAGCAAAATGGGCAAAAAGAAGGAGGCAGCTGGCGGCGAAGAGGAACGGCTGCGCATCGCAATTGTATCCGCGGATCGTTGCAAGCCCAAAAAATGCAAGCAAGAGTGCAAGAAATTTTGTCCGGTTGTGAGAACTGGAAAAATGTGTGTCGAAGCCGCAAAAGACTCCAAGACCGCATGGATATCCGAGTCGCTGTGTATAGGGTGCGGTATTTGCGTGAAGAAGTGCCCCTTCGAAGCGATCAACATCATCAACTTGCCGAAAGACCTTGGTACCCCTAATACGGTTGATACCCTCTGTAGTTGTAGATCTACGAATCTTGAATAATTGCCACCTGTTCAAAGAGGGTGATGCGCATCTACTTACATTTTGGGGCCTTTATTTTTCTGAAACAGATTCATCGCACGAAGAACATGATTAGCTTACTAAATATCGTAACTTACAACAAATCTGTCGTCCTCAAAAGGCAAAGAAACGACGCACCGATACGGCCCAAACACCTTTAAGCTGCATAGACTACCAATGCCAAGGCCAGGCCAAGTATTAGGACTCGTAGGAACAAACGGCATAGGAAAATCAACGGCATTAAAAGTTCTTTCAACGAAGCTGAAGCCCAACCTTGGAAGGTATTTTTAGATGCTCTTATACTATTTAGGCCAAGAACAAAGTCGTTGTTGAAACTCATTCAATCTATTCTTTCGAATTTTTTTCTGTGATTATATATACTGGAATGGACAAAGAATGTTTCAGACAGTGACACGAGGAAATATGAAGAACTATATGAAGTAAAAATTTTCGGCACTAAATCCTGTAAGTACTATAATTTGTATATCATCTTTTTCCCGATTTTTCAGGTTTGATAGCCCACCAGACTGGACAGAGATTTTGGCGTATTTTCGGGGGTCTGAGCTGCAGAAGTTCTTTTCACAAATGCTCGAGGATAAGCTGAAGTCGACGACAAAACCGCAATACGTGGATCAACTGAAAACAAAGGTAATTATACTTACGAAATGGCCTTAGCCTTACTCTCACGCTTCTATTCATTGCTTATTTTTAGAGGACTTGGACTTGGTCGGGGACGGAATCACTAAAATGTGGGTATTGATGAAATGGTCATTTTATCGTCATTTCTTATCAAGCATACTTTTTTCCTAATGAATGAATATCAGGTTGCGGGTCGCGTCGGTCAGATTATAGAGGCAAAGGACGAGAAAAAAGTTGCCGATAGATTGTCAAAAGAGCTAGAAATCGACCACCTCTTGGAGCGTGAGGTCAAGGATCTTTCCGGAGGAGAGTTGCAGAGATTTGCAGTCCTTGTCGCGGCAATCCAGGACGCGAATGTGTATCAATTCGATGAGCCCAGTTCCTATTTAGACGTGAAGCAGCGATTAGCGGCGTCGCGTGTTATTCGTCAGCTAGTAAGGGACGACAACTACGTTGTGGTGGTGGAGCACGACTTGGCAGTCCTCGATTATTTGAGCGACTACGTTTGCTGTCTCTGGGGTGCGGCCGGTGCCTACGGCGTGGTGTCGATGCCTAGTTCGGTACGAGAGGGTATCAACATTTTCCTCGACGGTTTCTTGCCGTCAGAGAATCTGCGCTTTCGCGAGGTCTCACTCACCTTCAAAGTGAGCGCGGACGAAACAGCACAGGTGAAAGAGCGCATGCATAACATTCCTTATCCGGATCTGAAGAAAAAGATGGGAGACGGCCAGCGGGCATTCGAGCTCACCGTCGAAGCGGGAAACTTCTGCGACAGCGAAATCATTGTCATGCTCGGGCAAAACGGAACGGGAAAGACCACTTTCATCCGAATGCTGGCGGGTCTGATAAAATCGGACGAAATTGAGGGTGAGGAGCAGGAGCAGCTACCAAAAATGAACGTCAGTTACAAGCCGCAGACAATCACGGCCAAGTTTCAAGGTAATAGATAGATGCACAAGCAAACATAGAATGATAGACTCATTCTGGCACCTGCAACTCAGGAGCAAATGATGCAAATGCCCTTTCTTACTACAGAAGAAGAGATCTATTTTTTTTGAACTTATCACTCCTTCAACACTTGTCGGCGCAATCGCAAGGAAGAGCATCCTAGTACACTCACGCTTTTTCAGGTACCGTGGAGCAGTTGCTAATGGGGAAAGTTAGAGAAAGCATGCTTCATCCGCAGTTTCAGTCAGACGTGGTGAAGCCCATGCTCATCGAACAAATCAAGGATCAGGAAGTCCAGAATCTGAGTGGTAAAGATTTATTACATGTCGTTGTAAAACCGATTCCGAAACGAACTAGAACTAGATTAGAAAGCTATGTGGATTCAAAGTGATGAGTTTTCGCTGCTCGAATTCGAAATTATATCTACTCGTCGTATTGAATTACTTTATATGATGAGAAGTGTATTTCATCTCTATTTCGTTTGTACCAGGTGGTGAGTTGCAGCGCGTAGCTATCGTGCTGTCTCTCGGAAAGCCGGCAGACATGTATTTGATCGATGAGCCGTCTGCCTACCTAGACGTCGAACAGCGTATCGTTGCCGCGCGAGTGATCAAGCGATTTATCTTGCACGCGAAGAAGACCGCCTTTATCGTGGAGCACGATTTCATCATGGCGACCTACATGGCAGACCGAGTGATTGTGTATCACGGTGAGCCCGGTGTCAAATGTACGGCAACCAAACCGCAATCACTGGTTGAGGGAATGAACCAATTTTTGCAGCAACTGGACATCACCTTCCGACGAGACCCCACCAACTATCGACCCCGAATCAACAAGATGCTCTCTGTCAAAGATCGCGAACAGAAGGAGGTGGGCAGGTACTTCGTGCTCGAGGACTAAATACACCTGACGAGCAGGCTGCTTGTTGGAGTCGTGGTGGGCGAGTTTGTCGTTCTCAATGTTGATCGTCGCAGTTTTATAGACCACGTCTCAACGCGACGTGGGCCTGAGGCAGATCTACGACCTTGTCTTCTATCGCCGAACTGTTGCGACAACTCTCACTTCCCAACGCTGAAAATACTGTCTTTTCGAACTGCTACAACATCATGGGCACTGACCTAAGAAACATGAAAAGTAGGAAATTAGAGAAATGTCAAATGACCTTGGCTTCTTGAGTTTTCGGGGCAGTCACAGTCTTCTTTGTCATTGGTGCTGGATATCCACTTGCTAATAGAATATCGCAAAACCACTGTATCACTTTTCGCGGAACTGTTGCAACGACTATTGATTGACTTAGTATGCTTCCTGCAGGTGAAAACGCAGACAAATGCACAGATCTTTAGACGACCGAGAGCACCACTCAGAGTCGGATGCCTGAGTGTGCGAAGGCCACACAGTATTTCGTATGCACAGTTTGTTGTGCTCCTATTCGCACCTTCTCGAAGCTTCTAAGTAATACATAGCAGGAATTTTCGCTGAGGAGTGAGATCCGGATCGGTTTGGCAAGTGCGGGAACGCACGCCACAGGATAAGAGACAGTCTCGCATTGAGTTATAACTGCATCATTTAGAATGCTTTCAGTCCGAGATTGCTCACGTAAAACAGAGCAACAAACTAGTGAGAACAGTGAATTCCATCATTTGAGTATAGATGGAAGAACTGAGCGCACTGAGTTGAACGCGATGTTGCTGGAAAATAGAATGTTGGTTGGCGACCTAGTTGATAATGCACATGGCTGCTCTTTAGTTGATTTTTCTAAAGTGACTCCTTCTGACTTCCTCCCGTCTAGGGTTGAGGCGTTGTGAGATGATCCGATGTCCGCTTCTCTTTTGAGGCATGCGCCTTCGTTGTGCCATCCAGCTGGATGATGGTAGGTTAGTACGAAATTCAGGGCTTCCCAGTATTCCTTCGGTTCGTCTCTTATGTGAGGGGAGCCACCAATTCGATGCAGATCTCTCTTTCGGAGTTCGTTCTCTCATATTGTTTTACTCTTTTCTCTCTCGTTGGTTCACAATTTTCTACTTGTTTGTGGAATCTTGTCACATCGATTCATCCTGCGGGTAGGTGCTATAGGCCGATTAGGGATGCGCAGGATATGGCGACTTTTCTCCTTGGTTTTGACAACCACTGCAACTGCATCGACGACGAGAAAAGAAACTGTATCCATTTAGTTGATTACCGAAAAGGAAGATCCAAAGAGAAGGCAGTCTTGTTCTCATCTTTCGAATTATTATGTAGAGTCCGAACTTAGTTCGAGTTCGAGACCATCTCAAGATCACTACTAGTTTCAAAAGCGAGAAGCATCTACAAAGCGCCCCAAACGTAAGCCACAGACTGTTGCAATCATATCATCTTCGGGACAGCAGTTTTGGTTCAATTTATGGACATTTTCCCCACATTATTGAAGTTGTTCTTTGTCCTTTGTAGCTTTTTCCTGTATTCCGATAAGGCTCGGTGTATTATTTTAGGGCGCCCTTGTGTAGCGAGTGTGCGTGTGTACCCTGCTCTGTGTAGTAAAGTGAAGTTCTTCATCTTCAATTGTCAATGACCAATTATATGGTATCAGTGCGTTTATGGATGATGACAGTTCCCGCACACGTCGAAGACTCTTCTACAAGTGATTCGCGTTCATCTTGTTGTCCTTTTCGATTACGTAACGTGAGCCCCTGTGTAAATTCCTGCTGTGGAAAAAGTGATCAACTGCCCCAAAAAGAAATGAGTGGTCTTCTCCCCGGATCTGCGGGCCTGTTTGAACGGTTGGCTGCTGGGCTGCGTCCATTTAACGCTGTCCGGGACTACATGCCGAGCGGCAGATTGTGGGAGCCGCATGGAAGCGTGGTGATGGTAGTGCGGCGCGCAGGCTGAAAACCGTGTCTAGTGGAAGCACAGGAGATTGTGCGGCTGACGCATTCTATTTCATCTGCTGAAGCTAAGCAAGACACTAACTCACGACGCTGGCTGCGTCCGGTCTTCATTCTCGGCAGTGGTGAGTCAATGGAGAATGTGGACGACTGCTTCCGGAAAGTGATCATTCCAGCCACTCCTCGACAAGACGGTGCTGGTGCTTCTGGGACTGCATCTAATACTGAGGGACGACACGAACCTACGATTCTGCTGGACGAGCAACGGGAGTGGTACGCCGAACTCCACGGCCCGGGACCGTCATCGAGCGCATGGAACCTGTTGTGGCCGACGACGTTGGCGAACTTCGTGGGGAGCGGAGCCAATGCAAATCGCGTGCCGTTGCACAACGGCGTCGAATCACGCCAAGGCGGCGAGCACAATTATCTCGGAGGTGTCTTCGTCTTAGACGGCAATGGGCGGGAAGTTTGGAGACACAAGGAGACTCGCTTTGGAGATATAGCCGACACTGACCGCTTAGAAGAAGCCATGCGGGAAGCACTGCAGGCATAGAGATTGACCGACCGAAGCAGCTCTCCGTTAGCGTCACGGCAAACAGGAACGGGCAAATGTCAGCTTCTTTGTGTGTCGAAAATTAATGAGTTCTCGTTCTACAGTTTTTAAGGTCATCTTGTTCTTCTGGAAGACCCTCTCCATTATTGACTTTTTCCGTATCTGGGCAGGACTTGAGAGGTTACAACATGGGGCAGCTGATGAATGCATCGACATTGCTAACAAGCTGGTGGAAGTTTTGGATCAACATCACATATCGCTATTTAGCAATAAAATATCTATGTGACCCTCAGTATGACAAATGCTGAGGTGATTTCAAGATCATAAACAAAAATATTGGAGACGTTCTTGTTTGACGGAATAATAGTGTGATCCGATTATGTCCGCGGACTTGATGTAAAAGCTCGACGCAATATCCAGCTTCCCCGAACCACAATTCCAACAGCTGCCGAACGCGCTGGCGATGAACAATAGGATAACTCAGTGTTGTCATCAGTTTTCAAGTACAGTCGTGTTGCTGTTTTCAGCATTCGCATAAGAGCAATCACTGAGAAAAGAAGTTCGAGGCGGACTGGAACTAGTGTGCCCCTTACGAGAGGGCTCAGGCTGTGGCTGCATGACTAGAAACAGTCTTTCTTATAAGATTTGAATGTTTTTGAGGTCAGTCAGTAGGCACGGTAAAAGTTCCAGGTTATAGTATCTGTTCAGTCATCGTTGACGTACAAATTCGGTAGCGTTTTTATACACGTGGAACGCTGGAGCAAAATTGTAACTGCTCATGTTCAGAACAAGTGTTTGTTGGATTTTTGATTGGTTTTTGTGGCAGTGGTGGTTTTCTAACTGTTGTGTATGTCCCGTCGACAGTTTCGGAATACTGATCGGGGCAGCATTCCACTCCAATTGTTGTGTATGTGTGTAGTGAAAACACACGCGAAACAAATGAACGAAATTGTGAAAATTCTTTGATGATTTTGTCCGCGTGACTTGTCGCGGACACCTGTATCACCGACTACTGCAACATCTGCATAAGGTAATTCCTTCTTTATGTTCTTGATGATCTCGCTCTCAATTTTGCTTGTGAAGCCGTCACAACTCATGGCTTCGATGAGTCGTTTTACTGGAGGAACTTCAAACCTGGCGCGCTACTAACAAGTAAGAGATTTCTACGTCGCAGACTTTTGACGCCTGGTTCCCCTGAAGATACGATGACGGCACATCTACCACTGCACATGTGAATTTGCGCGCAGCGGCAATGCTCTCGACGATAGAACGAGGGGGTTCGGTGACATGAGAGCGAGTATTGGTGGAACGACAGACACGCAGCGCATTCGATCGCAAGCTGCAGCAGGTATGAATTAACCAGCCCTGCACCGCGACTAGGCTCACTCGCGGAGGCACCGTTTCAGCGCCCCTATTGTTGTACGTGATACAGCAAACTTATGATGCGGGAGATGTCTCTCGCGAAATCGGTCAACGCAGAGTTCCACTGAATCCTCTACCTCCGTTCCTCCTCGCGTGGTGCTCCAGTGACAGCTTTAGGACACGGAACGAAGAGTGTGGACGGCCATGTGTCCCCTTTCCGTGTACGCTTGGCGTTTGTAGGTAGGCGAATCTTTCGGAGCGCGACGGGTCAAAGCAGTGTGCGCAAGACTTCACGTCCGCAGCAACAGTGCCAACTCTTAGCCTAGGTTGAGCTCTACAACAGGGAGTGTCGCATTGCATCGACAATCATAGTAAGGCTCGAAGCAGAAGTACGCGACTGTACCTTGTACGACGAGGAATCCAAGCTTCGCAGAGTGACAGGAGAAGATCCGAGTTGGTACAACTTTAGCTGAGGAAGCGAATAAGTATTCAGTGGATTCCTTATCGTCGTATTGTTGTAGCACGACCAACACGACTATCAAGAGGTTTTTAGCAGCACTGTTCGGAGGTTACCAACAGGGACCCAACATGGAGCGGCAAGAAACGAGAGAAAAAGCTGCACGAGCGCTCTATTTCCTTGTGAGGTATGTGAGGGTACGACTCAACCGATACAAGCTCACGGTGAAGGACTACATCAAGTACTACTAGTTACGATTGCCGGTTTTCTATTTCTTATTTTTCTGTGTTGAATAATCGCAGGATAATCCTTCTTCTAGAATGAGTCAGTAGAGATCGTCGCCGCGGTCGTTCAAGTGATAATACCAAATCAAAATCATGAATTTTGGATGTTGATGCGATTTCTATCCATACACAGGTGGCATCGGGTCACTCAAGTGCTTGCGAAAGTAGAGGAGGCGTTGCGGCATGCTTACCGGTATCAATGGGTCGCGACGTGCTTTGCTCGTTTTTTCGCCCTTAGGAGAAGACTCAAAAGCCCAGCAGCAGTGTATCAAGTCCTGACTTGTTCAATGGGTTTTTCTCTTTTTCTAGGGATTGGCTTAGGTCCAGCGACGCTAAAAGCACGAAGTAAAACAACAGGCTAGTTTTCCCTCATCTCTTAGATGTGTCCCTACATGCAAAATAATTAATGTTGGAGAAGATTGCGATTGTTTGAATTTTTGTGTGACATGACGAACAAAACACTGAAATCTGTTGGTACTAGCAATGGTATCAAACAACCACCTTCGCAGGTCCTCTGTAGACGTTGGGTATCAGATACTGATGCTTATCCAGGACCTAGTGCGAGACGGACTGACGCTACAACAGTTTTTAGAGAAAAGTGGTGATACGTCTTCTTCGCCGAAAAGCAGTGACACTTCCGTGGATCTTCATGGTACCTGAAAGAGTTCCTGTTTTGATTAGATGAAATAATTTGTTACATCCTAGTCGACATCTGTGGTCGGTGTTGGCGATGTTTCTAACCTGACCAAGGTATCACACGCGGTGGCACGTTTCAAGAGGGCGCTGCAGTAGTATCATTGGTTGCTGCGACACTCAGAGTGTGGCTACTCGAACGCGCGTTTACAAAAGGTATCAACTAGATTTCTCTTTTCTGCTCATCGTAGGATGTAACCATCGAGGAATTTATTTGTTTCGCGGTTCCTTCCGATGTTGGTCTATTTTTATACGAACAATTCGGATTCTCTCAGGAGCGGGCTTAAGGCTGGTGCCAGGGGCTTGCAGCGCTGTGCAAGTGGCCACAGACTTGACATTAGCAGCCACGAGCGTCTACGATACCTACGTGTCTAGGAGACGGAACATCCCTGACAGCCTGCTTCTCCTAGGCTTCCTTGGTAGTTTCTCTGCTTGCATGCGTTCCGGCATCGCATATGTCGAGCAAGGTCGGTGACGCATGCGACGCCCACAACTATTTTCCCTTTCCCACATAACAATAATTAGAGATGATGAAGACCACGACGCCAATTTCACTGTTTTCCAACTCCTAGCAGGTCGATTATTTTTCATACCTCTGCCGTGGTAGTCATACGTGTCACAAATCTCATTCAGAGGTTGCAGAGTGCTGGCTCTTGTGATCTAGGAGGTTTGTGCTCCATCGTGATTAATTATGCATAATGAATTACTATTATTTGCTGCGCGTTTTTTAAAGCATCCATCCCACGTCCACGTCCCCTCCATTCCATCACATTCTTTGCGAGACGCATTGGAATTGAAATGTTATTGAACAACATAAGGTGACACTATGTTGTGGGAATTTGTCTTGGTACTTCTAGTAAAGACAACATCTTGTTGCGGTTCTTCATCCAGTCGGGCCATCGTCTCAACACTCGTTGAAGAATAGAGGGTATGCTACCAATACCACTCAGTTCTCTAATGCAAGCATGTTCATGATTACAACCTTCACAACAAAGATCTCGCTTCCTTGATCCGTGGCTGACTGACTTTGGAATCAGGATATTTTTACTGCGGAGTTGTTGACGGCGATCCTGACTGTCGAAATTTTGTCTGAAGTTCGTTTTCCCGTCGGTTTCAAAAAAGTATAGTTCATGCATGTGCAGCATGTTATCAAATGATTCATCCGTTCTTCAGGCGTAGCGACCATGATGTATGAAGATGTTGCACTCGTCAACGCACCATCCATAGCGCTAGCCGGTTTCGTATTGTTTTGAGTATTTTCAACAAATGATCAAGAACTCTTTTGTTTGTTTCTTGTTGGCATGCGGTCTAGGATTACTCTGCCATGATTAACAAGATGCCATGACACCAAGTTCGTTGACGTTTGATATGATCCCACGACCTTGTGGTTCTTTAGAAACAGTACGTAGAAAATCATGGCCGACACAGTAGGGAACACGTCCACCGCCGCTGTCCCGCAAGGGCACCACGCAGAGGAGATTCAGAGGGACTTTCCAAGCCTCGCTGCTGTGTGCAAGGACGTAAATGCAGCAATTGCAGCAGCTTCGCAGTACTTCGTTTTTCGCGTGTATTTTTTCGAAGCAGTACTTGGTGAGCGCCGAAACGAAATCAGTCGCCGGAAATTGGATAGCATGAAATACGAACTCTCAAATATTTTCAGTCGGTTTTACGTGACCGCGCGCAACGGGAAGATCTGCTTTCACGACGTGGTTCAGAAAATGCTCGCCGAACTGCGAGAGAAGGAGTTACACGTACCCGAAGAGTTGCGCTGCTTCGAACCCAAGAATACAAGAATTACCTCAAGTGGTAAAGAAGTGAACGCACTTCCGGACGGCATGTCGTCCCAGCACCAAAATGGTGGTCATGTTACAGCAGAAGGTCAAGCTACCCGAAAAGCGACAGCCTCAACCACAAGCGATCTAACAGCTTCCACATTGGAGCCGAATAAAGAGCTCCCCGCATGGCTGGTTGAAATGCGCGGGTCAGGCGCAACTGCGTCCTCTTCGTCTTCGTCTGGTAGAGGCTCAGTAAACGGGCGAGGCGTTGGGAACTCTCGCCTGGTTGCGCAGCGTGATCGTGCCCGCACGCTGGTTCGTCTGGCAGAGATTGCGAAGAACGAAAAGGGCCTGTATCGGAGAGGTATACCAGCGAACGAAACACTAGATGCTTGTGGACAAGATGCTTCGGATAAGAACGCTGGAGCACCAGCTGCAAAGTCAACCGAGCCTAATGAGGTGGGAGGAGCAACTTCGGCTAGCAGTTGTATCAGAGGTTCGATAGGAAGTGGAAAAAGTGCCATGTCTTCTAGGAGAAATGGCGAACGCGTTCGTGTTGAAAATATTATGCAATTAGTGCGGTGTTTTCGTCCCGAAATTTCCGTGTCGAAGAGCCACCGTGGACGGGGCAAAAAGGGTAAAAAGAGGAGGCTATCCTCAAAAGCATCGTCGAGGACATCAAGCAGTGCTGGAGGACTTTCGAATGTATCGTCAGTGCTACAAAATGGTGGTGTTCATGCTCTAAGCGGGGGCGGAGCAAGCTCGTGCTCGAGCGGGTCCTCCAGTTCGCAAGATATAGGTGAAAAAACGTCTATTGCGACATTGTTATCACTAGCGGGATGGAGGGTCCGCCGAGCCGGAGAGATAGCCAGAGTTGGTGCTAATTCAGCGCCGAAGCGCAGTCGGCGAGAGGACGCGGAGGAGCGCCTCGCAGAGCAGAAGATTTCCAGCTCTGCCGTTGGCATCAAGGATGGCTCTGCAAGAATATCTGCTGGAGGCAGCGAACCAGAAGCGCCTGCCGTTCGAGTTCGCCTGCTTTCTGAAGAGGAGAGCCACTCGCCGTCGAGGAAGGCGCGAAAGCACTCGCCGAGGTTAAGTGCTGCCGCACATAATTATGTTGTACCCGATGGAGCTAGTACAGGATCGCTTAAACGGGCACAACTTTCAGAAGACAGCAAGACATCGCCACCTGTGCGCCTGCTGTCTGACGACATAGTCACGAAGTCTCCAAAGCGAAAGCTTTCGTCTGGCCCAGGCTCGCCAGGGCATCAGAAGTTGCGAAGAAGCAATGCAACAGCTTCACCGCCAAAACCTTCTGCAGAGGACACTTGTAGGACGCGAATTACTGCCCTCGGCGAGATGTGTCCGCGGATGGAGGCCACGAAGCGAGGCAAGGGGGGCAAGCAGCTTGTTACTTTTCAGCTCGTCGATTGCGCAGACGTTCTCGGACTAGTCGGGATGAAACTTTCAGTCGCCGAAGAACAGTACAAGGAACTGGTGCAACGTGCGCATGCGCGGTTGGCTGACGTGAAAATGGTATTAATTAGATCATACTTCTTGGCTTTTCCGTGCTTTTACCGTTACATACATTCTTTCACAACTCTCCACCAAGAGATGGCTTGAAATGTACTTGAGGTTGCCATAAGCAAGAAGAAATAATCTGATTTTTTGTTCTGATGTTTTTATTCACTGTGATTTGCTATGCACATCAGCAATCCGATGCGGGGAGCGTCGCAGCATCGGACGAGCCTTTAAGTGGTGAGGACTTGGTCCTCGTAACAGCGTTTTCTTATCTGGTTGCTAGCGGAAGTCTCTATTGGGGTTTTGGGCCGCGAGTTTATGAATACGTTCGCGACGAGCTGAGTGGAGCAGTGGAGGCTTACGCGTCCCCGTTTAACCACACGCTGCCGCGTTTTTGCAGTCCCTTCTCTCTTGACCGGTTTTTCGGCTCTCTCGGCAGTTTTTATGATGTTGACTGGCAGAGTGTGCTGCCCACACTGGTGCAACTGGAGGGTGGAGATGTCGAGACAAAAGAGTCTGCGAAAAGACGACGGCTTGAGGACGGGAGCGCAAATGAAGTGCAAGAAGGAGGGAGACGGGCCTCGGATCATTCTCAAATGGAGAATTTAGTCACGATCATAGCGAATCCACCCTACATCGAAGCCGAAATCCAGTTCTGCGCTGACTTCGTAAATAAGATTGGCAGCATTTTTGAGACCCTAAACAACAGCACCGAGGAAAGTCGAAGGCCGAAAAAAGATCTCCTTATTCTTAGTATATGCCCAGACTGGCGTCCAGCCCCTTGCATCGTAAGCCTGCAGGAGGCAGCCAGCAAGGTCTATGAACGGGTCTTGCCTCCGAAACAGCACGGGTATTATAACTACCAGTCGTGTGAATTCGTCAAGGCCACATTTCCAAGTCTTGCTTTTGGCTTTCAATGGTTGAAAAAAGGAAATCGAGAACAAGAGGAGCAAATCTCGAACGAAAGGAATGCTCATCTTGATAAAAAAGGTTCTCTGGAGAAGGTTTTGGGTGTACTTTTCAAGCATATGGGAGAGGACCCACGGAAACATCGATAAAGTTTTAGCTCACCATTTCTTTTTTCTGCGCAGAAGTAAATGTCACTCTCTAGCTATCAAGCAATCTCGACAGGAGACCAGAATGGGCACCCTAGAAATCTAAGCATCCGGAGTTGCTCAGTACCTAGTAATTTTTATGGTCCGTTGACAAGTCAGGACCGCAAAGCTTCGATCGCTGAAAATGCGAGAGTGAATAGATGAGAAAGAGGGGACATTGAAGTCCAGGGATCCTAAAATGAGTGTGCAATTATGAAAGTGACAGTGTTCGTTTCGTATTCAAAATAACTGAAGTTTGTACAAGAAAGTTTTTCGCGAAAAGCACACAGAGACTTGGCTCAGTTTTTTGTGATTGAGTTCTTACTATAAATTTTGATATCTACAGCATCACTCGATGATGACTTGACTTACTGCGACCGCATCATTATCGACCGAAGTGCTCTTTTGTTAATTGTTACCGTGCGCGAGTGAGAAACGCCAAACAGTGCAAAATTGCTGATTGACTCTGCCTAGGCCCGCTACGCTCTTGAGAATCCGAATCTACCTTTTCGATTTATGGCGGAGGACCAGAGCTGTTCAACAAAAGAAGAAACGCACTCGAAGATTGCCATCGTTGCGCTATGAACCTTTGCTTCGCATTTCGACTCGAGCCTTACAAAGTTAATGGTCGACTGTACCGAACATCATGAATATGAATCTTTTTCCTTTTTGAATGTCCCGCCACAGGCAGCTTCGATCGCAAGTGTTGACCCCTTCTTGAAAGAAGCGCATGTTCTGCATCTAAATGCCATCGCCCACTCTCCCCAAGTCAAGGCTTTTCTCCGTTATGGTAGAACATGCCGTTTACCTCTGCCGTGTCGTATGATAAAACAAAAAATCTGCAGGACCAAGTCAAAATGCTTATGCAGTATCCATCCTTCTGAAGATCTTGCCTGCCCTATCTAGAAATCTTTTTGATCTACCGCCGACCGAGAGTTGTTCTGTAAGATATACCGACTATGGCGCATGCAAACTAGTGCATGGTTTAGTTCTTACTCGAATCCAAATTTTTTATGTGTGTCATCTTTGTATTTAGTCGGTTAGCGCGTGATCACAAGTCGCGATTGTGCCACTACCCGCACGGGTTTCCCTCGATCTTTTGAAAACGATGTAGATGCAATCAGCCCGTGGTGATGCAAGCCCCGGAGCCATTGCTCTTCTAGAACTGCTGTCGTGCCTCTTTCGGCAGGGTCTTCGTGGACTCCATCGTGTGTGAGTCGTGTTAATTATCATAATTATGTCTTTCTTTAATGCATGCATCGTGTCGAGTTTTTCTCAATCATTCCGCGGCCCGCTGGGAGATTGCCGAGTGTTATGTCAAGCGCTAATGCGTTTGATCCCTCGTGCGAGAATCGAACGTGAAGCCTTCAAAGTTCTTTATAGCCCGACCGAAGCGGCCGCGTTCCTTTTCTTCACGAAGTAATTTTCTGTAGTTTTTTGCTAGCCTTACCCTTAGCATTCTGGCTGCAATCCCTGTCCAATGCATGGCCGAGCCTCCGCATGTGATCCTCTCGAAGCTCCTTGCAATCAATATTGAACTTCGTTTGATCTTCTTCATGCTCTACTGCCTTGTTGCTGATCGCGACTCCACCAGCTGCGCGATGTTAGATCACACTCTTATATTATAAGAATTTTAGAAGATTGATAGAATACCCTTAAAGATCTGAATTTTCGTGACTGCGCTATCCGCATGTTCCTAACTCCACATGAAACTCTTTCTCGGCCTTCATTTGCTGCTGCGATTTTTCTGACTTCTCTGTGAAATGTCAAGATTGCGGGCTGTGTAGACGCAAGTATATTTTTACTCTTCTGGACGCATGATTGTTGATGTGATAAAGATGATTTTTCATGGAATTGCATTCTCCATCATGCATCATGTGATACATTCTTGATTCGCGATCTCCTACCAACGAACTGCAGTTTGTACTATGATTTCGAAGTAGAATTGTTCGAGATTTCGATGATTGCTTCGATCTTTTCAAGTGATGACATTGATGTTTGAGAATAGAGGTCGACTGACACATCGATCGACAGGTTGTTAGATATCTTCATGTACATGGTGATCACGACGTCACGGCGCGTTTTCTTGACTCGTCCCGCTCCGAATTTTTGCCCTGCTGACAGACGACTCAGCTTGACTTCCGAAGTGCAGCATTCTCCGGCTGCCAGCGACCATTGCGGCAACTTGACTCATCTTGTGACTCATCACCATCTCAAGCGAAGACTCGGAGTCTTATCGAACTGGACGTCGCAGGAGCTTCCGGAGACTAGTTGTCAATGTTCTCTCTGTTGTAAAATATAGAAGCAGCTACAACTACTCGATTCAACGAAACTGCGGCGACACTTATTTCTTGTCTGAACTTCAGAAGCCCCAAGCCCCTGCTCGTCTTCCCGATAATACCGACTTCTGTTGGCATTTTCAAGGCCAAAGTACACCAAAAAGAGCTCTGTCGTGTCAGACACCTCTACCGGAAATAGATTAGAGCCACTTGGTGCCACTTTCAGTAGTGCTGCCTCTCTTCCTTGTCGAGGGCTCTTCAACTGTTCACGACTGCCTCTTTCGTTCTATTCATCGATGATCATGGAGCAGTGGTCCAGTGCTCCCGGTGGCGGGGAGAAAGGGGTGTCTGCTTCTGAGATCGCGCACGCGCTGAAGATTCTGCAAGCGGCGGGACTCGGAGCAGCTCCAAACGGCCCTGGTGGGAAAGGGAATCAGGCCCCGACAGCACCACCGCAACATTCTTACGGTGGGCCGCATCCTGACCATGGTGGATCATCCGCTGGTAAGCATAAGGGAGGAAGTCACAAAAATGCATCAGCAGGTAAGAATAAAGGGGGCCCTGCTCAATACCTAGACAAGGGAATGCCCGCGAAACACTTCGACAAGGGTGGCAAGCCCCAGTCCCCGGCGTGGGATGTGCAAGGAAAGGGAAAAGGTGCGCCTGTCGGAGGAAACGGCGCTCTGCCTCCACCTTCGTTTCAACTCACTTACTCAGCCCCTGCAGGTAGCATGAATAACAAGGGAATGCAGGAGCAACAGCGAAGCGGCAAAGGCAACACCGTTAATCAACGCGAAGATTTTGCGGCAGGAAAGCGCGGTCCGTCGGATAATAACAAGGGCACACATGATAGTAGCGGAGCAGGACCGGGGAAAAATAAAGGAGGTGGAAAAAGGAGTGGTAGTAAAGACTTCGGCAGTGGTAAACATCATAATTCTTCGACGACGTACCACGCGAGCACGGCACCGTCCGCAGGAAAGAGCTTTGACCGAGGAGGACCCTATCATGACGGCTTTCATGGCGAAAATAAGCAGAGTGGCGGAAGTAAGCAAGGCGGAGGAAAACAAGGTGCGAAGCGACATCACCCACAACACAGTCCAGTTCTCGGACCACAGAGCAGCTGGGTCGCTACAGCATCGTCTGGGCCGAACACTAAAGGCCAAGTAAAATCATCACCCATTTCAAGCATGGCGGCGAACCCGACTGGAAAAATGAGCGGTTCTGTGGCTGGCGGTCCCGCATCCAAAGGCGCGACGTGGAATGGCAAAGGCGGCCACGGGAATCAGCAAGGAAAGAAAGCAACAATTCCCTCGTTGCAAGCGACAAAGACGAGTTTTGAGCGTGGAGAGGGTGATCTCACGCGCCTTCAGAGCATGCATGCTTTGTACCACCAGCAGGCGGAATACAGGTAGCTAAGAATTTATTTTTCGACTCCACTATGCAAGTAAGGTCGACTGTGTGCCTGTGATGGCGTTTTCCAGAGATCCCTTATTACATTCAACCAAAAACGTGCCTTTTGACAGTTTCCGACGATTATATTCGAGGTTTCTACTTAGAGATAGAATTCAAGAAGCAATTTTTTACGTGTACTGTTCATGCCACAATATCAGAGCTCAAGTGGCGGCAGGAGAGGCGAACCCGGATCACAAGGTGGTTTCTCACAGTATTCAAGCTGATGAAAACAACGGCGTGGAAAAGCGGAATTGGAGGGCAGACCAACAAGCGGTACTTTTTTAGAGTTTCATCATGACGAATTGAGTAGTTTGAGGTTGTCAGACAGTTTTGTACAGAAATAATATACAACTTCGTAGACACTTTGCCAGTATTTTGTTTTCGGAACGGCTCTTTGCCAATCTGTCTCAGAGCGGGAAGAGTGATGCACCAGCAGGCAAGAGTGATAAAAATCACGGTGGTCGGGGACGCAAAGGAGACCGACGCGGAAAGGGCGACAACTCGCTCCAGACAGGCGACCGCGAGAACAAGTCGTCCGCTGGTGCTGCGTCAGCGCAGGCACCACAACGCGAAGGGCGGATGCTGCCTCCGAAGCCACCAGCGGGTGGTAGTTTCGCAGCTTTTCTGGCACAGCGTGGCGGCATGGAGAAGAGCGTGAAGAGTGCCGCGCATTTAGGCGCGGCCAGTGAGCGGCGACCGGCTTTGCCTGCGCGACCACCACCACAGGGGGCTTCCTCTTCGAGTACCGGAGGACGAGGCCGGCCTCCGCCTCGCATGGACAGTGGCCGAGACGGCAAGGCGCGTGGACGACGCGAGGGTCGGGGCGACCGGCGCCGCGATGGAGATCGACGCCGCGATCGCAGTCGACGAGGTTGCCGCGACGACCGACGTGGTGGACGTGATGAGAATCGTCGCGTCGGAAAGATGGTCAAGAAACCAGTTTCGTCTCACGACCAGCGCGAGCGTAGCCGCGAGCGCACCACGCCAAGCACTCTGACGATGGGCGACATCCGTCGCATCAACGAGCAACGGGCGAAAGCCGTTGCTGTTGCTAAGGCGCCGGAAGGTGCACAAGCTGCTGCGGGCGCGAATGACAATAACCTTTCTGCAGGAGGTGATGGTATGAACAATGATGATCTGAATGCACCACAAGATAGCAAATCTGGCGATGCAGGCGACAGCAACGAGAAAGACGACGATTCCGACTCCTCCGACCGCTCTGAGGCTGGATCTGATGAGGATTTTGATGACGAGGACGACGCGCTACCTCCAAATTGGATCGAATACGAAGTCGATGGGGACACAGCGTAATCTACATGAAATATAAATCATATTTTTTTGTCACAAAATTTTATTAAAGTGAATGCAAATGAAAGTAAACTACACAAAGTTCGCTACCTTCTTCGTGAAGGTTTGATTCTCGTTCTCCCAAGGATGAACTAAAAACCACCGAAGTAGGAATATGCCTTTGACGAAAATACTCACAGATACTACAACAAGAAGACGAAGGAGACGCGATGGGAACGGCCGCCGGCGGTACCAAAACCCTGGAGACGTTACCGTACGGACGAAGGTCAAATCGCGTACCATAACACAGAAACTGACGAATGTCAATGGGAATATCCGGAGGAAGCTGAACAGTAGATTTTTTGTTGATGCTGGTCGCCTTGGTTCTTGGGGTTTTTGGATGTTAAGCCATGAAGAATAAGATTTGGACTCGAAAATCATTCACTGCTATAAATGAAACCAAGGACATGGTTCTTGTAGCATCTTATTTGGTACGGTGTGGACATAAAAGATGTCTTGCCTCCGTACTACGGTTGATTGTCAGATTTGCTCGATACCAAGATCTATCCGCAAACACCTTTGATTGCGGGGAGACTCTGATACACGGCACCCCATACAAACCGCTAGTGCCCGAAATTTCCACCTAGTGTCGTACAACAGCATTACTCAATCCTACTTTATTCCCCCATTAAATATTTGAATTTTCGAAAAATACAACATCCAAACTATACAAAAGTCTCGTGTTGTCCTTAGTGCAGAGTTCTGCGTGGTTCTCTTTGTAGACATGACTGAGTGAGTCACTAATTGAGTTGTGACTGAAGAGCTTGATCATTAACAGCGAGGATGCCAAGAGTTGATTACTTCGAGAACCTCTGAGCA